ATATCTATGGATCATAAATGAGAGACTAATAGTGAGACCAACCAGTGGCATGAATGTCCTGTCATACTTAAGTCCAACTTAAAGTCGATCTTAGTCTTTGTGAAACACCCCTTGTAGTGGTTGGTTGTAAACACTTATCAGCTTATTTCTAGTAATACATTCTTGTCCTGTATGCATTATACTATGAAGACATGTATGAAACCAACACAGTAACAACTACAGGAACACTAAACAGCTTATTATTGTCAGCATCAAGGTCTTGGGAATAGACTAATATTATGATACCCAAATGAAGTAGCTTATGAAAAGGAAAATCGATAGTACATTGCTCTGCAAAGAAGTAGAACAAATAGAGAAGCAGAACAATTAGAGAAGCAGATTGGTGAAAGTTTGATCGAAATTGTGCAAACAATAAGAAAGTCATACATTTTGGACAGCTGTAATCACTATAATGGAATTTCAGAGAAATTTCAGAGAATGGGATTTGTGATGAAGTGGTTAAGTCGGAAGAGAGAGTAGAAAAAAGTCATAGAAGATAGACAGACAAGTGACAGAAAAAAGAGAGAGGGCAGAAACATATCAAGAGGGAGAGTGTGACGGAGAGGTGTGATCTGTGTGTAAAATGGGGAAGAGGAACAGATAGAGGGAGAAAGAAGATGATGAAGTTTTATTTGGAAAAGGGTATTACGTAAATAGAGGAGAAAAGCAAAAGAAAAGAAGAGGGTTGGGGAAAGGGGAGGGAGAGGAGAAGAGAGTTGGGGAAAGGGGAGGGAGAGGTGCAGAGAGTTGGGGTTCAATTTTAAGGTCATTGGAGCAGGTAATAAAAAAATAAACTGTGAGAATCCTAAGATAGAAAAGGGCAGAAAGAACATGGTTGAGCAAGAGAAAGAGAAATTAAACTTTATAAAATGAAAGGAAAATACATGAGGGGGGGTAGCAAGATAAAGTTAACAAGAGAGAGATGAAGAGAGAGAGGGAGGGAGGGAGAGAAAGAGAGAGAAAGAGAAAGAGAGATCGTGCAATAATAAATATCCAATATAGTTTGAAACTACTTTGCAACAATTGCAACAGAACTAGAGCAGAAACAAGAGAGGCTCAAAAAATGGTCCTTATGAAATGTAAAAGAGTATTTCTGAAGCAATGCTATAGGGTATGTGAGCATTACTAAATGCCCTGGAGAAAGTGCATTAGGTGCATAGAACAACAGGAGAGCAGTATAATATTTATTTTTTTTAATAAATAATTGCCTGAACATTTTAATTAAAAAGAATAATATTGAAATGTTATTATCTATAAATGTGGTAAAGACAAAGAGGTGATGAGCCCCTTGAGTGCCTTTTCATGGTAGCTCGGCTAGAGCTGGGTAATATTAAGATTGCAGGGCCGTCTGGGAAAACGGTGCTAATACTGAGGAAGCTACCCCAGATAAACAAGATATACCATTATTGTTTTTTTTAATAATAATTAATATCTAATTATCATTATTATTCTTACTTTTTCTATTATTCTTATTCTTATTTTAACTGTTATTCTTATTTTTCTTATTATCATTATTATCATAGCACCAACCCCATGCTTTTCTATTCTGTTTTGTTTGACATTCAAAGTCTATTCACGTGCATCAAAACTATAAAATGATTCAGGGGTCATACAAAGTTAATTTTCTCTGAAAATATGACCCATGATATAGAGCTTTAATCCTTCCTAAGAGAGGCCTTGTTTCATGTCCAAGTTTCTGGTCAATTTAACAAGATCCTAAAGAGGAAAACCATAACTTCCTTTAAAACTCCCTAAATTATAACCAGATGCATAATTATAGGTATGTGGCTGTATAAAACTCTCTATTTTGCATGTAGGTAGCCATTGGCTGACCTATTTAAACTCAGGATTATATGTCTCAGCAGATATTTGCTATTCTTTAAGATCAACTGATTAAAAATCAACACACACACGCACAAGAGCAATCCTGTCTTTACCACAATGACCTTATTGTCAAATTAATTATTTTTAAAATTTCATACATAATCTATGAAAAATGAGCTCACTTTCCACAAATCACTTTTGCAAAGATTAGTAGGTGCAAGTCAACAGCACTTCTTTATAAAAATTGTCATGTATACAAGGACAGGTATAGTTTGGACTTAAGTTTGTACTTTGAGTTTTAAAAGTCACATATGCCATTTGCGTTAGACTTCAAAACAATCCGAAAATATATGGTTAGTTTGTTTTCACAACCTTCAACAAAAAGGAAGATAAACATGGCAAATGCCTTCATCCTGGTGTTCTTCCCCAACCTAACAGGAACCACACACAATTGACAAAAGGAAAATATTCTCTTTCAATCTGTCAAGTTTAGGAGAAAGGTGTAAACAGTTTTTTGTAGAGGTTTCCTATAATCTACAAAATCAGCCTTGACATTATGTATCAATTCCCTACGCAATAGTAAACCTGGAATCATTTGTAACAAGTTAAGTATAGTTTCATAAAGTGCTTAGTTTTATGTTCAACTAGTATATTTGTACATGTAGCTGCATAATGAACTATATTGGTTTGGGGATAGTCATGTACCATAATTTAATCTACTTGATTGCCTTATATTAATTAGGTGATATGATTTTTGTTAATATATTGCTTAATCATTGTTTATGTGTAATGTGTCACCGCAGTGAAACATTTTCTTGATATGTATTTTTGAAGAATAAAGTACTACTTTTAAGAAAGAAAATATTGTGAAGTGTTATGATTTACAAATATTGATGGGAAGGAAAATGTATGAATGTCTGCAATGTAGCATTAACCCATTTCTTACTGGAACTGGGTGTTCCCTGTATTAAGCATATGGGAATTAGATAATTCAGTAGTTAGTGGGTTAATTTGCAATATATTGTTTATCTATTCAGAATCATAGTTCTTGGCAGTAAGTATTTCAGATTGCTCTGTATGCTGAAGAATATTATTCATATTGGAAGTGTTCATTTTGCTACTAGAGCAAACAAGAGGATAGTTTCATAGCTTGCAAATCTACATGTAGTTGGAGATAACTATAACTATATACAGTTTTATACAAAAAGAAAATGGATAGTTGCATTGAACTCTGACACAATATATCTCCTAATAATAAATAACAACTACAACATCCCTACATACTACATTTGGAAAATGTTCCAAGGTTGTTGAAATCACTCAGGGAAACCAATTTGGGAAACAGTTGAGTTTATTATAATAAACAATATTAAGGGTACATATTTTACAGTAACCGCTACACAGATATCAAATGTAATATTTTGTAATTCACTACATTATGTTACATAATCATAATTCCAATGTATGTCATAAAATAGTATTTAACACTGGCTTTGAGACACACAAAAACTACATCTGTAAAAAAAATATATAACGTGTCTTGAAAAAGCACATCAAATAAATCATGAGCCATGTCACTTCTGATAAATGAGATCTGTAAAAAAGAAAATTATTATACGCCTTAAAAGGAGATACCTCCCATTTTATAAAATACTTGTGGATTAGTTGATCGTTATTAAACAAATAAAATCAATGCTATACATTTGTACATTTACAAGAACTTAGAGAAGGTAACAAATTGTCTCAAAAGGTAAAGATTTAATAAGAATACAATTTTGATATATGTAGAAAAAATGCATGCAGGAACAATCGTTTCATTTTCTATACAGTTTTCGAAAAAATATCATAAATACTATAATGAATTCACGTCTATACATAGCATTTACATACATTTACATGTAATCCAGTCTAAATGTTAATACATGGAGAGAAATGATAAATACATGTATCTGACTCAGCTATTAACTGCAAGTGCAGTTGTCATGCAGCTGCAATACAAATGTAACTCCTAGAGCTTTAAACTTTGAAACTTTGTATCATTGTATTACTCCGCAGAACACCATTTTCCATATTACGTTGTGAATCGTTTTATTTGAAGAGATACTTATGATAGTTTTTGCTCAATGTATATCAAACCTGTTAGAAGATTTGGTACAGCACCATTCTTAGAGCACTGAAACATTGTCAGCTCTTTTTAAAAGAAGTCCATATTGAATGAGATAATTTATGCATTTGAAGTCATACGTGCATGTATACCGTATTTGCCGGCGTAAAGGCTGCAATAGTTTCGGAAGAGAAAATATAAAAAATTCTGGGTGCAGCCTATGCGCAACAAGAGTCAACAAAGACAGATCAAAAATCTGCCTGTGATACAGTACTAGCTTCAAAATCGATGAAGATTTGCTAAATTATGATCATTGTTTAGGTAAACTTCCTGTAAATTTGTAAGAATATTGATGAATTTGGTATCAGTTTGTAGAAAAAATAGTGTTCTACAAGAAAATTATGATTATTTTGTTTGATCCTTTTAGTGTTATTTTTTTCTGTTTTTTTCCCGCTACGATATGTCAAAGATGGGGGTACAGCCTTTGCGGAGCAGTGGCCTTATCGCCGGCAAATACGGTACATGTTGTTTTCATTCATCACAATCACATCAACTTTGAAATCCCTGAACAGCCTTCAAAGTGAGGTCAGTAGTTATTTCACTGCATTCACTCCTCATCATCATTTCTCATAAATTAAAGGATATTCTTAAACCTCCAACAACGATTTATAAGATAATGGGTTATACTACGAGCTGATTAAAAAATTACGGTTCTATGTAGTCTCTACATTATCACAATCACCAGCACAACATCAACTCAAATACATAAGTTTTATCAAAAATACCATTCAACTGATGTAGATCTATGCATTTAACCTCTTATTATATCCACCATATTGTGTTAATTCATAAAATATTAAACATTTGAATTACAGTGACATATGTGTATGATAGGAAAACATTTCATAATAAAAACAAAACAAATGGAGACAGGAAACATGACTTTTCATAATCATGGAGGTTTTTCCACAACCTACTATTGTAAAATGATACAACCCGTACAGGGATCATAAATGAAAGAGAGATTACTCACGTTGGACGGCAACATAGACACTGCCCTCTATAGGGCCGGCTGCACAAGTGTAGGTGCCTGTGTCTGTTTCCTGGAGGTTGTAAATGATAAGGCGTGTTTCACCTAGGGATGGATTCTCTACACGGATACGGCCAAGGTCTGAGGGAATAAGGAAGAAAATATATAATTTCATTTAGAATGTAAACTATACAGATAACTTCTTTAAAGTTTTTTTGAGATGCAAATGAAAGTATGTGTGCTGTTTATTACTAATCAATTGGGCTTAGAACAAGAATATTGTTCATACTTCTCAGAAAAACGAAGAAAGAAACCTATTATGAAGCTGCTCTTTTATCTGAAGTTTCAAACATGATACACACTTCTAATATGTAAAATATGATATTGTTATGAGAAGGGTAAAAAACTTCTTTTTTTTCTTCAAATTGCTGAACTCTCTAGTATTTAAGAGTTTTCAGAATGTAAATAATGAAATGTGGAGCATGGATGTAGTCGAAAAGTGTACATCTCTTGACCGTACATCCCTTAATACATACTGATAGGCACATGACAATATATGAAATGTGTTCATTGGTGATAGCTCGCAAACAGCTGGAAATACCTTGCCGACTCATAATAAGATACCATGGAATTTAAAGATAGTGTCTCACAATTTAAAACGTCCAGCCCTGCAAGGTCCCTCCAGACCGGTGGTTTTAACAAGTTGGTATCATTTACAGAGGAGAGGTAACTGATTGTACCCCCGAGACATGGATCCCCCGAAATACCTCATCATGTACCGTACTACATAATACTGTCTTACCGTATGAGATGTCAATCCTTTCAAGGTTCCTCCAGACCGGTGGTTCAAACAAGTTAGTATCATTCAGAGAGTAGAGGTAACTGATTGTACCCCATAGACATGGATCTCCTGAAATACCTTATCATGTACTACAGAATACTATCTTACCGTATGAGATGTCAATCCTTTCAAGGTTCCTCCGGACCGGCGGTTCTACCCAGAGCAAAAGTTACCGATTGTACCCTTAGACATGGATCTCCCGAAATACCTTATCATGTACTACAGCATGTTGTCTTACCATATGAGATGTCAAACCTTTTAAGGTTCCTCTGAACCGGTGGTTCTACACGGAGCAGAGGTTACTGATTGTACCCTTAGATGTGGATCCTTGAAATTCATATAACTCATAATAATGTCCTAATGAATGCTTTCTTCAGGGGTGATAGTAAGCACTATTTTTTCTTTAATTCCTCAAAATATGGCATTTAACAACTTTCCTCCCTTTTGAGTAAGAAAGTTGGGGAAAAATAAGGAAAATAAGGAAAAATAGGGAAAGTCGGGGTAAAATCTGGAACAAAAAATATATTGGGAGGAGAAAAAAAATTGGTAAAATAATTTTTTTTTTAAATCAGGAAACATATTTAAATAGGGTAATTATCAGGCCGGTTTCTTACCGTATGAGATGTCCACCCCTGCAAGGTCCCTCCAGACTGGTGGTTCTACCAAGTTGGTATCATTCACAGAGCAGAGGTAACTGATTGTACCCCCCAGGCGTGGATCCGAATCCTGACTGGGGACGATGTTAATGCTGACTGGAAGTAGGACTTGGCAGTGGTCTCCAACGTAACCCGCCGGGCAAAGACACAGCCCCTCCCGACAGACTCCTCCATTGATGCACATTGGGAAGCATCCTATAGAGGGAGGAATTATTTATCATTTAGGGTGTTGGTATGTTGTTGTTGTTGTTGTTGTTGTTTAATCTAGGCTATTCAGTCAGTTAATGACCATTATTGCCGAATACTATAACAAATTTGTTTTAAATTTAAATTTATGTATATACACTCACATAAAATGCATGTATATATATATATATGTATATTTCTTCTTCTTAAAAAACAAACAAAAGGAGGGGGGAGATAATGATATCATGTTAGATTATCATGGTAAATGTGTAGAGGTGATATAAAGAAGTGAATTAGTCTGAGCTATGGTCCAACAGGTTAAGGGTTCAAATCCCTACCATGGTACTAACAACCTTCCGTAAGACATTGATCTACATTTCATCTATTTAGAACCAGAAAGGCATGAACTGTTTCAATACAGAGTTAACACCCTTTTGGCTCTGAACAAACAATTTTTCAGTCTCCATCGGTGTAGTGTGTATAGCTTCCCATAGGAAGGAAGTTCTTGAATGCTTAAGGATTGTTACCAAGGTAGCTCAGCTAATTTGTGTAAGTGTTTCGTATCCTCAGGTAAATCTACATTATAAATCCGACTTCCGTTATCATCATCATCAATAGTATTATTCTCATTATTTCTAGCAGTAGTAGTAGTAGTCAAAGCAGTAGTGGCAGTAGAAATAGTAGTACTAGGAGAACTATTCTTGTAATATACTATTATTACTCTTCTCCTCCTTTTACTTTTGTTTCTTCTTCACCTTCTTATTTTTCTTATTTTCTTTATTATTTTCATTATTATCATTATCATAATTATCATCATCATCAGTATTTTCGTTTTCGGTATTACTATAAATATTATTATCATGTAGAAAGAAGCATACCTGTGAGTTCACAGTGTCCACCAATGAATCCATCAGCACAGTCACAGACTCCATTGTTACATATTCCTCCATTAATACAGGGTGGATCACATGATCGTTCTAAAAGATAGGGAGAGAAAAATTCCATTACATGTTCTGTATTCTCCCTCTCTCTCTCTCTCTCCCTCTCTCTATATCTATCTATCTCTTTCCCCCTCTCTCTCCTCCTCTCTATCTCCTCTAAATTCCAAGTCATCATTATTTTTATAATTGCATAATTCAAATGGTAAATTCTCCAACATCCCTAAGTCTAAAACAGGAAAACTGATATCAATAGGCAATACAAAATTCATTGTTATATGTTCCTCCATTCATACAAGGAGGATCGCAAGATTATTCAAAAAGATGGGAGAGCAAATATTCATGTTTGTGCTCTCTCTCATTACAATTCCAAGGGATACCTTATATATTTTGAAAGGCATACGACCAAAGATTGATGAACATCAAGTTCGTCTTTTATCCTATTATTTCTGAAAACATCCCTGCCACAACACTTACGCCTTTTGGCAAGACAATCATCTTCATTTGCCACACTCCCCCAGGTGATGTAAATGGGTACCTGGTGGGTCTATTCCTTGAAATGCAGTGCACTGGTAACGAATGCCCCAGGTAAAGCTAGTTTAATAAATTCCAAAGCTACTTGGAAGTGCATAGGGATGTTAGATCATGTCTGTTACAAGAACAGACTATTATTATTATCAACATGTGCTTCGAACCTACCTGCCAGGACGATGGTGAAGGTGGTTGTAAGAGGGCCTCCGTTGCAGCGGTAGATGCCCATGTCATCGTTGGTGAAGTTATGGATGATCAATTTGGTCTCGTAGTCTGAAAGACGCTGGGTGTAAACACGGTGATCCCGAACTGAGAAACATCAGAGAGCACAGAAATAATATGTTTGTGAATAGTGTATTTCTACTTCTATAAGACAGAAGTAATCTTACGGTTTCATTAATTCATTTTCCATCTTATAGTTTCTATTTCTAATGTATTTCTGTTTTCATGTTTTCTTTGTTTGAAAACTTAAGTTTATTTTTTACAAGTACATTTATCAAAACGATGTAGAGGATAAAAGTAGCATTTTAGTCTTAGAGAACTATTTTTTAAAGCTGTAAAAATTAATGTGGTGATGCTGTATTCAAAGATTTTCCACAGTAAGATCAAATGCCTCCCTCCCCTAATTCTGAAGACCAATATAGGGTTAAATCAAAACCTTTTTTAAAGTTACACGGTGGACCTGAAAATGGTCTACCTCGATCCCCTCTGAATGAGTCATCAGAACGTTCAAAGTCATTCGAGGATATTTCTTCACCAATCTCAATAAATACTACCCAGACAAACTGTGAACTTACTTTTCTAATCCTTATTACAATCTTGAGAAGATCTGAACTTACTTCACGGATTTGAAGAGATGATCTTGCTGTTACGATTCCTCCAGAACGAATACACTTACAATAATCTCAAATTAAAAAAAACTAAAATCTCTTTCTTCAATTACGATTTTCAATAATTTGACTAGATACAAACCTTCCATTGCCCCTTTAAGGAAAATTAAGAACAGATTTCAGAGCCATTTCGGAAGCACATTGTCTAGAGAAGATCTGAACTTACTTAATGTATTTGAAGAGAAGATCTTGCTGTTAGGGTTCTCCGGAATTAATATGAATACCTTATAATGATATCATATTTAGAAAATTTACAAATCTCTTTCTTCAATTTTGATTTTCAATAATTCAACTCAATACAAAATTTCACTTGCCCTTTCAGGAAATTCAATAACAGGTTCTTATCGCATCAACCCTACCTTATAGATTTTATCTAGAAAAGACATGGTGGCATGGTGGCTCAGTAGTTAGAGCGCTCACCTCATGAACGGGAGGTCGTGGCTTCGAACCCCGGCCAAGTCATACCAAAAACCTATAACAATTGGACCTTCTGCCTTCTAGCCAGGCGCTCAGCATATAAGATTGGAGAAGTGTAGTAATAACATATTATGTTATGCAGGGTCCGTTGGAAGAACAGTTTCATAACTGAAGTGGCTACCCTGGATAAATAAAACGTTATTATTATTATTATGTGAACTTACTCGAGGGGTTCGATGAGATGACCTTGCCATTAGGGTTCCTCCAAAATGGATACCTTGGAGCATTGGTTCCGCTGGTCCTACACAAGAACTCAATATCCTCACCAACCATCGGACTCTTTTCAATACTTGGGATGATGACAATAGATGACTGGAACCCAACTAAGAATAAATGAGAAGTACAGAGATGAAGTCATGAATATTCATAGGCTGGATGCTATATTCATGAAGAGATGAACTTATGAATATTCATTAGCAAAAACTGTTCATGGTTCCGCTGGTCCTACACAAGAACTCAATATGATTACCAACCATCGGACTCTTTTCTATACTCGGGATGATGACAATAGATGACTGGAACCCAACTAAGAATAAATGATAAGTACAGAGATTAAATCATGAATATTCAATGGCAAAAGCTGTTCGTGGCTCTGCTGGTTAAAATTACACATGTGGCATACGAGCGCCTATGCATAGAGGCGAAGGAAGCAACCAAAATTTTAATTCAGAAAGACAAAAACAAAGGGATTTCAGAGAGAGAGAGAGAGAAAGAGTCAGAGAGAAGAGAAAATGGACTTACTTCCGATCTGGCAGAAAGATCCTTGGTAGCCTTCGGGGCAGGAGCAGATGCCATCTCTACATGTTCCTCCGTTAGCACAGTTCAGAGGACAAGGGCGTTCTAAAAGAAAACAAACGTGATGAAATATCATCTTTGATTTGATGCCAAAATTTCACTAAAATTGTGTAATGATGTGAAAGAGGATGTGATATGACCCTCAACTCTGCAAGTGTTTTAAGAACAAATGTATTTGAAGATGAATATGAAACAAAAAAAATGAAAAAATACAAAACTTGGGTTCTGTGTTGTACGCAGAAAACCTAAATTGTGTACTATTTCATTATTATACGTCTTCAAACACATTTATTCTTAAAATCCTTGTAGAAGTCATTGTTAATACATGACATCCTTTTTCACTTCATTATACAATCAAAGTGAATGTTTGCTATCAATTTTTGTTGGCCTCCCAACACTTTAGAGAGGCTTTAAGCAAAAGTCACATTACATTTATATGACTTATCTGTGATATTATTTCAGCAGAAAATTGTTGATATGAAGATTTTAACATGTACAATTGAGGTTCTAAATAGTCTCAGCATTCAAAGATTATAGAGGTTTCAAATCGTAGTGCCATGAGACCATTTGTGTGATTGGATATGATTTGAATATGATTGGCCTTTATTCCAATTATAATATTTGCCATGAAGCAAATTTTCTATGCATAGTGTTCGCATTATTATTCAAAATAAAGTGGGAAAGAGTTTGAATGTCCACGTAATGTTAATGTGATACATTTCCAAAATAGCATGGCACTCATATCGTAGAGTATGCAGCGGCCTCTTCATTCATTAATACAGCTTTTGAACAAGTTCAATACTTGGGAACTGTCTGTAATATGAAAGGAGGCATGATAGGTTATTCACAATTTACCCCATTCTAATTTGTCTGCCTGAACATAATCAGTGTAACTGCTCACCTTCAATACTGATGAATATAGTGCTGTTCAGAGGGCCAGTTGCACAAGTGAAGTAGCCAGCATCTCCCTCAGCTAGGGGTCTGATGTAAAGCCTGGTGGCAGTGGAGTTGACAGCAAAGGTGAAAATACGGTCCACACCTTAGAAAGATAATGAGTTATCACATGTTAACAATCAGCCATTTCATAGTTGCAGTCTGAGCATGAGCAGATAAAGGGCATTGCAGATCAGATTGTGAAATACACGGAGACAATATACTGGATACATGCTGATGAAAGTTTTATGTAATCATTATTCATTTATGCACAAGCAGTGCACTCCATGACACACAGGTGGAAACAAAGGCTATTTATATAGCACTTCCATCACTGTAGGAGTGATCATTTCAAAATGTACAAAGTGGGACCTCTTCATGTTATGAAGATCTGTGGATATTCTGGGTCATTTGGGACATTTGCTAACCGTGAACTGGTCTATTGCCAGCAATTCACAACACATAAACAGCAAAGCATCATCTCATCCCTAAAAACAGTAGCAGAAACCTGCTCTACACTCTGGTACAAAAAACTGACACAATCAAGGAGTGAAAGAAGTATTTAACATCCATGTACTTCTGAGCTTCTGAGAATCAAACTATGGCAAAAGGATTAGCCTTGAGCATTACATATTACAAACTTACAAGCATTAACAAATGACATTTGTACTTCTACAATTTCTGATGATAATATAATTGCCTTCAATTGCAGCAAAGGGGAATGTTCCAGATAAAGACGAAATAAAGGGCCATAATAGATGGGTGGCCATTGAGCCAGGTTTGACTGTAACTGTAAAGGGGGTGTAGCATTGCATATACTGGTTAACGCCATCTACAACTTCTTTTGGACAACTGTACGTAAACGAATGGACTTGATTAACCGTCAGCGTGCGCTAGTGTTTGCGAAACAGAAAGAAGTGCTCCTCATGCTTCTGTTTCATGTATGTTGCACACACGTGAATACGGCGTTTGTGTCGTCGTATTATACCCGATTGTCCAGAGTCAGGCCACAGGAAAGACACAGTCTCGTCACGCTACACCCCCTTTAACTAACCTATATCTGTGAATAATACTTACTGGTTTGCCTGATGCCAGCCACCCTTCCACTGGGGTCTCTCCATTGAGGATTCTCTGGGGCGAAGGTTCCTTGGGTGAGGCATAGGAAGGCAATGTTCTCTCCTGTATAGAAGACTTGGCCCTCCTCAGGGTGGATGGCTATGGAGATGGGTTCCACAACTGAATCAAAAGAAAGAGAACGTTTGATGGTTTTATTGACATTGGGCTAAATAAATTTTGGACCAAATCAGAAACAGAAAAAAGAAACATTAGACCAACAAGTTATCAGACTATACAGGCATTAGAGGAAATGACAAATGAATGAGTGATTACTAAATGGTCTCTTACTAATGAATAATTGGGAGTAGCACAGTATTCAAGAGAAAAGTATAATCCTAAATATAAAGCAGATTTGCTTTTATGAGGTACAATTTGTAGATCTATTCCAATTTTAATGTACATATTGCAATATACTGTTCTTCCTTTTTAAATATTTTGGAGACGTGTACTTACTCTGGTGTCGACAGGCTGTTCCATTGAAGCCCCTAGGACATCTGCATTCCCCTTCTACACACTCCCCACCGTTCTCACATAAGGGTTGACATTCTGGAACTATAACATGAACATGATAATCTGGCATTATTATATATTCCGTGATCTATATTCGAATTTGTGAAAAGGGAAAAAATATTTATAAAACTGTTACAATAATATTTATCACCTTCCATATACTTGTATATAAGAATAAATAATAATAATCTGCATGTATATTGCGCTTAATACAAAATACCCTTTCTAAGCACTTTACTGATATCATTACCCCGTTGTCTGATTCATTCACACACAATGAGCACCATCCCCACTCCCTGGGGAGTATTCCTACGATATGATCACCGTGAGGGCATCTGGCAATTATTATCACAAATGCTTTCATTATCCTTCCAGGTCCACGTTTCTCTATTGGGTATGGGGTGGCAAATGTAGATTAGTGCCTTGCCAAAGGACATTAGGGCCATGTCGAGATCAACCCAACAACCTTTGAATTTCAAGTAAAGTGCTTAAACCACTCGACTATGACAAATCTACACCATTATACACGTTTAAAGAAACCAATAAATGAATGAGATAAACACATTTCTAAATATAATATCTGAACAAAACTGAAACCCGGTACATAGTCGTTACTACCTTCTTGCAGATAGCAAATGATATGTCATACATGTAGCAATCAAAAAAGAGTAATCCTCTTACTTATAATAGATTTACAGACAAAATGTTCTTCTCTCACTAGGAAAATAAATCTCAAGAAAGAGATTATTCCAAAGAATTTAGGCCACTCCGAAACTTAGATCCTAATCAAATGATTGGTTGAAAGCGTACACGTGACCAGGCATTTATTTTGCCTAACACGTAATTTGGATAATGACGGGTCATTATCCAATTCTAATGACTGATCATTAGACTGTTCCAAAGGTACCTTGTGTGGGTAATTCTTACTAATGCCCTCACTGCTGTGTATTATTTGTATATTAACATTGTTGCCATTAAGAGAAAAGTTGACACATGAAGATCACATCTTACCCAGCTCATCACAGGCTTCTCCGGTGTAGCCTTCAAGACAAATACAGATACCTTCTATACAGTGCCCTCCATTGACACAACGAGGGATGCAAGGATAGGCTGAAAGAACAAGAAACATAATTCCGATCACTTAAGTTAACTCCACATGGAAAAAAACGTACCGTATGATCAATCCCCTCCTTTTGCACATGACAAAAACAAATTATACATGTTCATGAAATTTAAAAAACTGCTGAAAGGGATTCAGGCGTATGAACTTTCCCTGCAGTGACTAAAAGATGGCGGAGTGCAATTTTCATTTGGGCTTGGACGGGGAATTATTATTTTTTAATATACTGTATAATAAGAATATAAAATGTGAAGTTTATTTACAAATTATTGTTTACTAATGTCAGAAGCAGAATTGTAAGCTGTAAGGTGGCTCACAACAGTAAGTGATGAATCTTTTAAATATGGTAGAAAATGATCTATACCAGTCAGGTATGGGATTATTGAAATCCCAAGCATTTAATTTCACTATATTCTATCATCTACATGTAAGTAAGAATCAATCAATCAATTTACTTTAGTTATTTTTGGACCTCAAGGAAAAACAGATAACATTTTTTGGTTGATCTGAAGCGGTTGATCCCTCGGTCTTCACTTTAATTTTAAAATGTTATTATTCTAGAATAGTCCTTGTAAAAAAATTAGTATATTGTTTTTTTTGTATGTGTTATAATGTTTGTATTTCAAATTTTACAATCATAAATAAAACCCAAACCAAACCAAACCAAGACTTACTGTTATTGTAGATGGTGAGCGAGATAGACTGCTGCAACGGTCCTGCGTTACAGGTGTATGTAGCACTGTCCTGAACACTGACGTTCATGATCCTCAGTTGGGTGATGAAACCAGACTTACGGGATGTGACAATGTGACTTCCTTCTCCTAAAGAAACGTAAAATTCACATCGTATCTCTTTAGTTCACTGTACATTCAGTTCTCCTTTTGTATTTTTAATACGGTAATATAGACCAATTGCTATGCAATTAATTAAAATTACAATCACCAGATTAATAATCAGTCAATTTCACCGACCCCGTACCAAATCAATCAGCATCTGGATCATCTTTTATCACCATCGGATTGGCAATAGACTCTACCACTCTCAAAGATGACCACCAGAATGTTCTTGTATTTTAAGCATGACCAGTCACATAATAAAATCAACTCATTCTAATCTTTAACAAGCAAATAACTATATGTTGAAAGTATCAAAGCTATTTTACTGAAATGACTTTCAAATACCAAAAAGGAATCTTACTTTGCGATACTGGTGAATTTACAAGTGTAAAATTGACATATCCACAACGACTCTTTCGATGAGATTTAGCCATATCAAAAAAGTAAATTTACTACCTTGATATTCTAATGAAACGGTTCTACCGATGCAAAGATAATGATTCCTAACAATCATTCATTTTCATCATCAGTATTATCATTATCTTCCTTCACTATCATAATCACCATCATTATCATTCAATGAGCCTGCTACCACCTACCTAGCTGTGACCAATGACTGGACTTACAGTTAGTCTCCTTTCCGCCTTCTTTAATTGACAGGAGCATCAACTCTTCATCATTATTCATTCGTTCATTTTCATCATCATCATCATCATCATCATTATTTTCATCATCATCATCATCTTCATCATCATCATCATCTTCATCACCATCATCATTATCTTTACCATCATCTTCATCATCATCACCATCATCATTATCTTTACCATCATCATCATCATCATCATCATTATCTTTACCATCATCTTCATCATCATCACCATCATCATTATCTTTACCATCATCATCTTCATCATCATCATCATCTTCATCACCATCATCATTATCTTTACCATCATCTTCATCATCATCACCATCATCATCTTTACCATCATCATCATCATCATTATCTTTACCATCATCTTCATCATCATCACCATCATCATTATCTTTACCATCATCTTCATCATCATCACCATCTTCATCATCATCATCATCATCATCATCATCCATTGAGACCTACCAAGGACTGATGACTGGATACACTTTTAGTCTCCTTTCTGCCATCTTGGATTGAGAGGAGCATCAACACCTGATCATCATTCATTCGTTCATTTTCATCATCATCATTAATCATCATTATCATCAATCATCATCATCATCATCATCATCCATTGAGCCTGTTACCTACCAAACACCGATGACTGGATATACTGGTAATCTCCTTTCCGCCATCGTGGATTGAGAGAAGCATCAACACATCATCATCTTTCATTCTTATCATCATCATTATCATCATCATCAACATCATCATCATCCATTGAGCCTGTAATACCTACCAAAGACCGAAGACTGGATATACTGGTAGTCTCCTTTCCGCCATCTTGGATTGAGAGGAGCATCCAATCCATTGGTAATACAGAGGAAACTAACATTCCCTCCCTCAGTGTAGTCATTGTCTGGATCAAGCTCAATACGCAGGTTGGCATCGATACTCACTGTTATGAGATAAAACGATTAAAAGGGCATATCTCAGAAGCTTTTTAGAACAATTAACCTCTATACATACCGTTAAACCCGATTAGAATATCCATATGCTTAGAAGAGAATCTCTGCATTATTTTCTCTACAATCCTCGATTATAAACCTATCCTACGAAAGTGCACCATCTCCGCTCGGTGGGGATTATTCCTACCATATGGTCATCATGAGGGCATATGGCAATTACGATCACAAAAGCTTTTGTCATCCTACCAGGCCCCCTTTCTCTCCTGGGTATGGAGTGGCAAATGTAGATCAATGCATTGCCAAAAGACATTAGGGCAGTGTCAGGGATCGAACATACGACCTTTGCATCTACACTCGAGTGCTCAAATCACTTGACACTTGACCCCTATCAGGATCTTACCAGTGAATTGACAGAGTTCTCCCGTGAAGTCTGGTTTACAGAAGCATCTGTGTTCCAGGCAAGTCCCTCCATTGTAGCAGGCCTGCTTACTATGACATCCAGGTACTGTACACAAAAATCAATCATGAAATATTAGTCCCATACACTCATAACCACGTTCATCAAATTAATGTAATAGGACTTTGTGAACATATGCTGCGAATTGACATGGAGCTAGTAAATTTATACTTTCGACAACGTAAACACATATTATACATTAAAGTAAAGGTCGAGTTCTGGAGAGAGGTGAAAATACATTGTGAGCATTATCACTCTTATTATGCAAGTGTGGAAGAACATCAGAGAAAAACTAGATGGAATTTTGACTGCGCGCAGTCGAAAATGATGCCTCCGCCATAGAGCAATTTAAACAAGTTTGGAGTTTAAATCTCCAGTGGTTCTTGAGATATCATGATAACAATCTCAATGTATGGAATTTCATAAGTTGACCTCTGTGACCATTGACCTTTGACCTACGTGCTCCAAAATCTAATCAGATTGTCTTCCTATGGTGATACACACTATCATTAAGTTTGAAGTTTAAATCTCCAGTGGTTCTTGAGATATTATGATAACAATCTCAATGTATGGAATTTCATAAGTTGACCTCTGTGACCCTTGACCTTTGACCTACGTGCTCCAAAATCTAATCAGATCGTCTTCCTATGGTGATACATACTATCCTTAAGTTTGAAGTTTTTACATCTCCAGTGGTTCTTGAGATATCATGATAACAATCTCAATGTATGGAATTTCATAAGTTGACCTCTGTGACCTGTGACCTTTGACCTACGTGCTCCAAAAACTAATCAGATTGTTTTCCTATAGTGATACACACTATCACTAAGTTTGAAGTTTAAATCTCCAGTGGTTCTTGAGATATCATAAGAATCTCAATGTATGGAATTTCATAAGTTGACCTCTGTGTCCCTTGACCTTTGACATACGTGCTCCAAAATCTAATCAGATCGTCTTCCTATGGTGATACATACTATCCTTAAGTTTGAAGTTTAAATCTCAAATGGTTCTTGAGATATCGCGCTAACAAACTCAATACAAGGAATTTCATAAGTTGACCTCTGTGACCTGTGACCTTTGACCTACGTACTCCAAAATCTAATCAGATCGTCTTCCTATGGTGATAAATACTATTCCCGAGTCTTAAGTTTAAATCTTAAATGGTTCTTGAGATATTGTGATAACGGTCAAACGGGACGTACGGACGGACGTACGGACAACCCGAAAACATGATGCCTTCGGCACCACCTTCGGTGGCGGAGGCATAAAAATATTCTCTGAAAAGCATGGCTCTTCAAATGCCTTCATATTCTAAATATGGCATGTAACATCATAAAAATTGGGACAGATTTTAATGCCACATGTTGGTGTAGTCCCGTATTCATCTTTCTGTGTACAGTGCTTGTTACTTTACCAAGACTGGGCCAAATTTCTTATCATTTTGATGATTCCAGAACCTTGCAGTACACACCAATACTTATGTGCTAGATGATTAACTTTTCTGATCGATTCTACACCGTTTCGTTCACAATGCAATGGCATGACCAGAACTCAACTTTATCTTTAAGTATATAATCTGGTCCTTCCACGAATCCCCCAATATTTCAAGCGTACGAGTGAGCACATACGTGGTAACTATCCATAATTTTTAGCTTTTAAATCAGGTTCATGTGGCTTACCGAAATGCAGTTGCACACACAAAAAAAAACTTCCAGAATGCTGGAGATGCAATACATGTAGCCAGTGATGTCGGTGCAGTAAGAGCTCATATCAGACATAAATGTCTAAAAGTTTAGGTAATATTTAGCCTAGCCGAGATAGTATTTGTATTTACCATCCCAATATCCTAACATTTATACCTTCAGAAGTAATGATGATTTTCTAAAATCATACATTTTCCAGTCAACACATGTTTTTTCATGCAACTACGTTTTGCTAAGCTACATACTATCCAATGATCAAACATTCACATACATGTACTATTTTCAATAAATTACAATATCTAGGACAATTGGCGTTTACTACTTACCTTTTACACAGTGAGTGCATATATATGTGTCACAAATAATGAGGATACATATTAAAACAAATCATAATGTTATTTCTGGTATATTCATTAATTTCATATTTCTGACGAAGCATCAATTACATTCCTGCTTCACATTGTGTCAATTTATACCAAAAATATTGCAATTTTGATTTAAATGTAGGAAAAGAGAAAAGGCAAACAGCTATGTACAGAAGGAATGATGCTACTAATAAAACATACGGTCGTACAAATGCATGTACATCGAAACGTACATGTCGTAAATGCTTTAAAGAAAACTTTAAGCATGAATATATTAATAAGTATATATGGAATACACGTAGGTATGAACTCGTGCAAGATTGTCTTAGAGGAAGCAAGAAAGCCATGCAATCAAAATATGAAGAACAACAATTATTGGCACATTTATAATTGGATGTCAAGGTGAAAATGAAGAAGCATTTTGGGAAATGATGTGACAAAAAGTGTTGAAATATAGACATCAAGGCGAAGTATAATAACATTAATACAAGAGTACTAAGCATAAAAAAAAGGAATAGTGCTCAAATTTCACTTTACACTTGACCAATGATGAGTTAACATTGTATACTTATTCTTTATTTGAATACATTGATCACTATGACCTTTTCAAACAGGTCAAACAACAGGTGAAATGTTTTCTTAAGCATGTTTGAGCAGGTCATATAAAATAATTCTACAGTGGTGATATGTTTTCTTTAAGCAGGATTGACAGGCTTAGGGTTTCCTGATATATGCCCCAATAAATACAAAGTTTTCTTCTGCATAATTTTTGTGCGTATCAAAGTAATAATAAGAGGGGATGGATTAAGCAAATTTGTGCAACAGTGATTCACTTGTAGATGGGTATTTCAACATTAAGAGAATAAAGTGCGAAGTGCAGCAAGCTTTAGCGCACTTAAAAAAAAAATATGATTCAACATCATGGTTATTGCGGTACACATGTACAAGCGTCAAGTAACAAGCATTATAAGATGTCTCCTTACAATTAGCATTGATGGGTTCAGGGAGTTGGGCTAGTTTGTGTTCCATCATGCTACATAAATATAAATGATCTGCAGGCCTAAACAAATAATTTTCTTCTTTATTAATGACTCGACAGTCATCTCAAAATCAGTTTCCGTATACAACAAAATCTTGAGTAAGTTTTAAATGAATAGTTATATATGTGCTGCACAAACTTTTCATGAATTTCAGCGACCCTGCGTGTTTCAAGGTATTATGTTGTGATAAGAATAATAAACGAATGAATATGAGATGCAGATTTGATGAAAAGTGTACTCGGTGATCGAACTATGAAATGCATGGTGCCATTCACATACATGTACATGTACATGTATGTTTGAAACTAGTGAGATGACTAAACATATATGTATATACTGTAGATGGTTTATGAATGCATATTGTTTCAATGATATAAAAGCATCTTGTTTGCGTTGTGAATGCACTGTAAATGATGTAATCCTTAAGTTGCTCTGTAACATATAAAATAGTAGTAACAGGAGGCGGAGAGGGGTAATTTTCATTCCGTTTTGGTAGGAGAAATGACATTGTTTATACCTGGTTGACTGCATGTCTCCCCTGTATGAGACTCGGGGCATTCGCAACGACCCCCCTGGCAGACACCTCCATTCATACATGGGGGTGCGCAGTGTAAAGCTGTTAGAGGGACAGAAACAAGCATTCAGAGAAAGAGATAGAGTTCAAATAAAATGTACATCACAGAAAGAGGAAGTGAATAAAACCAAATTTAAAATGTTAGTTCAGAACAGACACAGCAAGAAAGAAATATTCATAACAAAAAGAAATAAAGTGTTAAATCACTTGATAATTCATTCCTTAACCCTATGTTAACTGGGGGGGGGGGGGGGTCAATTTGACCCCCCCCCCCCTGTAGTAATTTGGCGACTACTCCAAAATCGCAGCAGATATAAAGTTTTCCTGTCATGACTTTTTTCTTTTGAGTCTTACGCATCTTTTAAAACAATTTTTCGAAAATGGGACGTAAGTCACATCACCTTTTGTCTTTGCATGTAACCCCGAAAATCGCTCATTTTTGTGATTTGTGTACGAAACATATGGAAATATCATTTTTCTTAAAAAGAGATAAAACATTGGTTATTCAGTCTTGTTTAAAGTTTAGGTGTTTGTTTTGGGGTCAAAATAGTTGAATTGTAGTTAGAAATGATATAAAACAACAAAAACAATAAAATACATAAGTTAAAAAACAATGAAATACATAATAAATTATCAAAACAAGAGATAACATATAGAATAACCTGGCTCTTCCAGCTTTTTGTGTTGTATTATTATTCCAAATGGTCTAACAAGTATATGTAGTGAGAAAGAATGCTTTAATATGAATAATATATGATGTATGGGTAAAATTATGAATTGTATGACCTTATTTGCATAAATTACCAGAAAATATGCAAATGAGTGAATTTTTCAAAAAATTGAAATTACCATAGTATTCTATACACTTCACTTGGAATGCATGCAAATTTTCGCGGCGATCGGCGATGAAACGGCCGAGATCTTAGGGGGGGGGTCACCCCCCCCCCTAGGAAAAACCCGTGCTGAAATAGCCCAGTTTAAATAGGGTTAATCTACCCACTCTGACACACTGGTGCCCAAAGAAATATTTCAGCAAGATTTGTTTTGATCATGAATTATGATCACAATTTTTAACACTCTGAGTGTAAATAATATCTTCACATAGAAAAAAAGAACATATTTATAAATGAGCTTACTTTTCAACTATAGTGGAAATACTACATTGCTTGATATAGAAGTTCTATATCTTAAATGTTGAAATGAGACAAACTTAAACTAAAAGAATCTAAAGGTTAGATAACTATAATTTATCCAAATAATTAACAAAGCCTAATACATGTACAAAACACACAGGTATAAAAAGGGGAAGGAACAAAATAATATGTACAGTACATATATACACATGAATAAATAAATGAAGCCTAATCTATACACATATTAAAATAAAGATCTATTAAGCAGAGACATAAGCCATAACTTATAATACGTTTCAGACATAATCATTAGTTAGGGCAAAAAAAAAATGAGGTTTTGCTTCTGGGCATTTTCTCATTATCTATCTAAGCTCAAGTCCACTTCTCAAAAGAGAGTGAAGTTCCAATTTTTAAATTTATCCTTTCTCCACTAAACTGAAGTTATGATGGAAATTCATGAATTGATTTAGACATACCAAGAGACAGGTTGAAAACTCCAGCAACAGGGCCTGCAGTACAGATGTAAAGTCCACCTTGTTCACTGGTGATACTGTCTAGATGAAGAGTGGTGACATTCACTCCTTGGAACTCCACATGCACATTGTCTGATCCACCTGTATATGTGAGATAGGATAGGTTACCAGTACATTCTAACAAAATGTTGTTACAAAGTCACTAAAACTCATTAGGATGTTTAATGCACATTTATCATCGATATCATCCCCACAATCACAATCATTACAACCAACAAAAATCATCATACAAAACATAACCATCAAAATCAGCCTCCCCCATCATCACTTCTTGTACCACCATGCTGATTATCACCTCCTTCCCTTCAACCACCAACATCCAACATCACCATCATCACAACCATCACCATTGCATCATCCCAATCATCACCATCATCATTACTAAATCATGACCATCACTATCACCACCATCACCACCACCACTATTTACATCACCACCACCACCACCCTCCATCCTTACTACCACCACTATACTATCAACCCCACCATTAATCCTCACTACCACCACTTACCACCACCACCACCACCACCACCACCTATCCCCACGACCAACTCTACTACCATTATCATAACCACTATCATTACCTTCATCATCACTACTACAGCCTCCATAATATTCCCTGTTATCACTATCAATTCTATTCCCATCACCACCACAACCACCACCATCCCCGTCACCATCACCACCATTACCATCATCACCATCACCACTACCACCATCACCATCACCATCATCACAACCACCACTACCACCATCACCACCATCACCTCCACCACCACCATCACCATCATCACCACCATCCCCATCACCACCACCACCACCACCATCACCACCGCCACCACCATCACCATCATCACCACCACCATCATAACTCACCATGTCCTACTGGAGCTATCTCTTGACCCAGAGGTCCAATCCACATCGGTCTGCTGATCTCCACTGGTCCATTTAGCTCACAGGCCACACTGTAGCTCTGTCCTGCTGTGGGGAGATCCTCCTGAATGGGGTCAAACTCCACACTGAAGTCCCTCTCATCTGGAATGATGATAAAACAGAGACAAATTTGTCATATGAACATTACATCATAAATGGGCAAGTCTAAGGTACATGCAAACTGTCCCATATATCACTGACAACATCATTAGTTTCGGTATACCCACCGATTGTATCAAGCTGAATGCCATACCAGAGCTTTTACTTCATCAAAAAACAAGGAAATGATACTTTTGATGTTAACATTTATTTTTTCTTTGTTTCTGGGTAGTGTATGGGACAGCAAATTCACCCAACCTCTTCTTTTCCATTCTTTTGGTCACATAAATGTATCATAAAACAATATGATAATGTATCCGATACATTTTGAAATCTTGTCGTTTTTCTTCTTGAAACATTTCAATATACTTTTATGACCTATACATGTATATGTATTTCAGATATCATGGAACTACATTTGTAACAATATGAACGATTATAATGAAACTATAAATGCCCTTTGGTAAGGCATTTATTTTCATTAACAGGCCAGTTGGAGAAGACTTAAAGCCGTCGGTCCTCTGGTTGCTATTTACAATCATACATATGCTTCCTTAGCAGTTAGGCAAAACAAACCAACGACCCAACAAAATTGAGAAAGGTTTCACAAATGATATTTTTTATATATGTACGTGTTTGCCTGATGGGCCTGATAAGCCTTGATGACACAGAAGTGATTGCAATGTATACTAACATGAGTAATGGCAGTGAGATCCAGTGAAACCCTCGGTGCATCCACAGATTCCCTCCACGCAAGAGCCTCCATTCTCACACTCGGGTAGGCAACGAGGAACTGAAACACGAACAAATGGAGAAAAGGATTAGATTAATTATTAAAGGACATGCAAGATTATGGATGAAAAGACATATCGATAACAAACCAAATGTATAAAATCTGATTCATAAGTCAAGGATATTATTAAGTAATGGAAGAAAACTGATATACAGAATTTCAAAGACAAGAGCCTCCGTTTACACATTCTCACATACAACAAAGAACAGAAACAAACTTGATTATGATTATAATAGTTTAAAAGATATTGGACGATTTGATTGAAATAAAATATAATAACAAAGGAACGTGTACTGGTTATTACGATTTTAAAAAGGGGGCAGGTAATTTCATAGACTAGGATATACACAAAAAGAAAGTTTCAAAATGACTGAAGACTCTACTATAGAATCCGAGCATATCGTAAGATATAGGCCTATATGTACATTGCAACTCTTGTAATCCATCTAATCCTTAAACGTCTATGGAGGACTATTTCAACATTAATAATCTACCAATTTTGTGAAAACACAATGCAAACAATCTACACATGGGGATGTTGATTATTGAATAACTCACTGAAGATGTTGACAACAATGGTATCCCTTTTCGGTTCAGCAGCGCATGTGTAGATACCCGAGTCTGATTCTGAGATGTCATTGAGCACCAGTCTCGATTGGGTAGGTGAGACGACCTGCACTAACTGACCAGCCAAATCTACGTCTACATCAAGCCAAGATAAAACATAAAATCAAAATTTGGACAAGAAGTATGATGCATGCCAATGCTCGAAGACACTGAGCATGGACGTACTAACAATTTCTTCATTTGAACAGATTTCTACACATACAGTTATTTTGAAAATCAATTCAAATTGCAATTCAAACTGCTTTTATAAATTACATATGTCATGGTGATTATTTTAAAAAGTCAGTTTTCAAAAAAATTATCTTATTGGCTCTTTAAAAGGATTTTCAAAACATGAAATAGGATTTTAGAGTATTTTTATTTCAACAATGAGGGCTGCAAAATCAAATATATTTTGGATATTAAATGACAATTGTAAAAATTGAAAAATAAACCTGTATAAAAGATGAAATTATTAAAGTAAATTAAATTACTAATCAACATTTTTGTGTATAGATCTAAATCCTGATATGTGATCATCTAAATCAATATCATTTCATAACCTGTTTCTGAGGCAGTGAAATATATATATAAAAAAAAAAATTAACAATACCATGTATATATATCTGATGTAAATAAAGTGATTTTGCATTTTATTAATTGGAAAATCATCAAATGCAACCAATTCAACAAGATAACCTGCACTGTTCGTTTCGCCTTAGTATGAGGTCGTCAATTTTCAGATGAACAACTCATATCCCTTGAATCATGGTGTGAGTGCCAGTGTCTGTTAATCTATGACCAGAGCAATCTATGTGCATCATTACACCCAACTCAAATGCGAGATGGTAAACTGCCTAAAACACCAGTGCAAAACTTAACGTGTAGATGAAAGGAAAAGGCGACGTCATATGGTTAATACATACAAATAGCTGCTAATCTATCCAATTTTGAAGGAATTATTCCTACTTTTTGGCCAGGAAGTTATTACTTTGAACCCTAGATGCCTCTCTTTTTGTGAAATATAATATATTTTGTGGAAAAACTACAAAATAGATATATTCCTAATTTGGGGCAGGTAAATGTGTCTATGTGAATCCCTGGTCTTTATATTATACTAGACAGAAATACCAAGCGCATGATGCTTTTTTTAACTATGTGCCGCTACAGGTTTTAGCAGTTTATCACCTCGGTTTTGAATGGGACTATTAAAAAGGAAAACACATGTATAGTCGAATCAAAATAGGGTTTGACCCAAAGAAATTGCAACGCAAGCTATTTCAACAGTTTTCTGTAGTGCTTGACATAAGGAATAACATACTAACAAATCTAAGAAGATCGGACACACAGAAAGTTGTTATTTTCAAAATGGCGTCCAAGATTGCCGTTAAAACCCTAAAATAGCCATAAATCATGATACATCCATCATAGAGATGTGATTTTGGTGTGTATACCTAGGTTTGGGGGATGTAGGAATCCATTTATACTACTTACAACGTGTTATGATTTTCTAAGATTTTAGCTAGTTGCTTCTCATGTCAAACACTAAGGGAAACCGTCAAAAAAACATTTGTTTGAGGTTTGGGTATTTATTTCCCTAAATTGACCAGACTCTTATGAAACAGGCACATCCAAAGCTAATGTAAGAGAGCACTGGAAGCTGCAAAGATGTTATTTGTTACAGAGCTCAGCAGATAAGAAACTGGCAATCCATAGACATTACATTATATAGTAAAGCAACACAAATAAAATGAAATAAAATAACCAATATCATATCATCTTTACTAATTATTAAAATATAAATAACATGGTGGTATGTATGATTGTAACTATATTGTTAATTCAATTAATTCATACAAGTATATGTATATGTCTACCACTTTAAGTTTAAGATGTGGAACATTATTATTAGATGTTGTAAATGTGTGTTATTAAAGAGTGCAGTTTATAAAAAGTCAATATCCACATTTTGATATTTGCTAATCAGCGTTTGGCTTTTGTTTAAGGCTACGTGATACAAAACACATTCTCCCTAAATTTTACTTATCAGTTTCTTTGTTATGTATGATAATTAATTGAAATATTGATACCAGAGATGGTGAGATTGACATGAGTCCTCTCCTAAATTGATGACTTGGCTTAAATAGTTTTGAATACGTAGTGTAACTGAATATGTAGAATTTAGTTTCCTATATTTTCATGAATTTAACCAATACATGAGAATATATACATGGATGAAAGGATATCAAAATTACAACTTCACAAACTTGCTTTAGTACAAAATGATGCTTAATGTATGACCTACCACTAGAATTCTGGATTAACATAGATATATGTACAAGTATTCAATTATTTATTTGTGAAATCAATTTACCGTTTATGTATTTATCGTTTTAACTACATCTTTTTTCAATGTTCCGTAACAACTTCTCACTTAATTTCTTTTGGCATTAAAACTTCAAACAGAATTCAAAGTTTTGTTTAATACTCTCAAGTCTCCATTTCCTATTGGCCTCACTAAAAGACATTTTAGGTTAAATTATCCACCTTTAATGATGTTTGAAGTTAGTTCTTCTCTATAACAATAACATGAATTGTGTATGAAGAGTACAACACATATCAATTTCGATGATGCTCTGATTTTTTTTTCTTCTCCTTTCTTAAGTGATTTATCATGCAATGTCTCTGTTTCTAAAAAAACTAACAACATGTTATTATTAGTGTGCTGTATTGAAAGCAAAGAAATACATACACACAATGTTGTATGCTCATTAGACAAAAATAAAAAAAATTACATAACCTTAAAAACATAATACACATATGAGCACAGAAGCACATGCTAATGAGCTCATAAAGGTGTTACATGTTGAATGACAGATTGTGAATGTAGAAAGTAACATACAAACAGAGTGACAAAAAACAAAATACATGGTGACATCATACATGTATGATTAAAATGCATTTGTAGAAGAAAATATAACACGCTCGCAACTTTCCAAAAAATCAAGTCAAGGACATTTTATGGTATTTCTCTTAGACATCATGTTTGAAGTACGCAAAACACATAGATGATGCACAAGACCATTGAAATTGCCTTTGATTGGTGTTTGGAAAGGAGTTGCTATTGTGTTATATATAACTGTCCATGATTAAGGGATGCTTGTTAGTGGTATTTGGTGCTGGTGCCGTTTCTTCTCATGTCTACACAATTGTACACTCCATCTCAATTTTTCTTTTTTTCCTTTTTTTTTTTTTCTTCTTTTTTTAGCAAATAGATTACTCTTCAAAAATAAATTTTATCATTGATAAAACGTAACAAATTTCTTGTAAATGTCAAAATCATTCAGCTGAAATGTGGCTTTTTTGTTTGTTTAATTTATTTTTCATACTCGCTCATTATTCTTTTACAATCTTTCAATCAATGAGCGTCAATTGATAAAAAAAATCTTTAAAAAAGCTTGGAAAAATGGTCATCTTGAGATGTCGCTTGTGTTCAATTAAGTTGTGACATGTGATGATGAACAAATAACTGGTGTTACTTGAATGAAAAGGGAAGGGGTTTACCTGACGACGATATCGTTTCCGTTAACGCTTCATCTAAACGGTGCGAACGCAAGGGAGAAACCAGGATGAAGGGCGTAAAACAGAATGAGGTTAGCATGGGATATATGACTTTGGGATAGGACAATCAGGAAGGGCTACTGCGGTACTGGTTAACATGGAAAGAAGAATCTAAAATGCTTCCCATGAGGTTAAGGATTCTCTGAAAAAAGTAACTGAATATTGTACTTTGATTTATGTGCTTTAAATAAGAAAAATATATGAGGATAAAGACAAGAGGTTAAATAAATACAAATGAGCTTTGAAGTAAAAATAAATGCACTATGCTGCTCAAGAATAGTAAGCCAGCATGCTTTGGGGGGAAGATATGACAGATTGCATGTCTTGACAGGGAAACATTTTGAAATGAAATCTTCACCAATGTTAACCAATACCACTGAGTCACTAGAAAATAAAAATGGCAGTATTGCTTCTTTCTGGGGTGATATATGAAAATGGAAGGAGTAAAATGGTTTTACTTAAAAATGTATGTATATATATATATATGGAGGGTAATGAATACAAAATCAAATTGAAATAAATGAAATAAGGCACTGCACAATAAAAAGTTTATTTTAAAACTTTGTAGAGAAGAGTATGAAATGCTCACATGAAAGCGATGTAATTTTTTTTTCAGTTACTATCTGTAATTGAGGGGCATTCACACAAAATAGAAAACAGAACTTCTTTTATTTTGTATACAAAAAACTTTCATTCAACAAACATTACAGGTATTGACTCATTTCTGAAACTAGTTAATTCCACTCCAACTTATAAAAGTTAGGTTCACATAAAGACCAAACATTCCTGAATGCAGAATTTGCATGATTGGGTTAAATAAACAATTATATATAAATCTGGATGATTTATAGATTAGATAACCAAAATTTTCTGATGCAATGAACACTTCAAAAGAACAAAAGGAAAGGTGGAAGGTTGCTAAATTGCATTGTAACTCAAGGTGCATATAAATATCACAAATAGATGTAACCTTTCCCATAAATTCTGGAATAGTTTTTATCTTTTTTCCCCACTATGCACTTTACCTGATGAGCTGAAGGAGTTTTGAAACTCATTGTCTATCAGAATAGTCAGGTCACACATACACATGGGGGTCAAAGGTCAATCATAAGGGTGGTGATGGAGGTGGTGATGATGGTGAACATTGCCCAGAGGGAGGGGTATCAGATGATGGAAGGGCAGCAAATAAAACCAAGCGAAAACCAGGAGATGAATCAGGAAACACAATGTAAAAAAATGTGATGGAAATCAATGAAAAGGGGGTCAGACAGAAAACATAAAATAAAGATGCAAATCAAATGTTCAAAAGAAAAGAAAAGGAATAAAATATAAACAATGAAGAGATTTCTTAAACAGGGCTGTCAACTCTCCCACATTTGTAGGGAGTCTCACCCACCACACTCATTCTCCCGCCGCCCCAAAAGCTCGTAGTGGGAGACTCCCGCCACCACGCCTTCCTCCCGCTCTACCGCCAACAATATAGAATCTCCTGGTTCTTTAAAAATACCTCCCACCAAACCGTACCGTATACCAACAAAATGTGCTCTTAGCCCCCCCGGCGGCTGGCTGAGTCGTTGCAGAATTTGTCCGCTTATTCAGCGGCTGGCTGGATTCGGCACTTAATATTTTCTCCAAAACAAAAATCTCCCTCCATGCAGTTTCCCAAAGTTGACAGCCCTGCTTAAACTTGTACACATATGTCAACTTCTCACAGCTCTTTATACATTGCATATTGATATATGAAAAGAAGCACTTTGTTGCAATCTTCATTTGATACATGAGAAGAACAGAGCGTGACAAAGTGTTGGCTAGAACTCAGTGCAAAAAAAAATTATGAGATATAGCATTTTCTCTAAGCGTAATGTAGCTTTGAAGCAAATAAGTGTGAAACTTTTTTTTATACCATGGAACTGCTGAAAGAGAAGAGTGCATGAGGGGCTAGACTGAGGGAAGATGATATACTTATATTTCATGGGGATGTTTTCCCCCCAAAAAAATCCTTTGCAATGGGGAACATATCGTTTATGGTGGCAGTGCTTTTGTGCATAATATGTTAATTATTTGGGGGAATGGCATATGGAAACAAAATTTCAATGAATATACAGTATTTGCAAACAGTCATTTAATCGGGTAATTGCACTGATTTGAGGTATGGTAGCATTTGAAAAATATTACTATATTCTTTTCTACAATGAAACATGTCCATCAATGAATATTTGAAATACATTTTGTGCAACATATGAAGAAAGTCTAGAACTTAAATGATCTATCATGAATTGGAAAGCAAACAAAATAGTGCACTTACAGGTGATACAGACAAGATTTGATGTTTATACAAAAATATACCGGTATATCGAATTTGAGCATTTGACTTGTAACATTCCAGTGTAAAAAAAATAATGTCTACATACACATTCATGTACTAACAACCAACAACAAAAATTACATGTACACGTATAACAAACTGTCATCATCATTCTCTGCAAAGAAAAACAATAGCATTCTTTTTGAATCAGCAAAAAAACAGTAGTTACCCAAGGCACCATACTAGGTCCTGTTCTATTTAAGTTACTATTGCTGTGGTTACTTACCTGCCCTGCTTGGTGAGATGCGATTACCATTCTGGTCGTACCAGATGGGGAGAGGAGCATCCAGGCCTTCACTTTCGCACAGGAAACTTACACTGTCGCCAATAGAGGGCGTCAGATCCTGGCCAGGCGTTATTGTGACATTGTAGAAAACTTCCACTAGTGAATAATAAAACAAAAAAGTAAAAAATAAGATTGAACCTATCCCTCCGTGTAGTCCAAATGCAAGATTAATAATACAGTCAAACCTGTCTAAAGCGACCACCCAAGGGAAACACAAAAAGTTGTCTTTGTAGACAGGTGGTCTTTGAGGACAGGTTCATTTAATACATTTTTCAATGAAAAACCATTTTCAAGGGAAACAAAAAATGCGCTTGTTGTAGACAGTCGGTCTTTGTAGACAGGTGGTCACTAAAGCAGGTTTGACTGTACTACATTGAGGCTATGGTATTCTACATATGCAAAACAACTTCTAAAGATCATCCCTATGGTTGAAGCAACTGGAACAAGTTTGCAGCAATTATCTTTGCCTCATTCATCTCTTCTTCTATAGTTTTTATGACAACAGTTATAATAATACAAAACAACTGCTATAGATCATCGCTACGGTTCAGGCATCTGAACAAGTTTGCAGCATTTATCTATGCCTCATTCATCTCCTTTTATAGTTTTTATGACAACAGTTATAACAATAATATATGAGATTTATATAGCACCATTATCCATCCTAATTAAATCCTAAGTAAAAGATGAAAATGATAACAGGCAACATGGTGTACAATACTAACAACAGAAGTTGATCATCATCCCCATCATCATCATCATCATCATTAACATCCTATTGGTCAAGCACATCATCTATTTTACCACCACTGTGATTCTGATTTGATCTTACCTTCTATTTCACAGAATTCTCCCTCAAAGCCTTGCTTGCACACACATTGACTTCGCACACAGTTTCCTCTGTTCTGACACGGTTGCTCACATGTCGATGCTGAAAATATACATCAAACAATATCATGTTGTGAATGAGACAAATGAAGACACATCATCGTCATCAGCGTTTAGAGTCCATTTTTCCCACTTGGTGGGGTTGGAAATTTCATTTCCTAAATGGCTGCTTTCCAAGCGTTTCTGTCTGGGGGATTCATATGAATGATAACAGATGTTTTGGCATCTTCTTCTATGGTATCCCTCCAAGTTTTCCTGGGTCTCTCGCGAGGTCTTCTTCCGGTGACCGGAGAGTTTAGAGCCGTCTAGAGCCAGTGTGCTGCCTCTCTTCTCGCCACATGTCGAAACCATCTAAATCTCTTTATCCACAATTATTAAAATTCCTGTAACCTCCACTTATGTATGTTACCTTTATATCCAAAAAAAGATGCAAGCTGGAATTCTCTTTACTAAAATAAAATTAGTTCATTGGTTATTTGAGAAGTAAATTTGGAAAAAGAGGTTCCTGCTACATGATCAAAGGATTCACATCATCATTGAGAATGGCAGTGATGCTCACTTAAAAGGGGCCTGAAAGCTTAGGCGAGGCGTCAAAAATATCGATACCAGCAGGCTGCCGCCTCACGTATTGGCGCATCGAGGCTGCAATTACGGCCGAAGCCTGGCTGGGGCAAATATTTTTCACTTATTAGCCCAGCCGGCTTGCGCCAGGCTGGGATCTGAGGCTCGGTTTCCATTCGAAAGGCGGCAGCCGGCGCATGCTTTTGTTCGGAGACCATTATGATGACATCATGAGTTAATTGAGGGTCCTACCGCCAGTGGTAGCCGGCTGAGCTAATTTAAAAAATGCAGCCAGGACGCACAAGTGCAGTTAGCTGCCGCTGGCTGGTATATTTATTTTTGACGCCTCGCCTTATTTAGATGCTACACACTTGAAGTACATAAATATGGATCGTATTCCTGTTTTCTTAGCATCCCACCTCAAATACACATCACTTTGATATATAACAAAGACCTTTTATGTCTTTTCCATTTGATGAATGAAAACCATCCTTCTTTCCATCATGATATCATCTATTGAGAGCCAAACTCTAATCATTCTATACAGAGTAACCAACCTCCCGGTACTCAGCAGAAAACATTCACAAGTCAAAGTATAATAATCTGGATTTATATAGCACATTATATGAAATACTGTCTTTAAGCACTTTACAGATATTATTACCCCGGTCATCGGATTCATACCCGCACAATATACACCATCTCCACTCCTTGGGGAGTATTCCTACCCTATGGTCATCATGAGGGCAAATGCAATTAAACACGATAGCATTGTTCCCATTTCTCTCTTGGTTATTGAGTGGCAAATGTAGATTAAAGCCTTGCCAAAGGACATTTGTGCCATGTCAGGATCGAACCCACACCCTATGAATTTCAAGTCAAGTGCTCAAACCACTTGACCACCACACCACTAATAAGTATAATCATCTTACGGGGTATGTTGAGAGGATACAGGCTGGTCAGCGGTCCAGCGGTGCAGGCGTACATTCCAGCATTCTCTTCAGACACACTGGTGAGGGTCAACTGCGTCATCAAAGGTGTCAGCTGGACAGCATGGATGGGTGGCCGCAATGGATCTAATGTACAAGAAAAGAGCAGAATGGCAAATATGTCATTGACATTGTAAATCAAACTTTCATTGCAGTCGAGACATGTTTGTAAAACTGCAAGATGCCAGCAAAATTATCAATTTCCCGCAAACACAGTTAATAGTGTATCAAATATGAAGAGCTCATTTAGAAAAAAACAAGTCCTTTTGTGTGTAGAGGCATATCTGGAAGGTTGTTTGCCATTACATTGCAGTAACATTACTTCAAGTAATTATTCAATTTAAAATTTGAAGAAAAAAAAACACAAATTTCCAGTTGTTTGTGAAAAATTATTCAGATTTTCACTGCAGCATTTTTTCTGATTCATTCAAAGAAATTTGCTTGAAGGTTCAGATTTACTTTTAAAGCATAACATACACAGATTGTTGACAAGGAAGAGCTAATCATGTATTACATGCTACATGGGATTGATGTTAAGTGTACTAAAGTGTTAGAGTAAAGGTTAAGAGGGTTAAATACATGGAAGAGTTCAGCATTTCCTAAAAGTGACATTTCCTTGAGATTGGTGTAGTTTACAAAGTGTTAGTGTAAAAGTTTAGTGCGATGAAGATGTACAAATCTCATACCTAAGGTGTTGACGACAGGGAACACCTCATCGTTAGGTCCATGCCACCTGGGGTTGGTGTAGAGAGGATTAGGGCTGACCTGGCACAAGAAGGTGATCTCTTCACCAAGATCAGGATCACGATTTAGGGAGGAGGTGATGGTGATGTTCACACTGATTCCTTCTGGACCAACTGGAAGAGGAAATAAATACTTTGTTGTATAATGGAATTTAGCTTTCATGTCTTCAATCCAATTAACAGAATAAACCTCCTTTTGGATCTCAACTGACTACAAGGGCAGGACCTTGTAGCTATTCCACTGAGAGCCAAATGCATATTACATGTATTTCTGTATTAAAACATATGCTCTAATTTCTTTCTGGTTCTGAGTGAACAAAATGAATGGGAAAAGACTGGTAGGGAGAGAGAATGGTAAACAGAGTAAACAGAGACATACAACCAACACATCTTGTGCAACCTAGATGAGGTACATGTAATTGAAAATTCATGTATCTAGATGCATTGGTTCATAGAGAGGGAGAGATAAAGAGAGAGAGAGACCTTTTATCTTAGATGTAATACATACATGCATGTCTGATGTATATTTATGCCAGAACTATATTACGTTAACTTAAAACCAGTTATTAGGTTACCTTTTTATCTGTCCCTGGCATTCCAGTGGTTGCATTATTAATAGTTGTATGATTATCTCATCTTTTCGGATTTGTTATGTATTTCTACAATTCCAGTTAAAAGTATGGCAACAATTTCCCACCTGGTATTTCACAAGACATTCCTGCAAATCCTATGGGGCATAGACAGGCTCCGTTAGCACATGTTCCTCCATTAGTGCAGATATCCTCACACTCTCCACCTGTTAGCAGTAAAATTATGGTGATCATCAGATGTCATAAAAGGTTATTATTATTATTGTTATTTTCATTATTATTACTAAAATGACTACTACTACTATTCTACTACTACTATTCCTGCTCCTACTAATACTTCTACCACTACTACTACTACTATTTTTTTTCTACTACTACTACTACTACTACTACTTCTACTACTACTACTGCTAAAGTACTACTACTACTGATACTACAAGTACTGTTGCTACTACTACTACTGCTACTACAGCTACTACTACTATTCCTGCTCCTACTAATACTTCTACCACTACTACTACTACTACTTTTTTTCTACTACTACTACTACTGCTGCTAGAAATTGAACCACAAACCACATGGAACAGGGTAATAAAGGAGACAGACAGTCAAAACACCTAATTACTTTTGAGAGTCAGTAATGCTTATTTTCAATTCATTCAATTCTATTTGTGAACAGCACAATACATTATAACAGGAACTATCTCTCACTTGGCAGTGATTTCTGCTCTTCTTGCTCATGTAATATGAATGATGTATATAATCTAAAGATTGTTCACTGTTCATGCATATTTCATTGATTTCCTAATTCTTCATTTATTTCTTTACTTATTTTTCTTTCTCACATATTTTTAACATATTTCTAAGGATATGAATACTGACCATCAAATATCTCATATTTTACTAAAATAAAGACAATGGAACACAGGTCTGTTAACCCGCTGGCTACTGAGATCTCTCATTCCTTGGGCATAATACAGGAACTCCGTAGTTCTCATTTTCAATTTGTTAAACTGCACTTACTCCTTGGAATGATGACAAAAGCAGATTCTATGGGTCCAACCCTACAGGTGTACTCTCCCGCGTCTTCTACCTGCAGTTCATTAATGCTGAGACGGTTGGACTTCCTGGCGGTACGGGTATTGATGTGTTTGTTCCCTCCTGTGATATTATGGGAAATAATTCACAAAAGTGAGTCGAGAAAAAGGAAGTATCAGATAATTTTGCTTTAGTAGATGTATACATTCTACAGGTCACAGATCCGTGACTGGTATATCTGCCTGTAACTAAACAAAGAAATAAAAGACAGGGTCTTACCTCCAAAAAGAATCCTCTAGGTCAAGAGCTTCAACTGAGCACCACAGAGCTCACGATAGACATTTCCTAGACACTTTGCAAGAACTGTAACTTTTTCATTAAAGATTCAATTTTCTGAAATTTTCAATCCATTTTTGGCGTCAACATTGTTCTTGTGTTCCATGTGTTAATCATTGCTGTATCACAAGGCAATGAAGTGTTAGGACAAAATAATATTAAAGAAACAGCATTATCCATTACTTTGCAATCCAACTTAACCATGTTAATTATCCCGGTTAATTCATGAGTATCCTATGGGTTGTCATGAATTGATAATTTTGATGTCAAAGGTTACCACTCCTTTACCTTTTCCAGTACCCCTGATGAGTTCTCCATCAGGACCGAACCACTGGGGATTGATCTCGTTGGTGTTGCCTCGGATCTCACACAGCACCTTGGTGTTAATTCCCACCAGGAACTGTGGGTTACGCTGGACTCGGATTCGAAGCTGGTAGTCATCACCATCTATTGATGAACATACAAAGATAGAGAGGTTAAAGGCATTGCTTAACAATGTTAAATCTGAGATGCGTGGCCCTACCTGTTATCAGTGTCTGTGATATGGTGTAATATTGAAGCCCTAAAAAATTGCACTTCAAAATGATCATAAAGTGCCTCAAAATAGTAAAAACATTTTACCATACTCATTTTCCCCAATAGACTGAAGTGTTATAAAAATCGTTAAGAATACTAAAAAAAAATTATCTTGATTTCCAATCGTAAATATTTTGATAATCAGACAGGCGATCGGCTTGTAAAAGTCATGGGATTCCTGACTGACCTAAAGGTTTATAATTATCATTGCAACATGAGCTAAATCCAGGATTTTGTTTCAGAATCTGAGACAAAGTTACACAATCCCTTTAAGTGACACATCAAAATACCATGTATGGATACAATCTCATACATTTTCCCGCCATATAAAACTTTCGACATCTATATACCAATAAACCAAATTTGCCTCTTGAACAGAATTTTAAAAAACTGAATGTAAAATATTCTCAGAAAAATATCAACAAACACCTCTGGACCATATAGCCCTTTATGTGAACATCTAAAACTGCAGATATTGCCACAACGTAAACATTGCTAACAACGTAAACATTATCAAAAATAATATCTAATATCTAATAGCTAGTGATATTCGTTTGTCTCGCAATGTGGTCAATAAGGAATCTAAAAGATCACGACGTTTCATGCGCTATCTGCAACACTTCATCAGGTGATAAAAACTAATGTAAGCAAGGGTCCTTTGTACTTTACGGGAGGACCGGCGGAGCGGTCTATAATTCGATCGATAATTGGAACAATAACGCACAATGCCTATTGGTTGACGCACGGTGATCGACCAATCACCAGGCTGCTGGTTCGGCCGCTGGTTCGGCTAATGCACCAGGCCTATTGTCATGGCGGCGTATCGTCCGCATCCAAAACTCTGGGATATCGATCCTGTTGTCTCTGTTGAAATTATTAGGATTGAGACGGATATTGATAGCTTCTTTTACCCTCCTTGTATACATAAACATTGCTAACAACGATGTAGGGAAGAAAATAGGCATAGTGACAAATTACTAAGCTTTCTTTTTCATGAACGTATTCATTACAAAACTCACTGATATTTTGGCAGAAACCACCATCGAAACCCTCTGCACATCTGCAACTCCCCTCCACGCACGTTCCTCCATTGGAACAAGGAACAAGACATTCAGGTCCTGAAAAAACATAAACAAGAAGATGTGACGCTGTATTCATAGTAATTATCTGAAAAAGAATGTCTTTAAAATTGTAGCTGGATAGAATCTAGGAACATGAATTCCTACAAATGTATGACATCTATTCCAGCCTCTGCCAAATAAAAGTAACCGCTAATATTTATAAACCAGACTAAGAAGGGTATTAAATGAGACAAAGGAATGTATAGTAGAATGTTTATGGTATTTATACTGAACTATTTTTCTCCAGAATTCTTCTTATTTAATCATGTAGGTTCAACTGATACACATTTCATTTGTCTTAATTGGTAAAATACAACATAATTTGTAATGATATCCAGAGGCAAAGCTATTTATTTTCTTCAGAAAATACTGTGTATTTTTAGGTTAATGGATACACACAAATGACGCATCAACAGTGTCTGTTAATAGACTACCCTCATACCTGTCTAGCTAGCTGTGCCTACCTCACAGACAATTAGACTTTGATTATTTATTGCTTTGCCTCACCATTTATAAAGGCAAAACAAAATTTGAACCCACAACTACAATGTTCTATTACGCTGTCCTTACCGATTGAGCTAACGATGGGTTCATGAAAGGTGAATTTGCATGATTATTATAAGCCAATTACTAACCCTAACGGTTACCATGTGCGCATGCGCAGGTTTAGCTAGCTAGACTCATCACAAGCCTTAAGATTGTGACCTTTACTTCACTTCCGCTCACGTCAAAGTTGCCTCAAAAGTGCCTACGTACCAGATACAGATAGCAGATAATCAGCTCTGTTCATGCCGACCACACAGCTGTAACGTCCAGCATCTCCAGACTCTGCCGATACAATGGTCAAGGCTGTCTCGGTGTTGGACTGGACATCAGAGAAGATTCGCTGACCAGCTGGAAAGAAATGAGTGAAAACGACCGTGAAAAGGATGGTGATGACTAAGAAAAAGAAGTACCTATCCCAATTTCATGAATTGAATTAAAAGGAATTTGGGCCACAATCAAAACAAACTAAGCATGCACAAAACAATGTATATAACAGAATTATAACACTATAGAAAGAAAGCTCAATGATTTTTCTAGCGATAAATCGTTTATCAGGTCTCTACCAAATAGTGGAATTTGTTATTGTATGCTGTTTCCTACCTCTGACACTCTGTAAATCAATGCGACAACATGACACACACTTACTCTACCCACACCCAAACCTACATGTACATAACACCACAGATAATTATAACTCTAGATTGGTTACTTTGTAATCTGGCAATGGGTAAGTTATCGAGCCCTAGCGGCCATGTTGGTATGCCCTGTCCTGTCCACAGATCATGCTCACAACCTAATACACACAAACTCATCCACATCCTACCCACATAAACCCATAGATAATGATACCACTTTAGACTGCTTACTCTGTATTCCGGCAATGGGTTGATTGTCAGGTCCCAGCCATGTTGGTATGCCCTGTCCTACCCGAGATACTCTACAGATCATGCTCACAACATAATACACACAAGACCGTCCACACACAAACCCATGGACACCCTACCCACATAATACCATAGATATGTATACCACTCTAGACGGCTTACTCTGTATTCCGGCAATGGGTTGGTTGTCAGGTCCAAGCCATGTTGGTATTCCCTGTCCTACCCGAGATACTCCACAAATCATGCTCACAACACATTACACACAAACCCATCCACACCCTACCCACATAATACCATTGATCTTTATACCACTCTAGACTGCTTACTCTGTATTCCGGCGATGGGTTGGTTGTCAGGTCCCAGCCATGTTGGTATTCCCTGTCCCTCCTGAGACACTCTACAGATCAAGGTCAGATCATCACCAATCTCTGGTTTCTCTCTAGGAGGTCCTTGGATCTCAATGGAGAAGGGTCTCTTAACTGAAACAGACAAAATTAAACCAATATAAAGAACAATGTTTACAATAGGTACAATATTTTCAGATAATGTTCGCATATTCCCAAATAATACGTAGCTTAATCTATGACACCAGTCTGACACAGCTTAGAGAAATTGTAGCTGGCATGAAATCAAAATAAATATTTCAATAACGATATAATGGATATCTTACTTTTCTTCTATTTAAGGCACCTATGACAACAGTGAAAGAAAGGAATTTTTTATTAATTCAAAATAACATAATAAAATCAAAGTTATATATTCAATCATATTGAAGAAAATGCCATGCAATAATATTGAAATAGAATTAGAAAGACAGATTCCGGGAAAAGAAAGATAAAAATAAAACTATAGAAATAGGAGGATAGAAATAAAAATAAGCCTTCAGAAATCTGAACATATGAACAAAATTTGTTGTGATGAAATTATTATATTGGAAGTGAACCTCACCTCCAATTTGACAGAAGCTTCCATGGAATTCGTCTGGGCATTCACACGCACCCCTCACACAGGTTCCTTCATTAATACAAGGTTGACTGCAGTGTGCAGCTGAAATGTACATAAAATCGATTTACATGATCTATCATTATCACATCTGTTAGTACCAGCCAGAGTGATGTATCATCCAGGAAAGAAACGGTGCAAATAATCTGCCGATTTTATATCACTTCGTCTGACTCAATCAATATTAACAAATGAATGAACACGTGTAGAATAAACATACTACACAAAGACCTAATGAATATTTATCTCAATGTAACCAGTTGCTCTCTATGATAAATTTAACAGAAATGCTTCTTTGTATTTATGTGTACATTTGCAGGACTTATATATGTACTTTATTTATGTGTGTGCAATTCCAGGTTATTGTCTACATGTTCACTTGAATACTGTATGTAGCCCTCCAGAGCTTCCATATATTCATCTTAAGGTCAATCATGAAAGTTACTATTAAACAGACACATTTTTGTTTAAACTTACGTTGAACTTGAACAGAAAATTCTGTAGTGACTGGTCCCACATTGCAGACGTATGGCCCAGAGTCTGTAGGTAGTAGTTCATTGATCACCAGACGAGTAGCCTTACGGTCCAGAGCTACAATCGTGTAGTGAGAATCACCACCTGCAAATTATTGACAGAAAATTAGCATTAAACAAATTACAAGATTATTAGCAAATTTTCTTTGCAAGGATGGGAGAAACTTTGGATAATCACAACATCATTCGAATAGCAAGACTTCAACTCATTTATTAGCAATACAGTGGTCATTGGATGGGCATTGGTATTCTAACTCTTTACTGGCTTTACTCAACTAATGGAACAAACAGTGGTCTGCCAGTCAATTTCTCTCTCTGAAATATATGATATACTTCAGACAATGTGGAGGTCTAGGGTTCCATCCGTAGTCAAGTTATAAACATCATGAAACATCACTAAAATTGAAGAAGTAAATATCTAACCGGATATATATAGTGTGATTTCAAAAAACATTTTCAACATACATGTAGATAGCAACTTTACGCACAACCCTCAACAAGTTCAAATCCAATTGAGTATTTCTATTACATGCAAAAGCTACGACTAAACCTGTGAATATAAATAAGTACGGTTAACACCTTCTCTACCACTACGGTTATGAACACAATCAAGAAAAGAACATACTTGGGTCTATGATGTTGCCTTGTGGGTCATACCAGACTGGGTTCTGGTAAGGTGCTGTGTGGTCCACTTCACATACAAAGCTCACACTATCACCAGTCTGGGGCAAGGCTGGGCGAGTCTGATCAATCGATATCACAAAATCTGGAAAGAAAATGAAATGAATGCTTTGAAAGTTATAGAATATCATCTCACGGTGCTCCTAGGGCACTGCTATTTATTTATACTTATACTTTCAACTTTAGGGAAGTCAAACAGTAATATGGATGGTATCAATAAAACTTGTAAAAGGTTCTTAAATATACACAATATTTGTTTAGTTTTTAATATCTTTTAATGTGCTCGCTCCACACAATATACTTCATGGAGACAAGGAGTCATGTTAAGGTATTAATGCTGAGTACATAAAATGTACTTGGTGTTCTTCACTGGTCTCAAGTGAGTGTGTTCCAGTGTAAAGTATTCCTGTTGAAAGCATGTAACTTACTTGGTGTCTCACACCGTTCTCCTAAGAAGCCTGGTAAGCATTCACAAGCCCCCTCCACACAACGTCCTCCATACAGACAAGGATGCTCACATGACAAGGCTGAAGAAAAACAAAACAAGAATTATTCTCTCATCTTACTGTCACTAGAGAGAACAATATGCTGAAGTGCTAAGAATAAAAATAAAATTAAGTTTCCTTGATCTACCATTGATAAGGCTGGTTTTTCTGTTGATTTATCAATTCTTCACTCCTTCAGTCTTGGGATAGGAACGTGGATGTTCCTAATGGTAATATTTTCTGCTATCCAGTATTAACCTGATGGACAAACACAATGTAACTACATGAACATGCCATCTATTTCTTTGCCATTTCACGAGACCTTCTATTCACAAAAAGGGACAAATTTTACTAAAAATATACAAATTTGTAAATCTCAACAGCCTCTCCAACAGTTTCAGAGACATTAGAGAATCTTCAACATTGCAACAATGTATTGTAAATGCATATTTACTAGTGGAGGACATCTGCTAGGTATTCTGGGAATTAATTTTGTTGACTTTGCCACTCTTTTGACTTACGATTGACAAGGATAGTGAATCGTTGGTCTACTGGTCCTACAGTGCAGACATACATCCCAGCATCAATCAGGCGGAGATCGTTGATGAAAAGGCGAGTTGCAAATGGAGACAGGTTCTCGGTGTACATGTGGTCAATTCCACCTGCAGAAATAAGACAGAAATTCACATTAATAAAGTTTTGATAGAGATAAAAAGTGTTTGTAAAACTCTATTTTAGTTCATAGATAGTAAGATATCAATCATTCTAAGCTCGTTTGAACACTGTTCACCTCGAAAAGAATATTAATAAGATATGACAAAATATCATATCATATAAATCTCTGGCTGAAAATGACTGTCTTTTCCTTCTTCGCATCAAACTACACAACTTTGTTGTGATATCTATTCCAACTTACATGTAAGGTTTCTCGGGCGGAATTTAGCAATGTAAAAAAGAATGTAAAATCAAAATTCATAATTAATTATGAAAATAATTTGTTGATCGCAATGAAAGGCATACTGACATATTTGCTTTACTTGTGTTGTCACTCAAGAAAAGCTTCTTGACCCCACTGACATTACCTTCTCCGATAGGATTGATGACGTCGCCCTCTCTGTTCCTCCAGACCGGTTTGCCGTAAGGATTGTCACGTGCCACCTCACACAGATATGATTGGTTCTGACCAACCACTGGTACCTGACCAGTAGGCTCACTCACCAAGATGAAAGTATTATCTGAGAAGAGATATCAATAAATCGACAGTTAAGCCCAGTACATATACTGATATACCCCCCTTTGAGAAGTGTCATAAACAGTATAATGCTAAACATAGATTTATATTTCTGTAACTCATACCACACAGCGAATACCTCAGGGCCTCCGCTATGCATAGATATTTTTTTCTCACCCCCTTTCATAGGAAATCAAACATCGGCACTGACAGAGCTCATGTTCTAAAAATGTATGAAGATAAAATATTACTTAGAAGGTGTATTTGTTTTTATCATGATATAAAAAATCATGCATATAAAATCTATGAAAGAGGTTTAGTGAATTTTATTAAAACAAAAACAATACAGAATGAATCTTACCAGGTATATTGCACTGCATACCAACTAACCCTACAGGGCATTCACATCTCCCATCAATGCATTCTCCATGTAGACATTCCGGGTTGCAATCAGGATCTGTATTGAATTAATTAATAACAATCTGATTAAATGGTTTTCTTTTTAATATTTTCAAGAGATTCTCTATTTACTGGTTTATTGTAAATCAAGTTGCCTAATTTTAAAACTCAATAACTATGATTAGTTGGCAAGATATTTAAGAAGTCAACGAGCCTTTCAACAAATTCTGGAAATAGTACACATACTTCTTGACTACCTGTACAATACAAGACAACCTAATAACCATTTATTTTAACTGAGAACAAAAATACATATAAAAACCAACTTCTCATCAGTATGTGTCGTTATTCTTGTTTTATCCCAACCTAGCACATACAAATATCCCCTGTAAGCAATTTCTTAGACTATAGAGCTAAATGATAATGTAATGTTACCTTCAAATGTGACGTTTTGACCATATGTGAATGGCCCCACACTGCAAGCATACTCGCCAGAATCCTCAGATTCAGCAAACTCAAAGTTAAGTTGAGTGGCATAGGATGAGATCTCCTTGGTAAAGACTCTGCTATTGTTTCCTAAAAGATAAATTGATAAATAATTAGATCCATGGATTAACCCTCGTATGATTGCTTCACAGCCCCCCCAAAAAAAAAACAAAAAAAAATATATATATATTCTTTTGATATACGCATTACAATCGTGATGACCATTAAGTCTCAACACAATGTCAGACCTCACATTAACAGGCAAGAGTTAACAGGCTCCTCGCACAGAACAGGTTAATCTTGTTAAAATGTGGGATGTATAAACTAAGATGAACATCCCACTACACTGTTTTGTAAAAACTTTATAACAGCTTAGTTTTTATTGAGTGGGTGATTATTTCATAGCTTTAACACAATCTCTAGTATAAAAAGAGACAAATATGCAAGAATGTGTCTTTAGCTAAAGAGGCATCAGTCTATCGAATCATACAAAGGATCTTCTCTTCTCCCCATAGAATATCACTTTATAGTATCGGACAATGTACCTTGTTTATCTCTATTCATAATACCAATAGTCCTTTGATTTTTTCAAAGAAACTTCAATTTCACCCCCTTCTGACCTAGAACATAGCCTGACGGGCATTAACTCACATCCTTAATATATTGAGTATATGAACAACTTTAACTTTGGATATCATACAGTTTACTTCTAAATTGTTTGTACTTGTAAATTTAATTTATTTTTAAATGTTTTTTCATGTTTTTTTGTAGCTCAAGAATGAAAGTTGGACTGGTTGCATTAGGGCCCTTGTTGAATACTTTTAGATGTACCGGTAAGCTTTATTATCTAGGATTTTCAAGTAACATAAATTGGGACAAATCTATTTTTCACATACCTAAGAAATTAAAAAACTTGGTAAGGGTATGAATAATTTAATTATTAATTGTACATCACAAGTACCTTGTCCATAGGGCAAGACTGGCTGACCGCTTGATTCTAGCCATTGGGGTGGGGCATAGGAGCTGCTTTCAGGAACCTCACACAAGAATGTTGCATTACCTCCGACCTCTGACATTTGACCTTGAGGTACACTGATCACAATGAAGTCTTCAGCTGGACAGGTACAAGGGGAAAAGGTTAGTAGTAAAATAGTGTGGAGAAATGACGGAAAGATCAGTATTACAAGCAATTTTTAAAAGAAGAGATTTTGATACTCTTCCTTCCGTTTCAGACCTGCAATCTTACCAAATCAAGGTGAAAGATATGAATTTGTGTGAATATTACCGATATCATGAGAGAATATCAAATGATGAAGTGTTTGGTAAAGTATCTGGTGATAAATTCCTCTAATTAGTATTCTAAACATAAGCCAGCGTGTAAGCTGCCGACAAGGCGGTAAGAACTATCTGTTAGGCCTTTTTAAAAAAGATGGAATTTCTATTGCCCTTTGCTACCGACCAAAAAAATTTGAAATCTACGGTAGGCCTTTAAAAAAAATTATTTAAAAAAAAAAAATTAAACTGTTTTTTTTAGAAGATAAATATATTTAAGCATTCTAAAATGATAAATATCAGCCCAAAGAGGGAGAAAAAAAAAGGATTTTTTTTTTTTTTTTAAAGATCAGACCGACTGACCCATGTTTTGGTAACTAAAGGGCAATACAACATCTTTTTTTGTTAGGCCTTATCGACGAGAGCCGACAGTTTGTAGGACATCAAATGAGAGCAAGAAGCGAAGGCACAATAAAAGGATATTGTGTAGAACAAATTGTGTGAAGAAGAAACAGAGGGAGACTAAATATGAAATGCTGAGAACCATTCAATGGGCTGACTGGTCACAGTAGTACCTTGGTACTTGGTTGGTTAATCCCTTTGGCAACTCACTTAGGAAGCTATACTGGGATGATAGAAGAGGCGAGTAACTACAAGGAGTGTCATGAACTGTAGTGGTGTGTGGACAAAGCACTAGATAATTTACAGTATCAGCATATTAGAGATGATCAAATAACACAGATGTCTGCAAATCAAGCTGGCCTTACCTTGTCTGGAGCATGTAGGTCCATTGAAACCTTCTGGACATTGGCATTCTCCATCATTACAGGTTCCTCCATTTACACAGGGTGGGTTGCATTCTATCTCTGTACAAGGAGAACAAGAAAAGCCCATAAATATTTTCATGTAGTTCTCAAGTTCTGAGAAACATACTCCTACGATAACTGCACTGCATACAATATTACAAATGACCATATTCCTAGCTATGGGGCTTATCCTCTATATAACCCTAATCATAAAAATGATAAATAAAACCAAATAGCAACTATAACCTGTTCTTTGTACCTTCAACGTAATATGGTCACAGCAATATGCTCATCCTCACTAAAGTAAACCTGTTCTTAACAAAGTTACCATGCAGGCCTAACTCTTCACTTTTTTTACCATTATAACATCCAGTAATCGATGCAGATGTTCTCCCCTCTGTGCACACAGCATGTGCCAGCAGCTTAGCCCAAATTATTCATGTTTACACCTCCAACACTGACACACTTCATATCTGAAAATTTCCCTGAATATCAACTATGTTTGCAATTTGAACATAGGTGGGGGCATTACACACCCTTGACATACTCCTCTTTTGATTTATGTACAGCCTGTAATTACATTGTTGATTTGATGGCAGCTGTTTGCTCCGAATAGGGTTGAAGATGAGATGTATTATTAAAATAATTACTTACAAAAGCTAAATGGTTCAATAGTTGAATTAGCATAACAACCTCATTTCACATCATCACTATCATCATTGTCATCTACATAATTTTGATCGCATTCATCATCAATATCATCACCATCGTCTGCCACGATCAGCGTCATCATAATCAATGCTACCACCACTGCTACCACTTTAGCCATCTTTAATACCAACTACCAATGACACCACCACCATCAACTTCACCACTATCTCTACAACCAACACAGCCCCAACTAACACTACCAATACCACCAATATTACTAACCGGCATAGTTAACATTGATGTACTTCACGTCCGACCCTCCAGTGCAGTAGTAAACGCCAAGATCAGTCTCTCTCAGGTTTCTAATCACAAGCTCTGAACTCATGTTGTTCAAGACATTTACAAAGACATTGCTCACATCTGTAAAAAAAAAATAGAATTATAGACATAATGAATTGCAAAAAGATTCTTTTGGACGGCAATTTCATATAAATGTGAAGACTGTGCATATGTTAATATAAATAAGTCTATTATAGGTTACTATAAAGGAGAAACTGTTGTAAGGAATTGCATCCCAAGATGTAAGAATTACCATAGTTTCACACCACGAAATTCTAAAATAACAACATTGAATTTTGCAATTCATAGAGAGGCCTCTTACTTCCAAATTGAGCAGGGATGAGTTGTCCATTACGGAACCATTGAGGGCGCTGCACAAAATGATCTCCCTCCTGGACCTCGCACAAGTATCTGACCTCTGACCCGGGTATCGACTGAAGCTCGGGGTCAAGTGTGATTGAGATGTAACCGTTAGCTGAAAGAATGAAAATAAAATTGAATGGACATAATGATTAACTCTTTTTTTAAAAACATGAAAAGTGGAAGTGTATGGAGAAATTCTGTTAATGAAACCTTAAGACAGAACCATATATTGCAGTGGTTCTGCCTCGTTATTATGTTTTGTTTTCCAGATCTGTCTTTTGTTGTGCCACCTTTGTGTGAAGTTGTGTAGCAGCGTGAACATTTGAATTACTTACCAGGTACTTTGCATTCTGTACCAAGCCAGTCAGAGGTGCACTGACAGACCCCGTTCACACAATTCCCACCGTTCCGACACACCGGAAGACAGTCAGGTTCTGTGGAGACAAGAAAGGGAAAAGGAAAAAGGAAATTAAGAACTCTAAAATAACGCTTAAATAAATAAGTCAAATTTAAGTGCTTCAAAAATCTCTTTTAGTTTTCGCATTTCCATTTTAGTTGTTCACATATCCCCTTATATCCTCCTCTCTGTTTCACCAACCTCCTCCCTCTCCCTTTCTCTCCCTCTCCCTCCCTTTCTCTTCCTCTCCCTCCCTTTCTTTCCCACTCTCTCCATTCTCTCTTCTTCTCTCGCAGTCTCATTCCCCCTCCAACTTTCCTCCCCTCTCCTTTCCTATATCTTCCTCTCCCTCTCTTTCTGTCCCTCTCCTTACCTCTCCCTCCTTCCCTCTCTCTCTCTTTCTCTCCCTCTCTCTCCCTACCTCTCCACTCTACCTCCCTATATTTCCCTCTACATCCCTATCTCTCCCTCTCTCCCTTTCCCTCCCTCTCTCTCCATTACAGTTCTCTAAACGTACCTTCTCTGGCTACCAGTACCATGGTAGTTTCTTGGAATGGACCCACTCTCCCTCTCCCTCCTCATCACTCTCTCCCTCTCCCTCCTTTTCTCTCCCTCCTTTTCCCTCCCTTTCTCTCCCTCCCTTTCTCTCCCTCTCTCTTCCTTTCTCTCCTTCTCTCTCCCTTTTTCTCTCTCTCTCTCCCTTTCCCTCCCTCTCTCTCCATTACAGTTCTTTAAACATACCTTCTCCGGCTACCAGTACCATGGTAGTTTCTTGGAATGGACCCACTGCACATGTGTATTCTCCTGAGTCAAAGGCTTGTGCGTTGTACATAATGAGTTCAGTCATCAAATGGGTGTGGTGATATGTGCCAATGGCCTCATCCAGTGTACCTACAGATAAAATAAATTACAATTTTATTGATATAGATAACTTCTGGAAATATTTTTGATCTCTCTCTTTCTCTCTCTACGTACTTTCAACAACACTATGTTATATCCATTCTCATAGGAAAAGATTAACATATGAAAATCAAAGGCATACCTTCCGATAGTTTCACAACCTGTGCATCTAACCACAAAGGACTGCCATAGGTATCTGACCTGACATAAGAGCCAAAGGTCATCACCGGCCATCATATCTATACTCTCTGTTCCATCATTACCAAGATCCACAATTAACAAAGTCAGCCTTCTTTTTCTCAAGAATGTATCTCATTCAATTAAAACTTACATCATAGGAAAAGATTAACAAAACAAAATCTAAGGCATACCTTCAGATACTTTGTCTCCCTGCGCATCCAACCACATAGGACCCCCATAGGTATCTGACCTGACGAGCCAAAGGTCATTACCTGCCATCATAACAATACTCTCTGTTCTATCAATTCCAAGATCCACAACAGGCAAACTATGCCTTTTTGTTTGTCATGAATATATCTCATTTAATAAAAACTTACATCACAGGAAAAGATTAACAAAACAAAAAATCTAGGGCATACCTCCAGAAACTTTGTCTCCCTTCGCATCTAGCCACATAGGACTGCCGTAGGTATGATCATCGCTCACTTGACATATAGGAAAAGATTAACCCTTTGCTTACCGGATCCTGGTGGTCCCTGTGTTAAGGCTACGGGACCTATACAATTAAGTAGTTAACAGGTTAACAAATGAAAATCTAAGGCATACCTTCGGAAACTTTGTCTCCCTGCGCATCCAACCACATAGGACTGCCGTAGGTATCATCACTGACACGACAAATCAGACGAAGATCATTACCAGCCATTAGAATGACACTCTCTGGTCCATCAATGCTAAGATCCACACCTAGTAAAGAAAAAGATTGTCATTACAAATAGTTTATTTAATTTTGGTGGAATTTGATTGGCATTGAAATAATGTTGGTTTCTTTGATCATTTATTCATTTCATAATGAAAAGACAAATAAAAAAGGCTGGTGTTTGAAAAAGTCACCCACTTACAATTATTTATATAAACTTGGTGCAATGAAGATGTTTTTATTGGATTACTCAGGAATTACAATGAGAATTTAGAAAAAATATATTTCTTTCAAAATTGTGAAAAATTTCAACTAACAATTTTTTTTAATTCAATGAAGTTCATTGAAGGATTGTGCTGTGCTCCTAGCAATAAAGACATTTCTTGCACAGAGTTAGAAATCAACTTTTGTTTTACAAACTATAATACAAATTGTGTCCAATGTTGAATTGCAACAGTGTTTCTAACCTGGCATTTCACAAGCCTCTCCACCATATCCTTCAGTGCAGCTACAGGTTCCAGATAGACACATCCCACCATTCAAACATGGCGGATCACATATGATGACTGTAAGAAAGCCATAAGAAAATTCACATATGATGAATGTAATTAAGACATGAGAAAGTTCACATATGAAGACTGTAACATAGCCATAGGAAATTCACATAAGACTGTAATAAAGACATTAAAAAATTCACTTTTACATCAATCCTTGTTAAGATTTTCATTACATATGTGTATCAAATTAATTCCTTTCATTTTTTTTCTTCCACAGTTGATCATTAACAGTCCATCATTATAATTAAACAATTAAAAGTTTTCTTATTAAGCGTCTTAACAGTATTCTGATCAAGGAGTTGATACAACAAAAACAAAACTTCATTTGGGACCATAAAATATCAGGCATTTAACAGTAAATATACTGTCTATCAATATACAAAGATTGAGCATAATATTCATAATAACTTTAAAAGACAAGGACAGAACAGTGCCAGCGTCATAGACATGTATATCACATGTCCTGTTGAGAGCCAAAAAGGTGTTAATGACATTTAACCCATTGCTTACTGGAACCGGGTGGTCCCTGTGTTAAGCATATGGGAATTAGATAACTCACTAGTCAGTGGATTAACATAAGAGTTAACACCTCTCTGACTCACAGCAGCAATATGAACTTAAAATAATTACTTATACATGTATATACATGGAAGCAACAACATATGACAATTAAAATGAAATCAATCTTACTTCTCTGCAGACAAGCTGGTCCAGTAAAGCTATCAGGGCAATAGCACTTGCCCATAAGACAGGTTCCTCCATTCAGGCACTGAGGGATACATGCCACCTCTGAGAAATCAAAATAAACATGTTATTTAAGTGAATTTACACCCACTGTTCTTAAATGCTAGTGGCATGATTGGGTTAAATGGTGATATTCCGAGCATATCCTGACTTGATCATTACCAATGAATACAGATCGCTACTGTTTTACCTATCAATCTTACCATCAACTATGATAGTGAATAGTCTTTTATAGGCCCTACAGCTCATAATTAATCACCTTTGTCCTCTAGCAGATGAGAAGAGGAGTTACATCACCAAAACCCTAACTCTTTAACTTGTATTTATGATCACTCTCCATATTTAAACCCAAGTGGAACTGAGGTGTTAAATGTGAACGTTCACAGAAAATCTGGCTTTAAGATTCACTACCAGCTAAGACATAGAGAATCCAACTAAAGTCATCCTTATCAATCTTACCATCCACCATGATATCGAAGAGTCTTCTTAGGGGTCCGACAGCACAGATGTACCGCCCTTCGTCCTCCAGCTGGATGTCCATAATGAAGAGGCGAGTCGCATAAGGAGATATCTGCTCCGTCTTCATGTGGGAATCACCTCCTAAAATCAAACAAGAAATGGTAATGGTAATGGTAATTGTGGTAATGGTAATGGTGGTAATGGTAATGGTTTTATTAAAAATTCATTTGCAGCCAAATGGCTGAATTGCAGAATTGTGTACATTGCGTAAAAACATAAATATTTATGCAAATTTAAATAAATTACAGTGAAACTGTCGAGCAAATCGTATTAAGACATATCCCACAGTGAATGAATTTTCTAAATATAAAAGAGTGTACTCCCTATAAACAAAAAAATCAACACATTGCCTTTAGGAACAGATGGAATATGCTAATCAGGCCTAACGGGAATGAAATATTAAGAAGTCAAGTCAAATGACGAATTGAATCAGTTTATTGCAAAGGTATGTAAAATCTATCTTGTTTCTTTGCATCTGTTCTAAATAATGCAAATCATCAATACCAATACCGCTGGCAAACATAGGGCAATCACCACAAGAAATAGGTAACCATTTCCACAAGACTTGCTTTATGCAATGACTGGACGCGTACACACCTATTCAAAACTTAATCTCTTATTAATATAATGTATCATCGCATAGGGAATCTCAAAATAGTCAATGACCTTGCTACAAAACAAAACGTTTCAGATAAAAGAATAAGGCAAAGGGGATCTTACTTAAAGAGAATGTTGAGTTCTGGGGAGAAGTGAAAAATAATTGTGCACGTTATCATTGTTATTATGCAAATGTGAAAGAACATGAGATGAAAAACATTTCCTGAACAGCATAGCTCTTCAAATGCCTTAGTATTCTAAATATGGCATGTAACAGCATAAAAATCGTGACAGATTTTTTTGCGACATGTTCGTGTAGTCCCATATACATATTTTTGTGTACAGTGCTCGTTTACCAAGACTGAGCCAAATTTCTTATCATTTCGATGACTCCAGAACCTTGCATTACACACCAATACTTATATGCTACATGATCATCCTTTTCTGATCCATTCCACATTGTTTCTTTCACAATGCAAACCCATGACCAGAACTCAACTTTATATTTAAATGGCACATAAACAAAGTTAAAAGAGATGTTTCAATATAGCATGTGCAAAAATACTGACAGTCACAAGGCAAGATGAATAGACAGAGACTCACCTAATCCCATGGTTTGGATTACCTCTCCTTCTGGGTTAATCCAGATTGGTGATCCATAAGGATTATCTTGAGGTACCTCACAGATGTAGCTCACATCGGCACCCAGGATTGGATTATCCTGATCAGGGATCCTTACACGTACGATACCTTCATCTACAAGAAGAATTCAACATAAGATATAACCACAGTTACATGTATGAGTATGATCACATCGTTCCTAGATAAGATGTGTCTCCAGATTACGCATCAAAACCCACAAAAATTAGTCATATACATGGAGATACAAATTTTAGAAATGAATTATTTGTAAACAAATACTACAAAGAGTTTTCAGACTTCTGAAAAGAAGAAAATATGATTACGGTAGATCTTTTTTGTACCACTCTTTTCACTTTTCCATTCAGACCAAGTTTAATAATTTTACTCAAATTCATTGCATCTCAATTATTTTCGGTTAAGTTCAATTCGTTCCTGTTTGGTTCAGTTGTCTTGAGTTAGTTTAACTAATTTAATCTAATTCAGTTCAGTTCAGTTTTTCATGTCAGATCAAACCACTTACGTTAAATTCAAGTGAGATCAAAATCAAGAGATCACACACTCATCTCAATTCAGTATAATTACAGCGGAGTTCAATGCTATTCAATCAAGTCCAATTCAGTTCAATTCTATTCAATCCAGTTCAATCCAGTTTAATTCTATTCAATCCAGTTCAATCCAGTTCAATTCAGTTCGAACCAGTTCAATTCAGAAGTGATTGATCTTACCTATCATGTTACATTGTGGACCAGTGAACCCATAGAGGCAGTTACACACACCATCTACACACTCGGCTCCATTCAGGCATGGTCTCAGGCATCTCCTCATGGAGGCTGTACAGGGCATGAGGAAACATTTTAAACATTGAATAGTACCGTCTGATTTCAGCCGAGATGAAACATAAATTCAGATGCCGGAATCATTATAATCTTGATTCATATACAGTAGAAACCTGTCCATAAAGACCACCCAAGGGAGACAAGAACAGTGGTATTTATAGGTATTTTCAAGGGAAACCAAAAATGTGGTCTTTGGAGACAGGTGATCTTTCTATACAGGTGGTCGCCAAAACAGGTTTGACTGTAGCGCTTAGTACACAATATCATCTCTCAGCACCTTACAGATAACATTACCTCAGTCATCGGATTCGTTCACACATAGTGTGACCATCTCCACTCCCTGGGGAGTATTCCTACCATTATAGTTCAATGTGAGGGTATATGGCGATTAATGACATTAAGGCTTTTGTCATCCTCCAAGTGTCCCATTTCTCTCCTGGGTATGGAGTGGAAAATATTCAATTAATGCCTTGTCAGGGATCGAAACCATGACCTTTCAATTTCAAGTCAAGTGCTACAACCGCTTGACTTCTGCATCTTTAAGAATGTGGAACTTTACCAATCAAAATTCACTAAACTATCTCCAAATTCCCATACTAATCATTCTATTTTGTTTGCTAAGTATATGGCAAAAGTTTGGAAGTATTACTAAGTTTGCCAAGCTTTTTATAACCTCATCAATCTTTATTCAAATCAGGAATGCTAATACACGATGATGCAGACTCGGATCATTCATATTATTAACCTTATTATCATTATCAGTAGTGGTAGTAGTAGGAGTAATAGTAGTAGTAGTAGTAGTAGTAATAATAATAGTAGTAGTAATAGAAGCAGCAGTAGTATAATTACGAAAATTACCATCATCATTATCATCCTCATCATCACTTTCATTTTTATATTTGAATTATTTGTTCCATATAATATGGTAATTCAACAACTACCGGAATATATGCAACTTACCCAGCTGTCCGCACATTGGTCCAGTGAAAGGGTATGGGCATAGACATTCTTGGGCGATGCATTCTCCACCGTTAAGACATGGAGGTTCACACTCCTCAACTATAATACAAAAATGAACACGTTTTTTGCATTAATGTCATAATGATTCAGAAACTGAACTATTTGAAAATGAATTATGTAGTAGATATGAGAGCAAAAATCTACATTTGCCACACTCAACCCAGGTGATGTAAATGGGTACCTGGCAGGAAATAATTCCTTGAAATGCTGGAGCGCTGTATAAACGGCTGCTAGGCTAAAGCCAGGGTAATAATAAATGTGCCTCGGAATAGAATTATCTAGATAGATGGCGCTATAGAAATGCCTATTATTATTATATGCGCAGCACAGGTAAGGTGCTGGATGGACCCCCAGTAATCAAGAAAAGCTGTTATTTTCCTCTCACCTAGATGCTATCATAATTAAAGCCCATTAAGACATAAGTAAACACAGTAACAAAACTGCCTTGGTTTTTAAAAAGGAGACAAGTATTACATGTTAGAAACTTGATGTGATGCTGTATCTAGCTACCTCTACAAAATGTCACATTTATAATTCCTTAAAATATTAAACTCATGATTCTTACTGTTGACAATGACGTTGACGGTCGATTGGAAGTCCCCAACGACACACTTATATGTTCCTGCATCCACTGGTGACACACCAACAAGATTGAGTATTGATGATGACTCTGAAGACTGTACAGTGTGAAGATGGGCATCACCTCCTGGGAAAAAGAGCAAGCACAGAATCACATCTTTGAGCTCAAATATGATTTCATTTAGTTATTAAGAAAAGTGGAGTGACATTGAATTTTAGGAAGGTGGATATTCATCATGTTGTGGCTCCATTTATTTAGTTTATGTTTGAATAGAGATTTATATTCAGAGGAGCCAAACTCATATGAGAGCCATATGTATTCCTAATACTTTTTCTTTGCGGATGTGTCATTTCAGGCTGCTACACTTTGCGAAGCTCTCTTAATTCAATCATCAAACATACCAAAATTTTAGCTGCGGTTGGTAAACACATGAGACCAAAAGGTATATAAATAACTTCAAAACAGGATACCAAAAGTTACCTTGATCCAGCGGCTGGACTGCATCACCTCTTGGATTTATCCACATAGGATTCCTGTACAGACTGTTCTCAGCGATCTGACAGTTGAAAGACACATTGGTACCAATGTTGTACACAGGGCTCTCAGGTTGCTCAATGTCAATCATACCTGGACCTAAAAAAATAGGGACAGCAAAATAATTAAACTATATGAAGAAAAAAAGTTTTTTCAATATTATTGAAGTGTAGTTTTTCAAAAATAACTATAATAGTAAATACATCAAAAAATTGTGTGTGTAGTGCTGAATTACTTCATTCTCCTGCTATTATCCGTTGTACTGACATTATCAGAACCCAAATTAAATAAATAACAATCATTCACCTGTTTTATATTTCTCACCTAATATAATTTCTAACCATCTCAGCTATGACTTTCCCTCATTGAAAAGAAAAGTTATATAGCCACAACTCCAACCTACTCCAATGGAATCATATACTACACATGTAAATTTTAGTCTCAATGGTGCTGTTGATTAGATATCGATATTGGTGCTCTACATTTCCTAGATGGCATTGGATTAAGTTATGACTAATATTGAGGATTCCCTATAAATCTCAATTTTTTTATCAAATAGTTGGTATTAAACTTTTCACGTCCTACATTATCTTACCATGTACAACGACCGTATGGTTGAACATCAATGGGCCAGCTACACATGAATAGACGCCTCCATCTGACTCGGTTAGACTGGTGAATACCATTTCTCTTGAAAGTGAAGTGGGTGTTTCTGTGTACACATTGCCTAAAGGACCTGAAAATGAGGTAAGAAGTCTTGTACTAGTTCACAAATGGAAGACATATTTCAATTTTTAAAAATGACTATTCACATGTACGCAATTCTAAAATTTCTGTTTAGAAAAATATGAAACTATTCCAGGAAATAATACAATACAACTTGCATCTCACAGCAAAATTTTCTGTTTTCAATCCTTTTTGAGTCAGTAATTTAAATTCAGATCAATTTCATCTGGAATAGATGGTATACAATGTACTTGTAAGAGGCTTATCAAAGGTCAATTTCAGTTGGAGTTGTTACCTTGTTGAAAATAAAGCTTTTCCAATTATATTTGTTATCACAGCAATTTGAATTATGTGTGAAGAGAAAGTGAAGAAGTTTTCCCTAGATAACTTAGCTGCATATATGCTTCTTTTTCCTACCCGAAGCAAGGTAACCACGGTAATAATATGATTACAGTTGTACATGTAAGTTTTTAGTTGTTTTCAGTATAAATTTATCCAGTACCTGGAGCGAAACTCATGACCTCTTCACCCTGCGGATCGATCCATTTTGGAGCACCATAGGGGCTGTCAGGGGACACCTCACAAACAACTCTCAGCTGCTCCCCTACAACGGGAATGGTATGGTCCACTGGTATGACCCGTATCACATAGGCGTTGATATCTACATTCAAAGACAACAAAGGCATTTCATTAAAAAAATGTATTCCTACAAAAACAAGTAAGAAACCAAAGAGTAAAACAGACGTCTTGATGTATGATATAAATGGTAGGGGCAAGGCTGAAGTCATTCTCAATTTCTCATAAACCACCAACAAGATATCTTTTTGAGCCAAAAAAGTTAAGGACAAAAGATGAAATTTAGTACTATGGCCAAGAAAGGTGTGAAGTGAATGTCAATGTGTGATGGAGGCACAATTACTTTTTTGGACACTGTTAGCCTGGGAATAAAACCGATAAACTTCTACTATGCCTTCACACAAGGGCTGAATAAATCTTGAATATCTATAAGAGTCCATTTAAAAGGATACATATATTAGTCACCTTGTTTTTCACATAAACCCCTTCTGCCTATTGTAAATAAAATGATTATACATCCATTTCCAGCCTAACTGCACACGATGGTGGTCTCCTGTTTTCTAAATTACCTCTCTACTTTATTGAAAAATATTTACTATAAATTTCTTATCTTATTTGTATGCTTCGTAAATGTTTATCGTACGATATAATTGTACATGACTTTCTATTTAATTACTTTTGTAAACATTTTATTCATTGTATTTGTTATTGTTCAAATTTGTGTATTTTGAATTTGAATTTGTATCTTGTTGAACGCAGAAATAAAATCAATCAAACAAACAAGCACCAACACAGTTTTCTACTAACATTTGTAATTTTGCCCCTGAAAAAATTTACTTCATGATCACTAAATAACAAATCAAAAGATATTTACCATGTACTGTGCACTGTGGTCCTCTATATCCATTAGGGCAGAGACATCTCCCAGAGTTACAGGTTCCTCCATTAAGACAGAGTCCTCCGCAATCATTACCTGTATTTAGAAAGAGGCAAGATGTAGATAAAGCGCATTTAAGTGAAAAAAAGCAATCAAATACATGAAGCATAATGCTCTGTGGTGAGACGAGAGGCATCATCAGAAATTGACCTCAAACAAACTTTTTAAAGAGTAATAGTGAAGTTGACAATGATGGACAGTTATAGAATTTGATTCATGTATTAAGCCTAGGATAATAAGGGAATCATGTACAGTAGCTAACAGCTCAACATCTACACAGGAAAGGGAGTAAATCTGTGAAGGGGGAATGGGCAGAAACTAGTTGGAAGGAAGAGGAATATATATCTACAATTTTCACTTGTTTTTTACCTTGAATGTCAATTTCATAGATGGACGTGAGAGGTCCTGTTTGACAAGTGTAGCTGCCTGCATCCTGGAGACTCAGAGCCTCAAAGTTGAGTCGGGTTGCTCCTGGCGCTGGATAGTCCACATACACTCGCTCGTTACCTGTGTATATTACCATTACATGTTAATCTCAAGTAAACGATTGAGCATATCATTTGGAGGTTTTCACTACAGATTCACAGACATTAAAGGTAATACAAAGTTTTGGTATGGGGTCATGGATTTGGTTCAAATGAACATATTTGAAGCATATGCGATCCTACAATATTCAGTGATCGTTTTCGTGGTTGAAATCAAGTCTAAACTTATGAAATTGTAAATAATAAATTCTTTATGTTGTATAGCTCCCTCTCAAGGTCAAGATATTAATAAAGCTATAAAACAATATGTCTTGACTAAAATCGACCGATTAGCTATTCCCGTTTGGAAATTATATATCACAACAACATATTCTGAAATTTTCATGGTCGCAGCTACCATTGTAAGGCCGTAGGAGCTATTTGAAATTTATCAACATTTACCAGGAACACCAGTAAATTGTTTAATTCAATTTTTCTCGAAAGCAGAAGTGTTTTACGGGATAAATTTTCTAGTGCTTATAATACATCCACAGGGGCATCCAAATATATCAAAATTGTTTAGAATCACTACCCACTCAATTTTCAAAATTTCCTAAAACTTTGTATTACCTTTAAGTAAACTGCAAACTTTTCCAAAAAGGAAACCTTTGGGAACATGGGATTGGTAATGAAATCTCTTGTTTTAGGCATGTAACTTTCATAAAACTGAACAATTTTCACTTCATGATTTCTTTTCCGATTAGTTTTAGACCTGAAGTTTCTCATACCTCTATATTTGAATTCCCAGTTTTAAATAATCCCTTCTCTCTCTCTGTACACATTTCCTCTCAACATTAAAGACTGGGTTACAGACCGGGAGAAGCAAATTAATTGGGTAAGGAAACAATATTTTCAAATGGTAGTGAAGTTATACGGAAGACCGGTGAAGACATTGAGAATTGAAAATCTTATAAAGATAACAATTCTTTTAAGATTTCAATTCCTGGACTTGCCTCTAATGGAAAATTTGTGCTGAATACCAGGATGGGTTGTGGGAAAATACAAAATACCTGACTCACCTATGACTCTTCCTGGTACTGCTTGGAGGTTAGAGTCCAGCCACGTTGGGTTACCGTACGTACTCCCAATAGGTGCCTGACACAGGAGTCTGAGAGGATCTCCAATCCTGGGCTCGCTCTCAGGGGTCGGGATGTCCGGCAGGACATGGATAGCTTCTACAGGGGAATATAAATTAAATGTTTAGGGGGGTGTTTCACAAAACTTGTCATCAGTGACGATTGACAGTTTTTGTTATAAGCTACTGAAATCCTTGCTTCTGATTGGATATCAGCAGATTTGTCACTGATTTTTGTCATTTGTCATTGAAAAAAAATTGTGAAACGGCCATTGAGCACCCCTGTTGACTTATTCAATTCAGTACGTAGATTAAGTCAGTATTTTATTTAGCACTTTGCTTGGCTAAGTAATATGGCTCAGCTCGCATTGAGATCACATCTAAAGAATTTATTTAATAAAGCTGACTTTAAGGCAAAATACCTAAGGATAAGCATTGTGGTGTCACATAATCAATCCTAAATAATTTGCATATGTATGGGCCATTAAAAGCATCCTCATATGACTGTGCGCGGCTTATAATGACTGTGTATGAAAACCACATGCCTGTCAATCAAGGCCATCAGAAGTTATTCAATTAAGTTTCTTTTAATTGTACCTTGATGCATAAATAACTCAGAGTACATAAAATGTGAAATTATGTAAAAATATTTCACCTTACAGGAATAATATTTACCATTAAAGTTACAAAAACACATATAATGAAAGTTAGACCATGCATCCCCTCTGTCCTAATGAATTTGAACATACCTCTTTGTTCACAAGCTTGTCCGCTGTAACCAGGCAAACATACACATCTACCATGAGAGCAGGTTGCTCCATTTCGGCATGGGGGGAAGCAACGTTCCTCTATGGCTGAGGGATTTAAACAAAGTTGTATATACAGTTGTAAAAATGTCCCGTTACAAACATAACTTACATGAGCACAAATCCATTATTCTTCTCGATGGGGTGAACAATTTTGGTGCATATGGCCATTCTATGCTCATTCATGCACAGATTTAATCTACGAACTGGCAAATTCTTTTATCAATTTTGTATGGTATAGACAGTAGCGTACGCAGGATTTTTTCAAGGGGGGGGGGGGTTTAACATTCTTAAATCGGGCCGAAAATTTCGCAACGACTCAGCCAGCTGCTGAATTAAGTGGCGGGGAGGGGGGGGGGGGGATAAGAGGACACTTTTTTTTTCTTTGGTCTCAAAATTTGGAAATTTGACATTTTGTCAAACTCAAAGGGGGGGGGGGGGTGTTGCTCAAAAATACACACATAAAAAAACAACCCCCCCCCCCCGCCAACCCCCTGTGTACCAGCCTGGGTATAGAGATAGCCAGAATGCACAAGTAAAACATGTAATAGTTTCACTTCCAAAGCCATCTATACACAGAGTTCGGCCGACCCGGTTAGAGTTGGACACAATATGGCGACTACTGCTTTGTTAGGCAAGCACAACAAAAAAGAATATAGGCCATGGCTAGAACCGTGAAACCAAGTTGGCCAAACTCTGTGTATAGATGGCTCTGTTCACTTCCTACCTGTACCGCCCCCACCACTAATTGTGATGTTAGCCGTAGCAGTGAGTGGCCCTGTACTGCAGGAGTAGCTTCCCGCATCTGCGGCCATCACGCTGTTGATATAGAGGATGGAGGAACTGTCGCTTGTCTTTACCGTGTACAATCGTCCTACTGCACCTGTTAGAAAAGATAATATACGATTAAAGGGCAACTCCACTTTAACAAAATTACTTTCAATAGAAGCAGAAACAGCAGACAAACAAATCAAAAAAGTTTGAGCAAAATCGGATTACTGATAAGAAAGTTTTGGAGTTTTAATGACATGAAAAACTTTAAAAATCACAAGAAAAATTATCAACTCACTCTTGTTTATCTGCATCAATTAAAAGCAAATTAATTTTGGAGTGGACTTGGCCTTTAATGAAATTGTTACTGACCATATGGTGACCGAGTGATGACCATGTCTACAGTTTTGGAAAGCTTACATGTACCCAGTGGAGATTGGAATTTTTACATATGAAAACACAACCTCAACATGCTTGTAATTCGGTTCCAGCTCATCCTTTATCAATATGACCAGTTGTCTTTGCAAAACACCAGGCAATTATTATATGCATAAAACAAGATAGCTAGAAAAGTCCTCAAACGTAACTGTTATTTGCCACATGCCACATTAAAAACTGGATTTTAATAGCTGTTACAATTGGCTCAAGTTTAAAGACCTTTTACGCGGATGATCACCTCAAGAAACTTGCAATAAGTCCTCCACCCCCCCCCCCTCCACTGAAGAACTAGGTAGGAGCTATTGCTAGACATAACTTCCATGTATTATTTTTTAATCACCCTTAAAAAAAATTAGATATTGAAAGTCACACAATGACTAAACCCATGTATAAAGCTAAGCATTACGGCATTTGATGATTACCTAGTGATGCAGATGGAATGAGCTGGCCATTAGCTCCTCGCCACTCAGGGTCCAAAAAGGGGCTATTGCTAGACACCTGACAGACCAGATTGAAGCTTGAACCTAGGCGAGGAATCTGCTGAATGGACGGGGTGATGGTGATGCGGTATGAACCAGGTAGAGCTGAAAAGACACAAGAAATCATCATATACATAATTCAATATAATGATAATAATAATCATCTGAATTGATATAGTTCTTGATACCAAATACTGTCTCTATTGCGATTTACAGATATTATGACCCGGGTCATCAGATTCTTTCATGCACAATGTGCACCATCTCTACTCCTGGGAAGTATTATTTGTATTTTTTCAACCTTTATTATATCTACTACGTATCCATTGCATTTAATAAGATGAAATATTTAACAATATTTTCATTGTTTGTAGATTTTTAATATCACATAATCTGACAATATGCATTTTTAATGTCGCTCTGGTAGAATTATAGAAGAATAATCAATAAAATGTGGATACTGCATGTACATGTACCATCAACTTTATGAAGTGTGCTCACAAAAGTTTGTAGTATAAGCATTTAAACTTACGTGCAGTTCTTAGTTGGCATTGATCTCCAGTATAGTCAGGGAAGCACACACATGCTCCATTCACACAGGTTCCTCCATTCTGACAGGGTCTGGAACATGTTGGCTCAACTAGAAATCAAAGATAATAGACCAATTCACGGTTAGCACGTGTCCCAAATTACCCTGAATATCCACAGATCTTAAAAAACATAAGGTCCCAAATTATACATTTTGAATTAATCACTCCTACAGCGATGGAGGTGCTACATAAATAGCCTTTGTTTCCCCCTCTCAAACAATACTTTGACCTGTGTATCGTGGAGTGCACATTGTCTCTGTGTGTTTCACAATAAGGTCTGCAATGACCTTTATCTGCTCATGCTCAGACTGCAAATGTAAACTGGCTTATTGAATACATTCGTAAAGACGGTTTAAAGGTGATTTGACGTTTCCTCCAGTGACTTTTGCTCTAGGCTTTATTTCATCAAAATAATATGGTTAGATTTAAAGTTGCATTTGAGTTTTAGGTTAGGCTTAGGGTAAGGGTTATGGTAAGATTACAGAGTGTGAATCCAGGATTAGAGAAGAAAATTGCAGCAAGGCATTTGTCGCAGGAGCAGATGTTGAACAACTCGTCCAAATCCTTAGATTACTAAAGAGGTTCATCTGATTGGTGATGTAATTTTGAAAAGAGTTCTCTCTATAAAAATAAAATGTTACCTGTTTTGGTAATCTTTCACTTCCTGTGCTGCAAACTTCTTCAGACCTAAGTCATAGCAGGCTCTATTGTTAATGCAGTACGACCATAATGTGCACCCCCAAAATAATCCCAAGTTACTTAAAGACGTAGAGTAGTGGGCTCTCAAGGGGAATTCAACACCGCTCGGGTATCTACACTATAACAGGTGCTGTCAATCATCAAGATTAGCCTTCAGTTTTAGGACCAACAGGCCTTACGTAATGCTTTGCATTTTCCACCTATTTCCCATATGGTAAAGTCATTATCTTACGTTTCCCTTCTTGATTGGAATATGAGCTTGCTGTGTGCAGACTTGTACACCCATTGATGGTCTTTTTATCAAGTCTGGTGTCAGAGAATTATGGCCTTCTGGACATGGAGACTGACGACCCTCTCCCTTTAATGGGTTCAAGAAATTTATCCCAACTAATGTTTACCTGCAATGCTGATTGTGAATGAGGTGGTAAGAGGGCCAGCCGCGCAGGAGTATGTCCCTGAATCACTCCCTTGGATGTCTTCGATCACCAAAGTAGTGGAGTAGGGAGAGGAGCTCTGGGTGTACATCCGCTGACTACCAACTACAAACACAAACATGCACAAAATATTTAATTATTATAAACAACAACAGGATGCAATGGTGAGGAGATAAGTTTTTACAATGAAGCCACATGAAAATAGTCCCTATAATGACGTTTTGTTGATTTTTTGATGAAAAAAATGAGTATTAAAAAGAACTGAAGTTCAAATAGTTCAATCAACTACATTCATCTTTCGTAACAGTTCTGAAAATCACCCGTTATTTATGAAAAGAAGAAGAGATAGTCAATGTTTGCGACAGTATACTAGTACTCTGTTCTTCATAAGCAGTGTGCAAGTAGGCATTATATAGTAACGATGAAATAATGGTTTTCTTGAATACCGGTATACACACTTGTATAACAGATACCTTGCTCAAAACAAAAGACTGGCCATTTGTGAATTCACATGTACATGTTTATCAGAAAGTAATGCACTACCTTAGGATGATATTCATTCGTTCATTCATTTTGGTTTATTGAATCAAAATTCCTTGTTAAAACAGTCGGGAGACTGATAAAAACAAAGATTACAACATTGAAATGTTCAAAAATATAAAGAAAATTAACAAATACACCAATATGGAAAAGAAACAAAAATTAGTTCAAGGAAAGAATAACAAAAATTATAATGAAAACTTCAATATATTCCACATCATACATAATATAAATCGAATTTACATACGTGGATGAGAGGGAAAAGTAAACAAGAAAAAGACAATGGACAAAGGATTTTATTCCCTTTTCTTGTAACATTTAGATTTTGAGCGTTTACATTTAAACACAATTAACAGAAATGGATATATCAAACACAAAGTGATGATGATAATACCCGATATACATGTATTATTATATATATCATAGATCAACTTACTGAATCCCCTTGGACTGACTGGTAGACCACTAGGTAGCCTCCAGATGGGACTTGTGTACTGGCCATCCTGTCTAAGCTCACAAAGAAAACTGATGGTTTGACCAACAGAGGGCGTTGTGTCGGTGGGCGGGATGATGCGGATTGCATATGGTGTGACTGATGGAAGAAGCAGAAAAATATTGATATAACACCAATGAGAGAAAAAGAGGAGAGAGGAAAAAATAGAGAAAGGGAAAGAATAAGATGAACAAAAGGCAATACAAGTCTTTAATAATTTGACAATAAAGAAAATTCTCCTTTTGAAAAGTGCTATATTTGCTCCTAAGGTATCTTCAAATTAATTACTTCGGCCTTAGCACTGGCAACTGTCATCATCACATACTTTCAAGGATTTAATCAGGTCATCTTACCTTGTCTCTCGCATGATGGTCCAGTAAACTCTTGAGGACAAATACAGTTACCATCCATACAAGTCCCTCCATTCAAGCAAGGAGCCGTGCAGGGTCGACCTCCAGTACCTACAGAATAAGAATACATATTGATATTGATTCCAAGAATTCCGGATTGTGATGAATAAAAGGGGAATAAGGGAAGTATGAGGTACAAAGTACTGTGACAAGGGTTCCTCTCTAAGTACGGAGCAAAGTATACATTTTGTGGTTGATACCTATCTTCATATATCAAATTGAAATCCAACTACCACTTACAACTGTGAATTTTGGTGTAAACCCCCTCTTTCTTTTTTCTTCTTTTTTCCTCTTTCTTTTTTCCCTTTTACCAATATTTTTTTCCTCCATATTTGTATTATTATGTATCCATTGAGGGTAGTCATGCTATCAAGCTTTGCTTACTTTGTCAACCCTCCTGTTTGATGTTTTCGGTTTGTTACAGACAGCCTCACTCTTTCGTTATGTGTAAAATTTGAATAAATCAATAAATCAAATCAAATCAAATACATTTAAAAAAAATATTACTTACTCTCAAGAGTGATGGTGAAAGTTGTAGAATGTGGTCCGACATAACACGTGTAGGAGCCTGCATCATCTAGCCGAAGGCTTCTGATGACAAGGCGGGTCAGGTAGGATCCAACTTCCTGGGAACTCAGATGATTCGGAGCTCCTGTAAAGAAAGGAGTTCATTCAGACAGGCTATCATGATTATACACAAATGCTCCTTCAATGCCTGAATAAGTACACACAAGTGGAACAAGGGCCCCACCTCCATCAAAACAAAGATTTGCGATATCTTCACAGCACATTTTAGCCTTGACATTGTTTGAAGTGTCTATAGGTAACCATTATCATTTCTTCATACTATCCTTACAAAAATACTAAGAAGCAGCAAAGAAAGTGAGCATTTTTTTTTGTCATCACCCTTATGCCAAAGACAACACAAAAACATTTTGTACAATAGGTTCATGCATCACTCATTGACAAAGGAGACTTCGAGGAGGGGGGGGGGGCGTTTCACAAAACTTGTCATCGGTGACAAAAGACAGTTTTTGTTATAAGCTACTGAAATCCATGCTTCTGATTGGATATCAGCAGATTTGTCACTGACTTTTGTCATTTGTCATTGAAAAAAGGCTTTGTGAAACGGGCCCCTGATTGCATCATCTGTTAACTAACAGAAGCAAAGGAAATACAGAGATACCTACCCTGTGTGATGGCTACGATGGGTACACCGTCAGGCCCTCTCCATTGCGGCCTACCATAGGGGCTACCCTGGGGCACCTCACACAGGAACGTGATATCCTGACCTATCAAGTACTGGTTGGTGTCAGGGGGGTGGATCCGCACCTGGAAGGGTGGTCCTGGAAGGTGTGTTGAAATAGATACATATTTTGTATTCATTTTTATTTAAGGTAAAGAAACTGAATTAACAAAAGACTAACTCCGTTTCGTTGACAAACAGCCGTAGATGAAAGACTTCATGCATGGCTGATTGTCAACGAATCAGAGTTAAGTCTTTTGTCAATTCTGCTTATTGCTACGGCAGGCAGCCAGTGAAAAAGAATTTGTTTGATAAAATTATGGAAATGCAAGCGCTACTTTAAACAAACAGAACTTTGTTATTCCTAGCTAATTTTTACTGGTTGAGGTGTCATATGAAAGGGCAGAAACTCAACCTTCTAGAAATGTTATTTTCTCTTTGAAATTCAGATACCGCCCGCCAAATGACTTTTTGGTTTCCTCTCTTCAAATTGATTTGAATCACTTATGCGTAAACTTGGCATCATATGATTTGCATCAAATGAAAGAGGAGGATCTGAGCTTTCCAAATATGTGTCATTTAAAGACCATCACCACTACTGGGCCAGAAGGGATTAGACCACACAGAGAGCCATCAAGGTCACTGTGACAGGTGGCTATCTCATTAACTCAGCTCTCATTTAACATAAGAAAAAGAGGATCATGGGGGACCAACAGGCACCGATTCGGGAAGTTTTCTATATAGAGGGAGCAAGTAGCTACAAGTATGGCAGTGTGCCTTTAATAACTATAAATGTGACTAAGTTATGTAAAACATCGATAATTCTCGGTTTTGTTTTTTCTGGGACGCACTGTATACTCACGCATGAACATCTTTAACATAATGGTGATGCAGTATCACTTTAGATTGGAATAGTTGCTACTTACCACTATTCTGGCATTGTCTTCCGGTGTAACCCGCATGACATTGGCAACCTCCTGCTACACATGTGCCTCCATTCAAGCATGGCAGAGGACATTCAGGAGCTGAGGAAAAAATGAAATTATTATAAAGAAAACATAGTTTGGTGATTACAGCAGCAAGACAGTGATCTGCAATATAATCCTAGTAGCCAATCCCTATCGGTTCTAAAGCTAAACAGGGAAATTCTGGTATATTTCAATCATTTTATTTTGATTGTTTTTCAAGAAAATAACTTCCTTGCCAACATTTACTCTATGTTCTAGCCATGGATCACATACATGTTTAGAATTTTATCCATATCATGTAATTATAAAATTGTTAAGCTTAAAAATTTACAAACAGTGACATTTCACTTGTATGTAGAATACTTACAAATAGTGTTATTTTATTTCAGGCTCTTTTTGGCCAAATATAAGTGATTTCTTTTTTGTTCTTCTTTCATCTTTAAAATTGGTTCACCCTAACGACCTGAACAATATACCGGTATATATATAGTGATAGTCATAATATCATGATTTGTCTTTTGCATCTTCTTGGTATTGAATTATGTGGTATCTTATGAAAGTTTGTATATTTATGTATACTTGTGTATATTTATATGTTACGCCATCAACTAATGACCAGATCCTTCAACAGAAACTAAGTTTCTTTTGATAATCCCCAGGCATAAGTTGATTCGTATTTTTCTTTGATCTTGTATTGTATTTATAATCAAAGATCGTTTTTACGAATTCTTTGGCATTGTACTCGCCTATGTTCCTGGAAATAAAATAATAAAAAAAATGAAGAAAAAAGATCAACAAAATAAATCTTACCCTCTATGGTGAGAGTGAAGGACGCTCGGAGCATACCCACAGTGCAGACGTACACCCCTGTATCCACCTGCTGAACCCTTACCACATGGAGACGAGAAACATAGTCAGACACCCTCTCAACCACGTACCTCCCATTACCTAGCAGAAAGCAAGAATAAAAAGTGGATTAGAAACTGCAGTTTGTTGTAAATTAGATGAATTTGTCTGCCTTCAAGCCTTTTTTAAAGGTGAGTGTTCATGACAGAAAATTAAGGTGATGAATGCCCAGTTAAAAAGCAAATGATAACATAAGTAAAAATGTAGCTTTTTCAAGGTTTATTCACGCACTAATTTGTGCAGTAAGAGTATTAAAACGTATCTAATTGCAGCGTAGGTTTTTACAAACTTACCAGACCTGACGTTGACAGGAGTACCTCCTGGACCCAGCCAAGTTGGATTAAAGTAGCCCAACTGGTCTGAAATCTCACAGACAAAGGTTGTATTCTGACCAACGACCAGCGTACTAGTTGGGGGAGGGAGAATCCTGATATCTGTATAGGAAAAAAAATGATTATTTTAAATCTCCATATCGATTACATTCGTGAAAACAAAGATTGCAGTCTGCTGATTTAAAATTCAAGTTTTGTAAGTTTTTAAGAATGTAAAAATGTATTTGTCTTGATTTACGTTCTTCAGAATGTGACATGCCTTTTATTTTGAGTTACACAAAACAAAGACATAAATTTTACAAGAGGTATGAGTAATTAAGTTAACTGTATTTGAAACATATAAACACTTGTAAGTTTCATTTCTTTCATAATGACATAATGGAGAGTAAACCACAAATTAAAGGATATTTTTAGTTATATTTGATCAATCACTGTTCAATGAACTTCTACGAACTTCATTAAAAAGTTCACACAGAAAAACAAAGATTTTCTGTCATAAAATGAACCAAAATGGCCGTTTCAAAAACATTGTTATAGTAAGCTACTGAAACGGTGGCATTTGATTGGCTGAGAGCAAATTTGTCATATAATTTTAGCTTTTTTTACGGATAACATATTTTATGAGACGGGACCCTGGTTCTTCTTGTAAGCTTATGGCGAAAATGAGAATTCAGTATTCAATGGCTTAGAGATGAAACACAAATTCATGACATCTGTCATTTGGCTATTTGTTTTGGAGTAACAATATAACATATATAAGAAAGTAGATTAACCTTGATGTATGTATGAGAAAATGATCAGAGGGCGATTTTATGTCAGCAGCATGTTGGCTGAGGAACAGATTCAAAATATCAGTACAAACTAGTACAAGTGCAGATGTTTTAAATTAGAATTTGATTAAATTTCTTTACAAAGATTGAAAATGATAACTGATCGATAGGTCAATAAAGTGAGACAATATACAAACCTGCATTTCTGCAGTCAATACCAGAGTACCCTGGGATACACTGACAGATTCCATTTAGACAGGTTCCTCCATTCTGACAGGGTCTGATGCATTCTTGACCTGTGACATCACATACAAACATACACCATCTTAAAGCCTGTCTGTAATAGTTTGACCAGGAGGGATTAGACCACCCAGCGTGGTCACTGACAGGTGAGTATCACATCAACTCAGCTCTCAATTAACATAAGAAAAAGAGGATCATGGTGGACCAACAGGCACCGATTAGGCATCGTTTGCTATATAGAGGGCGCAAGTAGCTATAATTAGTGCAGTGGGGCTTTAACACTTTGGTTGCTTTCTTTGCCTGTGCAGTTTTGCACAAAACAATATGTACCAATTGACAGAAGGATTGCAATGTCCAAGACGATGGGTTTGCAAGATTACGCATTTCCAGTTTTTATGAGCTCCCAACAACTCGCCGACACCAGTATAGATGAATATTGTACTGGAAACGGGTTGATAATCATGGAAGCTGTTCGCACAACCCTTACATGATAAATACAGTGTGGCAAAGGGAGATTATTTGTATGGCGTATAAACAGTACAAAGTCTCTAAAGGTCTTTTTCTCTTGGGAGTATTAACATGCTCCACTACAAAACCAAAATTACAAAAACTAGACAGTAAACTATCTTTGAATATTTCCTAACCAAATTGAAGCGATGCTTAACAAACCCTGACTAGGAATTTTTAGCATGGTCAACATATTAATCTTTAAGAAATTCTGGAACTAATTCACAGTCGCTACAAAGTTAACAACATTAATTACAGACAGACATACAGGTACATGCAAACCCCCATAGTATTTAAACAGACTTTACTTTTTGTCCTAAATTAATAATGAAGCAAGCAGTCATATAAAACCAAAATAGTGGTCTAGTGTTGTAGCAAATTCGTAGTTAAACACTAAAAGTTAATGACAAACAGTGACCGTCTTGATTTATTTTTACATGCAATTCAAATAGATTCGACCCACAGTAGTGCAAATCTAGACTTTGAATACTGTTCTTAACGGTTTTTAATTATAAATAGTATCAGTTCGTCCCATTTTCATATAGTCCAATTGAACATTTAATCCAATAACAGTTGGAGTACTTATACTTTCGTCTACTACACACTTGGCCACAAAGTCCCTTGTGTTTCTTGAAAGCGATTTTGTAACAGACCAAATGAATTTAAGAACAAATAGGTATAAGCTAGCATCAGATCAACAGATGATTAGACTGGGATACAGTACCTATTCTCTCACAGGCTTGTCCTGAGTATCCTCTGTGGCAGATACAAGTTCCCTCACGGCATGTGGCTCCATTCTGGCAGGGTGGGTTACATTGAACCACTCGAGCTGAAACAAATGATATCACCCATTGATGTCAAGAGTCTTGAAAGACAGAGCGAGTTTCACTGGTTTACATATGGGCACTAATGTGGATTTTATACTGACTAGAGGCATTGAATTTTGTGAGGCACTTTAGAGCAATAAAGCACCATTAGCACCAAGCAGAGGCAAATACATGTACCAGCGGTATACAGGAAGCCATCCATCCTCCTCAATATCGAAATTACAATTTTGTGAGGACCATTTGTTTGCCGCACTGCCAATTTCTGTTTGCTGCTTGGTTCACACTGACTTTTACTGTGACAGCTAGCTCCTTTTCATAAATCTAATTAAACATTTTCACTTTCTTTCTAGGTATATTTAAAGATTTTGTCAAAAAATACTCATCAAGTATATGTTTTTATTTACTGCACATGTCAGCTAACATCTATGACACATCTATGTATATTTCATGAGAGGGCGATAAATGTACATAGATATCTAAGGAAAATTGCATCCCTATGCCAAGGTTCTCTGATCGGCATGTATTGAATCTTTACAAAACTTACCATCGATGTGGATGTTAAGCGTAGTAGTAACTGTTCCCAGGATGCAAGCATAGCTGCCTGCATCAGCCGCTGAGATGCTGTTTATGACCAGAGTCGTGGTAGATGGTGATATCATCTCAACATAAACTCGATCTGACCCTCCTGCAAAATAAAAATAATCAAAAAGCTGGAATAAAATGCTGTTACTATACATAAAAATATTGAAGGAAAGCAGCAACCGTGCTGTTTTAATTGTCTGTAGGACATTTATATTTTGAGAGACAGGATTTGTCCCTCTATTGGAGAGAAAAAAGAACATAAAATACCGATTCAAACAAATTTCACACTAAACAAACAGCAGTAAAATAAATGAAGATATTGTTATTCAGCAAAACAAGAATTACAGGTTATTCTGCACATTATTCATTCATAATGTTTATTAATAATTTTTGTTTTCCTTTTTTGCTTTCTTCACATAAGGACCATCTTTTTGGCTTCTACAACTAGTACCTTCCTCCGTTACTACAACAAATGCACTCCTTTCAGATTACCAAATGTTACAGGCAGACATAAACAACTGTACTCAATGAACTTCTCTATGTATTTCTCTTTTATAAATGCTTCTCAAATAAAAAAAAAAATTAAAGTTCTAGAAAATAAAACTCGCCTTGCTGGTGTGTGATTCTCTGCCCCCGTGGATCCCTCCATACAGGGTTCTGAAGCCTGCCTGCCCCAGAGGACTGGCAGGAGAATCGTAGGTTGGCTCCCTGGACCGGTGGGGTGCTACCAACCTGACGAATACTAAGAGAGAAGCCACCTGCAATGGAAGATTCATGATATGATTATTTAAACTAATTCTACGAATAATAAATGACACAAAATAGGAAACTTGTGTGGGATGAATTTGCATTGCGCAAGATTTTTTTAAATATTAAGCTTGTGGTCAGTTAGATTGTTTCTTTCACTTACATTACTTCATAGGTAGTGCCTAGTAGTTTTAAACGTCAAATGGGTAAAAAAAAAATAGAATTCACCATTTTCTGAATTGTTCATGCACCTATGAAATCAAAACATTTAAAACCTTTGGACAGGAAAGAATGCAATTTTGACGAGTCATATTTCAATTTTAATGATTTATCCATCACAAGTATATTGTGTTATGGTGCAATCACTCATTTAAATCTTGCAGATGAAATTGTTTTCAACTTCAAATGTAGAGATAAAGTGTTATTTGTCGTTAGATCTATACAAAGATGAATCAATTAGAACTTTCCACAAGAGAATTTACCGGTAGTATGTACAAGGAATTGTCTCAATAAAATTGAATCTCCTATATCCTGGGCCACAAAAACCTTGTATTTCTTGAAATTCAAATTCAGTTCATCAATTGTACAGGTTGATCTCAAGATGGAACAATTAGACATGACTAAACAAAAATATGTCTGTTGAGATAAAAATTGGGATGCTAATGTATTACCTTGATTTTGGCATATTGCACCAGTGTAGCCAGGGTGACAAATACACTGTCCGTTGTTACAAGTTCCTCCATTCATACACTGTGGGTTGCACTGCGGAGCTGTGATAAAGAAAAAGTTTGTTGGAAATTGGTTCTTACACATGTAGACTTTATCAATAGACAAATAATACACAGGTGTGAGTGCGTTATCGTGATGCAGCGCATGAGGGTATTCACAATAGTAAGTGCAATAACATGCATGTGGCGCATCTTTTTTGCATGGTTAAAAACACTCCTGTGCATATGGTAAAAATGAATGCAATCACACATGATCCATTTCAACGCTTCTCATTGGCTACATTCTTGAACCCATCTTATAATGTGAGATATCAAATGATAGCTCAGTTCTATTAAACCATGGTAAATGTGTTTTTTTTTCTTTTTTCGTTAATTATTTGATAATATTTGTTTTAATTTTTACATAGGAGAGGGGTGAATTTGTTTGCCCTCCAGAAGTATAAGCGCACATCGATTTCTCCCCTATACAGAACATCTTTCAGAATAACCCTGTTCAAGTGTTGTACGCATGATAAGATTTACCTGTCACCATCAGAGTAAACCTAGCCATGACTGGTCCCACCATACAGATATACTGTCCCTTATCAGCAGGGCTCAGACCACTGATGTACAGTCTGGTGGCCGATGGCGTCTCATAGACTTCCTGGACTCTCAGGTTGTTCCGTTCTGCCGTGGCTCCAGGAACCAGTTGTCCGGAGGGTCCCTTCCACATGGGGTTCTGATAGATGCTGGTACCGAGAATCTCACACAGGATCTCGAGATCCTGCCCGATGTGAGAGACACCCTGGCGGTTTGGCGTGATCTTGATTCTAACATCTGAAGGATCTATGTTAAGGAGATATAAATGAGGATTGAAGTCAGGATAGAAGATAGGTAGTCAAGGAAGCACACAATGTTTCATCTGGAGAGCTTCTAAATACATTTATTGTATAATGCCCAAATCTGAGAGAAGAATTCATACAAAAACTATGTTTATATATATATATATGTGTGTAAACGCTGGAGAGTTTCATGTCACAACATTTTCTGATTTGACAGTAAACACTGTTCGAGATGAAAATGTTACCCTTGTAGCAGTGTTACATGTACAGGTGCATATATGTCGAATTAACTGTGAGAGATGCATAACTAGCAGTAATTCTAGAATTCTAGAATAATAGAAATATAGAGGGATATTCAGAATCCTCCAGTGATTGGTAGTCATGATGTAATGTCACAATATAATATACCAGGGGAGTGTTTTACAAAGATCCTAAGTGGAACTTGTCTCTAAGTCGGACTTAAACATACGGAGAGCCATTTGTAGCCTTAAAATGAAATATATTCAAAGCAAGAATTCAAGTATTTTAGATTTTTCATAAATTCCACATCAAGAACAAGAAATCTCCTTCATAATAGAATATATGATTGATTTGAATCAACATTTTATGCCTTTTAAATGACTTTTACAAAATATTTTTCATATTTGTTAATCCAACTTAGAGATAAGTTCAACTTCGTATCTTTGTGAAACACTCCCCAGAGATACATTGATCTTACCTCTGGTTCCGCAGGCGATACCACTGTACCCATTAGGACATACACAGGATCCCCTGACACAAGAGCCTCCATTCTGACACGGTATTGGACAACGGGCTTCTGTACCAGATAGAGATAATCATAGTTAACACACTGACTACTTAATTCCCTCATAACTGTAGCTTAGACCTTTCTACAGTAACCAACCAGTATTGGACAACGGGCTTCTGTACCAGATAGTGGTAATCATAGCTAATAATAATAAACACAATCTGAAGTTATATAGTGCTTAGTACGGAATACCGTCTCTAAGAGCTTTACAGATATAAAATGATCATTGAAATATGGCTACAGAGGGTTTCTCAGGTTTACCACTTCTGTGATAAAAGTTGCATCAGCCATACACAGGAGTATAGTCACTGTTGAGGCTTAATGAACACATGCTAAAATGATCACAATTCTGATAAGCTAAAAGCTATATATCAATTAATTGACACTTACATGTTGCCAATGTACATACATCATCTGAGCTGGACAAAACTGCAGCTTGTAATACTCTTTTTTATGCTAGAGAAGCCACTTTTAAAAGAACTACAGGTAATAATAATAGGCATTTATATAGTGCCGTCTATCTAAACAGTTCTATTCTGAGGTGCACAAGAAAAATAGAAAAAATAAGAGAGTTTGGATGAGTTTGAATAAGTTTCATAGTGCCAAGTACAGGTAATGTTAAAAAAAGATGAGATTTCAGCTTGGATTTAAAGGTAAAAGTAAAGACTTGCCTTCGACAACAATAGAGAAGGTAGCGATGACAGGTCCGACTGTGCAGGTAAAGGTGCCCTGGTCTGCGGACTGGAGGTTAGAGATCACTAGCTGGTTGGCCAGTGAAGAGGTGGCAATGCTGAACACCCGGGAGTTGGGGTCTACAAAATATGGTAGAATAAAAAAGGATGATGAATATAACAATAAAGATGATAATGATAATACAAACAATAAAGTAATTATAATAACAATACACAACATTTATTAGGCGCTAAATATTGTTGTTTGTAAGCGCACCATTGCCTTTCTACAAAGTACCAACCAAATTATAAATCTGATCTTTATTCAATAAACCATGCATGTATAATAAAAATTAAAATGAGGCCGAACATAACATAAAAAATAGTGACTACAAGTCCGACATAGAGCTGAGAGTGGCTTGGTGCGAGTAGAGATCACTAGCAAAAACAAAATTGAAGAAGTGCATGTACTTAACCAGAAAAAAAAAAACAATATCATGCCAAGTATAACCTACACCCAAACAGTAGAGCAGTTTAATACAAAGAATTTTTCAAAATGGGTGTAATTTTGTTAGCTGTTCGGCCATTTCATTCGGAAATTGTCATGTTAAATTATGTTAACCTGTGGTGACTGGCTGGTTGTTTGGCCCAGTCCATCTGGGTTGAAGGTACGTTGGTCTTGCGCCCTCTATCTCACATGACATCCTGATACTGCCTCCGATCACTGTGTTTGCCTGGCCGACCTGTCGTATCTGAATGGTGTAAGCTGCAAAGACAATCGGCAATGAATAATTAAAGAGAAATTCAAGCTTAGTGGTCAGCTACTCTAAAAGCAGAAAAATCAGGGAATTAGAACAAAATGAGAATTCATGAATTTGTAATTACTATACATGTTGGCACTTAAATTGGCTGAATCGGCAGGTTGCAACGACAATTGGCAATGAATAAATAAATTGGAAATAAAGCTTAGCAGTCAACTACTTTAAAAGAAGGCGGAAAATTCAGAGTATCAGAACAAATAAGATATTTATGAATTTGTAATCACTTTACATGTGGGCACTTAAAATTGGCTGAATCAGCAGTGTCACTGTGACGAAGTGCTGTACAGCTCGGAGGGGTCTTTTCTTTTTACAGAACCTTTAATAATATGATACCTACAATATTTTAATACGTCCCCAAGGGAGAAGGTGCTTGGCAGAGAAACTGCAATATATTGATGTTTTTCTTTCTCAGCAAACAGCAGAGTTGTCCTTAAAAAATTCACTATCCAGTGGCCGAATTGCAAATTGTGATCTCATACTTTAAACATTCATAACTTTCTTATTATCGCTCCAATTTAATTGAAAATTTTGTCATTCTGTTTCTCTTATTTTACGCCCTTTCATACAAATGGCATTGTTACAAGGGTTGGATTATCCTACTCTACTGCACAGGAAAAAGAAAATTGAATTGTGTAAGATATTTAATGGATCTAATTTTTTTCCTAAAATGTTTGTTATCCCTTCCTAAATCTTGTATGATTTATATTCACTTGTTGATATGTTAAAGCAACATTTTCACATTGCAAAATGTGACGTCCTGAAAGATTCAAAATTAGCTTTAACAATCATCAAGTAGGCAACATGAACTTAAATTCCAACATTATTTAGGTAATTACATACCGGTATTAACAATTTATAATAAATTATATCATACTTATTCACATATTTTCATATCATATATTCACGACACACATGTTTGACATTTCAGAAGGACTATTGCAACATCAACAAATATCAATGTGACAGAAAATAAAAAGATTTTTTTGTTGGCCTAATTCACTTTTCTGGTCCTTGACAGCCTTTAAAGACAAAGACAGGTATATTATTTTACTATCTATACAAGGCTTTTAATTGGTACCATTAATATCAGTGTCTTTAATATCTTTAGCGCAGTACCCGAATGACTGACTTATATTGTTTTTGTATTGCTCAGTCATCCGGGAACTCCAACTATCGATATCGATATCATACAGGAAAAAAGCCATATTTACTGAGGAAGTAAAATTTCGCTATTTAGCCTTATATAGATAATAATAATATTGTATGGCTTTGATTTTGTGTGATAATGAAATTTATTGCTCTCGATATGACAATTTATTCTTTTATCACACTCAAAGCCATCCAATATATTGTATAGTCTCTACTGTTCCCATGTTAACTCACCTGGTCTGTCACATAGTACCCCTGTGAATCCATTAGGGCATAGACAAGTTCCACCTGCACAAGTTCCTCCATTCTGACAGGGTCCAGGGCAATCAGGAACTGATACAAGCAAAGACAATTTTCAACATTTCTTCTTATTATTGTTGTTAATATTTGTATAATTATTATCATTATTGTTATTGTTATTATTTCATCTATATTTCAGCTTGATCTATGCTGGTTTTCTCTCATTGGCATAAGCTACATTCCTTAGCCCTAGGCCTCAAATACTTTTTGTTAAAGTCTTGCAGTACAAATTACCGTATTGGCATAAGCTACATCCCTTAGCCTTAGGCCTCAAATACTTTTTGTTAAAGTCTTGAAGTACAAATTATTGGCATAAGCTACATCCCTTAGCCTTAGGCCTCAAATACTTTTTGTTAATTATTTATTATTATTATTACAACTATTGCAACCAACACTTGATGTTGGATTTCAAATACAAACAACAATGCAATTTTTAAACATTCCTCACTACTCTATGAAATCTATTAGAAATAAAGGAAATAAATGCCACAAATCTCTATCACATATTGCTTACAGACAATGAAATGTAGCAATTTTAGTTTCTTAAAACAATAATTGTTTCCTGTTATTAATAACAATTTTCACAAAACAGGGACTTACTTTCAACAGAGATGACTACTGAGTTGGTGAGAGTTCCAATGTAGCAGGTGTAGATCCCGTTATCATTGGGAGTGAGGTCCTGGATGAGAAGCCTTGACTCACGATCAGAGACATACTGGACATTCAGATGTTCAGAACCACCTGATAACATTCAAACATATGAGATGAGATAAGTGAAGGTGATGTTTTGAGATGATGTATCAGCACAATAATAATTATAGTATTTGATCTTTTTATAGCACACCCATCCACCACGCAGGGTGCTCAATGCAGTCCTTTTGTTGTCCTCTTTTTCTTGTTCAAATGTTATTATTTATGAATGCACAATCTGATGTTTTATTTGAGGTTAAATTTGAATTGAACATGTGTTTTCATGATGTTCATCATACAAAAGAATGGAAGAATTTTTACCTTGCCCAATGGGTAACACAGCAACACCCCCTGGGGAAGTCCAGGCAGGGCGGGGGTAGTTGCTGCTAGTAGCTATCTGACACACGTAGCTGATATCATTGCCAAGGATAGGTGCTTGGTCAACGGGAGGGCTGACTGTGATGACATAGTCGGGCCCAACTGTGGAAGGAAGAGAGATCAGTTCAAATTTGTTTGCTTGATGCTTGATGGAGTAATCCCTTTAGCAGCTCACTCAAGAAGCTATACTGGGATGGTAGGTGGGGCTAATAGCTGCAAGGAGTGCAATGAACTGCAGAAATGGCGTGTAGACAAAGCACTTTACTCTATCTATTAATCAATGAGTGAAAAACCAACAGTTTATACACAATCACATATGATACCTGGTTTATATGTCACTTTTACCCTGAATATACATGTTCATTATGTCAAAATATTAAACAAAATAAATTTAAATAACTTATTCAATAATTATGTAGAAAATTATTGTGCACATTGCTAGAAAATAGATATGAGCCTGTTGCACAAAACTTACCATCGATGGTAACCTTGCCATCAATGGTAACTACCATGGAAACCTTGATTTTGATTGGCTGTTGGGCCCTGTTACCATGGTAATTGCCATTGGTGGCAAAGTTACCACCAATGGTTAGCTCACTCACCTCTCTGTTCACACTGCAAACCATTGAAGTATTCTGGACAGATGCATCGGTTAGACACACAGGTTCCTCCATTGTGACAGATCACAGAACAGTCCGCTGTAAAACACAGAGGCAGGAGTGGTAAGGGACAATAATCTTAATGCAATTTTATACAGTTGTATCTATGCTAAAATGTCTCCAAGTAGGTTGAGTTGAGGTTTTATTATCCAAACGTTCAAATACATTAATATAACAATAATAACAATCAGTCCTTTTCAGGACTACCACACCCCCAAGAAAGATTACTGAGTCAGAGTCCTTTTCAGGACTCCTCAACCCTATCTCTCTCTCTCACATGGTGCACCCGCAAACCTACTGTATAATAAATGTATGTTTATCACATTTCCCGAATGAATAATAGGAATCAGAAAATAGCATAAAATGACAATCATGTCTGTGTATGCATTGTAATCTTAATACCCTAAACAGATAATGAAAAGAAAAAGAATCGTTAAATGCAGAATGTAGATGCACAGAAGAATTTGAATATTTTATACAAACAGGATTGTACCTCTATGTGAATGGTATTGGGTACTACAAAAACTTATCTCGGGTTGCTTGTTAGGCTCTAAAAGAACTGCTGCAGTATCTGAACTTTACCAGACTCAATGTTCTGGAAGTTTCTGAGTATGTAAGAAGTCTATTACAAATACTTATAAATGTACAACTATCCTTTAAACTTTTTTGGAGACAAGACAGGAAGACCGGGCCTTTAGTTAAAAGTCTGACTCCTGTGATTGCATAAAGATAATTATGTATATATTTCAATTCATTATGTATCAAAGCTATTTGACTGACCTTGTGATGCAACGGTGATGGTGAAGTAGCTGGTGAGAGTTCCAAGAGTGCATGTGTAGATGCCTGCATCTCTGGCCTGGAGGTTGTTCAGTACGAGGGTGGTGGCTGTACGGGATGAGTACTGAACTCCGACCCGCTGGTTGGGAGCTTCACAGATCACATAACAATAACAGATTTGATGTGTGTCATTTTTGGATGTAAATACTAAATTGGGACAAGGTTTCAAGAGTTCCATGAAGCTTTTGTTTTTAATCGTCATTATTCACATGCAGTTTTTATACTTTAATTCATGTGTATGTATCATAATGTATATTGTTCAATGTATTTATCTCAGCTTCTGCCAATTACCCCCATTACTTCTAACGTGTGATACTTGACTGATCTTTCTTGTTGATCCTCTCAGTATTGTTTCATAGTCTTCTTTCCAGTTCTTTCTCTTTCACTCTTGTTGCATCAATGATTGTCATTGTGAATCTCCCTCATTTTCTCCCTGCCTATCCCTCTCTCTCTCTCTCTCTCTTTCGGTCTCTCTCTCTCTTCCCTTCTCTCTCCCTCTCTGCCTCCCCCCCCCCCCCTCTTTACCTTTCCATGACTCTTCCTCTTTCACTTACCTATACCAAACAAGCGCACTGGGTTTCCAAGTTGGTCCATCCAGCGTGGCTCAACTAGATCGGTCATACCAATAATCTCACAAACAACCGTCAGGTCATCACCGACTAAAGGTAGATCGTTGATGCTTGGTGTGAATCGGATTGTCACAGGCTTCCGTAGATCTGAAAAGTGAACCAGAACATGAATTTGTGACCATGCAAAAGCTTGGCATATGTATAGCTGTAGAATAGCAAGTTGCTCGAGGGTGGAGGGGAAATCAACTTGCAACTTAATACAATAAATTTGGTAAAAAATGAAATATAAACATATGAACCTACCACTGAGAAAATACTTCATACTAACAGTGCAGGAACTGTATTAGCTTTCATCAAAATGTTCAAATTTAACTTGATTCTAGGCAATACAGTTATACTCACAAGTAGAGTTAGAGTTACCTACCTTACAAAGACTGCTGGGTTGTAATAATACATTTATACCTTGAAGGAATAACATTTCCATCTATAAATATTTTACTCTCTCACTTCAACCAAGATAAATCTCAAAGTATCATATTCTATTGGTTAGGTAGATAAATTTACAGGTTAGCTGAAATGCATGAAGATGTTATTAGAGCATTAACATTTCCTATAGAGAAAAAGAATTGAATCTTCATATCATGTTTGGATCCAGAAGGGCTTTAACTTATATACTTAAACACAGAGTTAACCCCCTTCTGGCTCTGAACAGGCGATATGTGATGGGGAGCATCCATATTGTATCCTTTTCATAGTATTACTTATACTTAATATTTCCATTTGGTGCTCATTAGTACCACATTCAATAGTACATACTTTGTAAACTAACTGTATTTCCATGTATTCAAAAGACTTACATGTACATACAGATGCAAATATTTTTCAACAACAGATACATTATTTGTAGAAATTTCTTAATTTTTTTCGTTTGTCATTAGAATTAATTTGTTACTTTAAATTAGAGCTCATCGAGCAAAGGTTTATTGGAATTGCGCTATATTAATTCCAATTGCACCTATATATTTATGGGTGTCACGTAGTGTGCAGACTGAGGGCCATTGCTGCACAAAGATAAACTTGACCCCCATTAAATTATCTCTAGTCATTCAAGAATGACAAAAAGTTTGCTACTGCAGTTTTCAGAGGCAGTTCACCACTCTGCATGGAACTCTGTATGGAACTTTACTTTCTCTCACAGAACTAGCCTTTATGATCTGGACTGCATTCACACAGAGAGATTGAGTAGTATGCGGATTATAATCATAATAGAAATAATAGTAATATGTCTTGTTTATCTAGGGTAGCCTTATCAGTATTTATTCTGTTCTACATGAGGACCCTGCAATCATCTCATTTTCCGGCTAATGAACCATTGCTGCAAATAGATTAGTTTTTACCCCACAAAATTTGCCAATCATCCATAAAATTAGATTTACCATGGCAGTTTCTCCACGCATTTTACGGAGTCACGTCTGAATGGGACTTATGCTACGTTCACAGAGGTTCCTACGAACGATAATTTTGTACAAATCTCTGTTTTTCCATTGTCTTCCCGACTTTCCATTGTCTGAAAATCCTTCATACGGCGTTCGTAGCAGTTCGTAATGGCATTGTGACCGAGGCCTTAGACCGAAAGCTTCAGTCTCTGATATCGACGGTTGTTCCGCTGAGATTACATCTGGCTCCTCTTACCATATGGGGAATGTTGACAAATGTCAGTTTTATTAAAGAATGACCAATACCAGACGGTTATTTCTGTCTGAATGTGACTTTACTTACTCTCACAAAACTGGCCTTCATAGTCTGGACTGCACTCGCAATCTCCGTTAACACAGCTTCCTCCATTAATACAAGCAGGCATGCACTCTGTAAGGAGCAAGGTTAGAGTAAAGCCTGCCCTCATATCTCAGTTAATGAAAGCTTGAAGTTATGCATTGCTTGCATTAATGAAAATAATAGAAAGTCAATTCATATATATTACGTAACAGCAATGTCATTAATGCATAAATAAACTTGATACATTATCAGTTGAGTATAAGAATTGTCATTAGTCTAAACTTTTCTGTTGACTTAAGGACCTTCTCATTGTCAACTGACGACATATGAATTACATGAGGCAATAATCAGAAGTACTTTTTTCAGTTCAAGTCAGATTCATGTTCACATTTAGTTATAATTAAAAAGTAATTTGATATTCATATCAATGTTAAATTCTTATTGGTCATGCATAATACAGACATTTAAAAACTGTCAGTGTGTTTCGTGTTAATGAAGTAGACTTTTATATGAGTTAAGGTAAACAGATAGTGAGATAAAAATAAGAATTGTAAATTAAATAGAACTCTTCATCTTATCCACAGAAACATATTCATAATGTCATCAGTAGTAGTAGTTTACTTTAATAATACATGTAGTAGTAGTAGTAGTAGTAGTACTAAAAGCAGTAGTAGTAGTAAAAGCAGCAATAATGGAACTAGAAAATAGATTCCTCAGCTTTCATTAACCAATATATAAAGATTAAATGAGAAACATTATTATTTTAGTAGAATATGTAGGATTTAATAAATCGCTCTTATTAATGTTAGAGCGATTATCCATTATCGTGGAATAGTTTCAAAAATTGATGGATCATGCAGCTGGAATTGTAGCATTAAAAAAATGTTAAATACAATGGTCAATATCAATGGAAGTTTCATTTCCCATGCAGGTACTGTTTATTATCTTTCCTCCTTCTTTTTTCTAAAATATTTAATTTTGTTATCTCCAAATTCACCACATTGTAAAAATAATTTTTAATTTTTAATTTGAATTAAATTTATTTTGAATAATTAAGAAGAAAATAAATGTAGATTTCAATTCAAGTCCATAATTACAATTAATTACAATTAATTTGGATGCAATTCAAGATATATATGATATATGAATGCATAGACAACTTTCGCTAAAAAAAGTAAATGTCCAAATATCTTATGATATTTTCATCATTCTCACTAACTTCTAGATGTACCACTCATAGGGTTATTTTTTTTCTGAAATACTGAAATTGCTGCAAAAAAAAATTAAAGGATCAAAGTAGAGAATTGGGAAAACAGATCTCTTCAATATAGCTTTCATTTAATAAAGGATGGCGTTAACACTAACGAGTGAGAGGATGTTAGTGTCTGTCTGAACACATTGTAATGTTACTTTCACTACTGCATGATAAAATACCTCTGTGTTCACACTGGTAGCCTGTATATCCTGGGGCACACAGGCAGATGCTGCCGTCTGAACACGTTCCTCCATTTTGACATCCTGGTATACAAGGCATTTCTGATAAAAACATGAATGAAAAGCAAAGAGGTAAAACACATCCCCTAATGGTGAGATTGGAACTGAATTTGCATGAATGATACATCCATATCAAAGCAAGGAGTAAATATTAAGAAGTAGCGGGAAAACCATACATTATTTCCTTTATATTCTTACATCAATTTCAAAGAGTAGTATTCTGTAAGAGAGATAACTTTAAAAAACATGCATCTTCATAACTTCTTCCTTTGCTGGGGAAAAAAATTTGTGATATGTTATGAAACAAAGGGACTTCAACTTTAAAAGTATAGTACAACTAACTCACATTAAGTCACAACAGTACTCTATCTTCAGCAACTCCTGGCTACAAATCCCACGAATCAATATGAATATTGAGTGAACTGAATGTTTGGATTGGAAAAGCTACATTTTTCTTTCTTGAAAACATAAATATAACAGAAATTGCAAATTTTTCTTTCCCCAAGGATAATCTTTTATCCCTCCAACATTAATCAAACTTCATGCACAAATCTTTGTTATTTGCTTCCTTACAAAATATTTCATTCACCTGTTACAAATAATTGTAATTCAATAGTCAGAATGCGAATTGCATACATTACATGTCATTAGGTAGGACAAGCCATAATGTTTGTCCTACGTAGCAACAATCATTGACAACAATTGGACAAAGATTGGTTAAAGATGTTGGTGTGGGTGTGGATGTAGGAGTGGGTGGAAGCATGTGGTGGTTGTATGTATACATGCCAGTGTCTCCTCCCTCAACTATGTGGATATTGAGTTCTATTTATAGATGGGTGGGTGTTTGTGGGAGGTGTATGGGTGTGTGGGAGACTCTCTTTTGGGTGTTACTTACTGTAGAAGATCACAGTGAGGGTGTTCGTGTAGGAACCAATGACACAGGTATAGATGCCAGAGTCTCCTCTTTCCACCATGTGGATGTTGAGCTGCGTTGCCGTGGGTGATATCGCCCGAGCATTGATGTGGGATGCATCACCTACGAAAACAGAAGAATGGTGGCATGAAAGACTTATTACCTTCTTTTCACCATAAATAAGCCTAAACCAATACAAGAACAAAAGGACATTTCATAGTATGGTGCTTGCTTCTATTACTATTGCAAGGGCACATGTTGGCCTTAGCATATGCTTTCCTTGGTTCCACAAACGTTACACTTTATTGAGAGTTTATCAAGTACAGCAGTCCTTAAATCACTAAAACTTCTGAGGCTTATGTCACTCCATTGCACACTGCTTTAGAATGCGACATGTATGAGCTCTTTTACCGAAAAGATTCTGACAGTTCATGATTATTAAATACATATAACTTGAAAGTCAAGTTTATGCATCTGATTTAATCAAGACGTCTTAGCCAAAAACATAAAGTTGTCTACTCCTAAGAACAAGCAGCTCTTTTCCTAAAAGAAAATCTTTATGACATCAAAATTAATAGTTTTACCACCATACATGTAATGGCTACTTTTATACACACTACACTGTACATATACTTTCTGAACACATTGGGAAGAATATTACCCTATCTTTGTGGTAACTCTCACCTTGTACAACACGTTCTCCATTGGGTTTGACCCACACAGGTCTCTGGAAACCTTGAGGGTTGTCTACTTCACAGATTAGCTGTAGATCTGTACCAACAGGGGGTAACCTGGGTACATGAGGAGTGATGTTGATCCGGAAATTTTCATCTGCAAATCCTTCAATTATAAGACAATGAAGCACACAATGTATTGAAAGTATTATTGAAAATAACCACTTTGAAAATAATTGTAATACTTGGTGTACAGTACATAAAAACTTTGCTTAACAGGTACTCACATGTACATACTACATGACAGTACCGCCACAGTCTAGAGACACAAAAAAATCATCCATTGGAGTACATAAGGTTCATCTCAATAAGTCGGCACCTTAAAAGTAAAGACCAGTTTTGGAAATGCCCCCCTCTCAAAAAGTGAAATGGAAGCTCTTATTACCAATCATGCGAAAGAATATGTTTTGACTAATACGTGATGATACAGATTTTGCCAGGAAACCACCTACTAATTGGTATATTTGGTAAATTATCATATCTATCCAGCCTGAATAGATATCGCGTAGTCCCATATATATATCTTACCAAGACTGGGCCAAATTTGTTATCTTTATGATGATCCCAGAACCTTACACAATGCTTATAGGCTACATGATCAACCTTTTCTGTTCGATTCCACGTTTCTTTCACATTGCAATCGCATGACCAGAACTCAACTTTATCTTTAAGGCTCGTTCAGACATAATGCGTAAACCATGGCAAAAAAGCTACCACAGGTTTTTGTGTGTAAATTCATTGCAAATGCATGCAACATAGGGCCTGCACATATTCACTAAGCTCTGTGTTATAAGATACATAAATGTGAACCCTAATACACATTACGTCATCACTAAAAAAAATGTCACAGCTCAGCCATATATCCGAACAAGGCTTTACGACTAAATGTGATGGACTTACTTCTGTTTTGGCAGAATGAACCTTCAAATCCTGATGGACAGATGCATCGAGCATTACTACAGGTGCCTCCATTAGCACAGGGGAAATCGCACTCAGTTACTGCAAAGGATAATCATCACAATTTATACATGTAAAGCATCTACATATATTTCTGACACTCATCTATGAATTCTGCTTTTTAATTACAAATTTCTGTAGCATATTAGTAAAAGATGCATAGCTTCATGAAGCCAGAGCTAGGCTAAATTTAGGAAACGGAACACAAAGGAAATGGAGTTCAGTATGGATGAGGACATGGTATATTATAACCTGAAAATTTACAGTAAATGGATTTCACAACATTTCACAATATCTTTTTTGAATTCTAAATAGAAGAAGTGCTCAATAAAACAAACACACCAGATTTCAGCAAAATCCAAGTTCAGAAAACAGCAATCATTAGAAATGTTTACTAAAATACTTCATTTATCGATTTATGTTGATGAACCCCTTTTATCAAGCTTGATTCTTAGGTTAGTAATCGTTTCCACTAATCAACATATTTAAGCTTTCTGAGCATCAGATGGCATTTTATCATGTAGAGGTGTTGTGGTCTAGTGGATAAGCCACCGGACTGTAGATCACAAGGTACAGGTTCAAATCCCAGCCCAGCACTAACGTCCTCTGGCAAGACGTTAGTCTACATTTGCCACTCTCCACCCAGTTGTTGAATGGGTAGGATGCGAACATTGATGTAGTTTGCTCAGGTTTGTGAGCGTCTGTAAAATGGCGCCTGCCTGGAATGCCGCTCAGGGAGTGTAGAATGTGCATACATTGTGTGCGGGCAAGCATGAATCTGATGACAGGAGGATACAATATCTGTAAAGCGCTTAGAGAAATCACAGATATATTAAGCGCTATATAAACACGCAATAATATTATTATCCTGTGAGGAGAGAAGAGAGAGGTACTTACTCTGAAATTCACAAGCAATTCCTCCATATCCCTCAGGGCACATACACATACCCATGCTGCAGAGACCATTGTTTTGACACCGTGGGACACACTGGGCCTCTGTGTATTAACAAAGAAGAACAGGGCCATGTTTCATAAAACTTGTCATCAATTACAAGTTAGAAGAACTGTTATAAGCTACTGAGATCGTGGCATTTCACTGACTGGGAACAAATTTCTCCTATTACAGAAGTTAAGCATTTTTTAATGAAATAGGGCCCAGATACAATTATTTGTTCCATGTGTACCCAAAGGTATTACATGCCTCCATGTTTTCACAGGTCATGCTTCATCATGTAGTGCGGATTGTAAGATTTAGAAAGTTTTCTGTCATGACGTCGGTTCAGATTAACCATAATTTCATTTGGTCGTAAGAGGGCGTTTGTAGTTCGCCAGCCTAAAAGTCACGAAATTTGAAATGTTTTGTGGACAGTGATTCCATCAGTAATCCCCGACAATCGAGACAAGCCCAATGTTGTAAGTACTATAAAGCTGTTATTTGTATAAATCAATCTTTAATTGTTTGTATGAGGCCAAAAATGGCACAAGATATAAATCTAGTTTTCTGTAATTTTAAGATGAAAAGTACGTTAAAATGTTGTCTGTGCATGTAGCACCACATATAGACAAACGTAGGATAACGTGTGTGAATGCACAATTTGTGCATATATCAGTTTGTGTTGAGGATAATCTAGATTTGTGTGTAATGAGTGATGATAATTGACATGAAACAAGAGTATGAATTGTTTTCCTTGGTTATAAAGAATGTCAAGGGTGTAGAAGCAAATAGGAATTTAGTTCAGGAACCAAGTAAAGAGTGTAAGATAGAGGCAGGAAATAAGGCTGGTCGAGGGTTTATTTGTGTATGACGTTAACCTACAAGATAGAGAGGTATGATTTGTAAGGGTTATATTTGTAAACAAAGGTAGAATTTGAGACAGTTCATTAGAATAAGATAAATGAGGCAGTTATACAGTTTGTGTTTGCACAAGTGAGCTTTACTCACATAGTTTATTCTTGAAGGTTTTCTTTACTCAGTTATGCATATTAAGGTCATTTATGGCAAGCTAGTTGTGCGATACAATAGATGTTTGTTTATTCATGTGAATTTGTACACATGCTTATGATTGCTTGTTTGTTTTATTGATATTACAGATGAACTGCATTTTATGCACGTATCTCAACTTGGATGTCGTCGTCCTTTCTTTAAGCCTACTGTTGGGGTCACTTCAGCAGAATTTAACGTCACACAAAGTTCATAACAGCTTTAGCATTCGTCACCATGAGTCAAGTAGGTGTTGATGATGTCAATCCAGAGGATTCTGCAAGTCAGGTTGGGAAGAGTTCCACCACGTCATCTGGACTTAGGACCAGGGCCAAGAGGGCTGCAATAGCAGCAGAATTAGCAGTTCTCCAGGAAGAACAAGAGATAGAACTCGAAGAAATACGCCTTAAGCAAAGGAAGGCTAAGTTACTCTTACGTGCCAAGCTCAGCGCAGCAGAGGCAGAAGAAGACGTGTATGAGCAACACAGGAGTGGCAGTAAGGTGTCGAGTATAGGGAATAGGAGTTCCAGTCAGCAGAATGTCAAGCAGGTGCATGAAAGTGCAGAGCATGCTACGGAACATCATCATCATGTCAGCAATCATGATGTCAAGGAACCTGTGCTCCTACAAGAGACTATTCCTTTTCCAGCTCAGCAAATGGCTTCATCTCCCATTTCAGGTCAAGCTTATCAACCACGAGACGACCGAGAATTTTATCTGCAGACCCAAGTTCAGCAACAACGATGGTTGGAAGCTATCAGTCTGGCTAATGTAGAGATGATGAAGTTTGATGGGAGTCCTTTGCACTTCCATGAATTTATGATGTCGTTCGACAACTTAATTGGTCGATCTTCACTCGATAGTGGGACAAAACTTATGAAGTTATATCATTGCTGTGAAGGAGAAGTTAAGGGCATCATACAGTGCTGTATGGTCATGGAACCACTGTATGGGTACCAACGAGCCAGAGAGCTGTTGGTGGAACGCTTTGGCAGCAAGTACAAGATAGGAGAAGCCTGGATCAAACGTATAACCACTGGTCCAATCTGCCATGCGAATGACCGGAAGGGGCTGCAGAAGTTTGCAGATGAGTTGAAGATCAGCATGGAAACTCTTCGAGCAATGGATCTACTGCAGGAAATTAGTAGCCAGAGAGAGTTGCTGAAGGTGGCTGAGAGACTTCCATATTACCTTAAAGGTAGATGGTTAAAGTTGGTGAGAGACATCAGACAGCAGGAGCGTTCTCCCGATATCTCGGACATGGCAAGGTTTGTCTCCAACGCTGCTGAGGAAGCCAATGATCCTGTCTTTGGAGATCTGACAGCAACAACAAAAAGAGTTGAAACTTCAAACCCAGCTTTCAACAAGAAGAGTACAAGAAGTAACTACATGTACGCTACAGAGGTAACAGAAGTAGCAGTCAACCTGAAGTGCCTTAAGTGTAGGCAAGAACATTCCTTGTTTGGGTGCGACAGTTTTAAATCCATGGCACCCGAGATGAGATTTCAGTTTGCTCAGGACAACAGACTATGTTTCAACTGCCTGCAATCTGGCCACACCAGTAGGTTTTGCAGATTGAATAGAAGATGCTCAGTTCAAGGATGCCAGAGAAAACACACAAAATTTCTCCATTTTGCACAGGATGCATCTTCATCTGCAGGAAGGATGACAACGACACAGGCTCCAGTTGAAACCCAGAACAACGAAGTCCATCAAGTCCAGAATGGGTTCGTTAAGAAGTGTGTCACAGGGGCCGGAAGGTGTGTGCTTCCCATTGTTCCAGTGAGGGTTAGAGCTCAAGGAGAGAATGTATTTGTGAATACATATGCACTGTTGGATTCTGGTTCAACCAGTACATTTTGTACAGCCACTTTGGCCAGAGAACTCAATGCTACTGGAAGGAAGCAAGGTTTAAGCCTGACAACACTGGAGAAGCGTAATAGCCCCATAGAGACCTCAGTGATTAGTCTGATTGCAGACACGGGACCAGATACAGACTGTGTGAAGCTACCCTGTGTGTATACCAGAGACGCCATTAATATCAGAGACACACACATTGCCAATGTGGATGACATTTCAGGATATCATCACTTAGAAGGAATCAACCTCCCGATCATTGAACGACATGAAGTTGGACTGTTGATAGGGCAGGATTCACCTGAAGCCTTGATACCTATCGAGGTGAGACGAGGACAGCATGGCCCTTATGCTGTTAGGACCAAATTGGGTTGGTCAGTGAGTGGACCTGTAGGTTCCAGTTCAGATGGTGTACCCAAAGCTACATCTAGCTTCATTGACAGTAATGATAGACTGGAGGAACAAGTCAGCCAATTCTGGAAGATCGAAGCTACAGATGTGCTTAAGAAAGACAAGGCAATGTCAGTCAATGACAAGAAGGTAATGGAAATATGGGAGAGGGACATCCAGCGGGAAGGTGCACATTTCCAACTACCGGTGCCCTTCAGAAGGAGACCACCTAACTTGCCTGATAACAAGTGGAGTGCAGAACAGCGTTTGAAATCGTTGGCAAGGAGATTGCAAAGAGATCAAGCAATGTATGTGAAATACAAACAGGGCATAGAGGATCTCCTCAGGAAAGGCTATGCAGAGGAAGTTAGTGAGGAGACTAGGCAACCCAAGGACACCCCTGTTTGGTATTTGCCCCACCATCCAGTCTTGAATCCCCAAAAACCAGACAAGATGCGAATCGTGTTCGATTGTGCGGCCAAGCACCAAGGGGTATCTTTGAATGATGCAGTGTTACAGGGGCCGGACCTTATCAACAATTTGATGGGAGTTTTGCTTAGATTCCGCCAGCAACCAGTAGCACTCATGTCAGATATAGAGGCAATGTTCCACCAAGTGAGGGTACCTCCAGAAGATCGAGACGTGTTGAGATTCTTGTGGTGGAAGGACGGAGACTTCAACAAGGAACCGCTGGTCTACCGGATGTGCGTCCACCTCTTCGGAGGTACGTGGAGCCCAAGTGTGTGCAGCCATGCACTTCGTCAGACAGCAAGAAACGGTGATGGTAATGGTAAAGTGGAAGCATCTAAGGCCATTCTCGAGAACTTCTATGTGGACGACTGCCTGGTGTCAGTTGAGAATGAAGAAACAGCGGTGAAACTTGCTGCGGACTTGATGGTCTTGCTCAGTGAAGGAGGCTTCAGATTAACCAAATGGGTCAGTAACAACCCATTTGTCCTGCAATCCATACCAGAAGAAGAGAGAGCTAAAGATGTGAGGGGTCTGGATCTCAATCATGATGCTCTTCCAGTCGAGAGAGCACTTGGAATCAGCTGGGATGTAGAAACTGATTGTTTGCTGTACAAATTTAGACCCAAGGACAAACCCCAAACCAGGAGGGGTATCTTGAGTGTTGTATCTTCCATCTACGACCCTCTCGGTTACGCCAGTCCTTTCATCCTAAAGGCTAAGATGATCTTGCAGGAACTAACCAGACTTAAACTTGCATGGGATGAGGAGATTCCAAGCAAGGAAATAGAGAGATGGAATGAATGGTTACAGGAACTACCCAAGATGACTGAATTCCAGGTCAACAGATGCATCAAACCACACGACTTTGGCAAGGTAGCAGAGTATAAGCTACATCACTTTGCAGATGCTTCAGAGAAAGCCTATGGAGTCGTTTCCTACCTGCGGATGAAGGATGTTGAGGGTCAGGTGCACTGCAGCATACTATTTGCAAGGTCACGTCTTGCACCCCTGAAGAGGATGACAATCCCACGGCTTGAACTGATGGCGGCTACACTCTCTGTCACTATAGACAGTATGATACAACGGGAACTGGATCTGCCGCTCCAAGGGTCAGTGTTTTGGACTGACAGTTCAATAGTACTTCATTATGTGAAGAATGAGGATAAACGTTTCCATACGTTTGTAGCAAACAGAATTACAACCATTCATGAGGGATCTGAACCAAGGCAGTGGCGACATGTTAACACTGATGTCAATCCAGCCGATGATGCCTCGCGTGGACTGACAGCTGAGGAATTGACTGGACGATGGAAAGAAGGGCCAAAATTTTTGTGGTCAGAAGAATGCGATTGGCCTAAAAGCTTGACAGTGAATGAGTCTAGCTTAGAGCATGACCCAGAGGTAAAGCAAGACAAGACTGGAGTGTTTGCTGCAGCCGAATCTGAAGTCAAGGCGACAGATAGACTCCTTGAAAGTTACTCGTCCTGGTTCCGGCTGAAGAAAGGTATTGCATGGATCCTGAAGGTCAAGGAGTGCTTGAGAAGAAAGGCACGCAAAGATATGAATTTACTGGATATGAAGCAGCCAGTAACAGTTGATGAGATGACTGTAGCTGAAGAAGCAATTGTCAGATACGTTCAGCAACAGACCTATGCTGAGGAGTACAGAGTCTTACAGCAAAATAAGACTACACAACGGTCACCCACTCGAATAGCAAAATCCAGCCCACTATCTAAATTGAGCGTGAAACTCACAGACGAAGGATTGATATGTGTTGGAGGAAGACTACACAATGCACCACTAGAAGAGCAGACAAAACACCCAGTGATTTTGCCTTCCAAGCATCATGTAGTACAGCTTTTGGTGAGACATTACCACATTATGTGTGGTCACTCAGGGAAGGAGTATGTGCTATCCCTACTCAGACAACGATTTTGGATAATCAGAGGGAGGTTAGCAGTTCGTCATGTACTACACAAGTGTTTCACATGTAAACGTCAACGTGCAAAACCAGTGGAACAGAAGATGGCAGATTTGCCGGCAGATAGAGTGGTACCAGAAAAACCTCCATTCAGTAACGTGGGAGTTGACTGCTTTGGCCCATACATGGTGAGACAAGGAAGGAGCTCTGTGAAGAGATATGGATGTATATTCACTTGTCTGGTTATAAGAGCAATACACATAGAGGTACTGCATTCATTGGAGACGGATTCATTTCTGAATGCCCTTCAGAGATTTATTTCACGCAGAGGACAACCAGAGATTATCAGATCCGACAATGGTACAAATTTCATAGGTGCTGAACGTGAACTGAGGGAGGGATTGAAACGATGGAACCAGGAGAAGATCCACGATAATCTCCTTCAACAAGGAATTGATTGGAAATTCAATCCACCGAGAGCATCCCATATGGGTGGATCATGGGAAAGACAAATCAGAACTACGAGAAAGGTCTTGAATGCAGTCATGAAGCAGCAGGTTCTGAATGATGAGGGCTTAACGACTCTTATGTGTCTAGTAGAGGTAATTATCAATGGGCGTCCACTCACCATAACATCTGATGACGCAAGGGATGCAGAGCCTCTCACACCAAATCATCTGCTGCTCCTGAGGTCAAAAAATGCTCTACCACCTGATGTGTTCCAGAAACATGATCTGTATGGACGTCGACGCTGGCGGCAGATTCAATACCTGGCAGACTTATTTTGGCGCAGGTGGGTGAAGGAATACCTACCTTCCTTACAACAGCGGCAGAAGTGGCTGAAAGAGACGAGAAATCTGGAGGAAGGTGACATCGTGCTGATTATCGACAATCTGCCGAGGAACAAGTGGTTGACGGGAAGAGTAATCGAAACCTATCCTGGGAAGGACAAGCTCGTCCGATCGGTGAAGCTGAAACATAGCACCGGTATCCTAGTCAGGCCTGTGCAGAAACTATGTCTTTTGGAAGAAGCAGATAGCGTATTGGTGAACCACAGCGACTAATTGGAGCATTCATTTCTTATGTGAGATAATTATATTGATGCACGGTGAATTAAACGTGCGAGGTGAGAGCCTAGCGCCGCCTCTTGTGAATTTTTGTGTCGCAATTTTCCTGATCCGTGACGAGCGTAAGATCCTGATCATCACGTTTCAGTTTTGGAAGAAGCAAAGAGCGTAAATTGGTGAACCGTGGAGAGCGATCTCAATTTAAATGGATCCACAGCGAAGAACGACTAAATTGGAGCATTAGTTTCTTATGTGAGATAATTATATTTGATGCACGATGAATTAAACGTGCGAGGTGAGAGCCTAGCGCCGCCTCTTGTGAATTTTTTATGTCGCGATTATCCTGATCCGTGACAAGCGAAAGATCCTGATCATCATATTCAAGTTAGACTGACGTCGACGCAAGACAGAACTCGTTTACAGCAACAAACTTGTTTAAGCGCAAGAAATTGATAAAAACAGTCCTCAGACTTTATACAAGACTATTTGCGGTAACATTGTGCCCTTGAGGTAAATCGGGCACGTTATATTTGAGGACAGTGGACTCTACTCTTGAAGAGTAATAAACATTTCAGCCTTGTTATAGACTATGTCATATTATGTTTATTAGTCAATACTTGAAGAAAGACTATAATGGACTTCAGAATATATGTATTCATTTCAGTATTGAACTGAGACTATTGCTGAAAGATTTTTTTGTTCGAACGATATTCATACGTAATTTCTTACATGTTTTTTCCTAAGAGCAGGAGTTAAATATTTGACCACTACAAATGAGAATAATTTGTCATGATAACATGTTATTTGGTCAATGCATGAGCATACAAATATGTAGTGTCTAGTTCAATTTGAAACTTTAAAGAACCGAATTGTGTTGATATTTGATGCATAGACCCAAAAGAGGATATTTGATATGAAGGGGATAGTTGAACTAAAGTTTTGTATACCGGAAGTAAATTGACAATTTACTCAAGATTGCGAATGATGAGAAAGTTTAATCACAGAAGCACCATTTTCTGAATTTGAAAATCATTTTTTGTGTGTAACCCTGTTGTATTTAGTGGTGGGCTACTGAATTTGCTTGAAAACTCACAAAAAAGGGGGTTTAGTTTCAAGAATCGAGTACTGAAATACACAGTTCTGAGTAGTTAGCAGCTCTAGTGCATAGAGGTACATGTAGAATCATTATGTTTGAGCTGATATATTTCGTATTTTCCTTTGGTAATTCACTAGATAACTCAAAGTGTGTAAGGAATGTCAAGGACTTTAACAATCCTTGTTATTGTTATTTGCTACAGAGTGTCAACAATTGTGTTGAGATTTAGTTAATGTGTACTCTATTAAGGCAACTGATCGTTTTGCCCAATGTTACTTTAATTGACCTGTCGGTATACATTTTTAGACGACAAGTGTTTGTTGTGTATAGGCTATAAATTCACCCTAAAGGCATTTACTGTAATGTACTACATTGTGTAAATGAAATTAATGGAATGTGCTATGCAGAGTTGAGTGTAAATTCTGAATGTTTAGTTGTGTTTTATTAACAGAAAAGTTAGACAATTTGAATGGAAGTTGAAGTTATTTGGATAAATGCTTTGCTGTGGCTACGCATTTAAGGGGCCGGGATGTAAGATTTAGAAAGTTTTCTGTCATGACGTCGGTTCAGATTAACCATAATTTCATTTGGTCGTAAGAGGGCGTTTGTAGTTCGCCAGCCTAAAAGTCACGAAATTTGAAATGTTTTGTGGACAGTGATTCCATCAGTAATCCCCGACAATCGAGACAAGCCCAATGTTGTAAGTACTATAAAGCTGTTATTTGTATAAATCAATCTTTAATTGTTTGTATGAGGCCAAAAATGGCACAAGATATAAATCTAGTTTTCTGTAATTTTAAGATGAAAAGTACGTTAAAATGTTGTCTGTGCATGTAGCACCACATATAGACAAACGTAGGATAACGTGTGTGAATGCACAATTTGTGCATATATCAGTTTGTGTTGAGGATAATCTAGATTTGTGTGTAATGAGTGATGATAATTGACATGAAACAAGAGTATGAATTGTTTTCCTTGGTTATAAAGAATGTCAAGGGTGTAGAAGCAAATAGGAATTTAGTTCAGGAACCAAGTAAAGAGTGTAAGATAGAGGCAGGAAATAAGGCTGGTCGAGGGTTTATTTGTGTATGACGTTAACCTACAAGATAGAGAGGTATGATTTGTAAGGGTTATATTTGTAAACAAAGGTAGAATTTGAGACAGTTCATTAGAATAAGATAAATGAGGCAGTTATACAGTTTGTGTTTGCACAAGTGAGCTTTACTCACATAGTTTATTCTTGAAGGTTTTCTTTACTCAGTTATGCATATTAAGGTCATTTATGGCAAGCTAGTTGTGCGATACAATAGATGTTTGTTTATTCATGTGAATTTGTACACATGCTTATGATTGCTTGTTTGTTTTATTGATATTACAGATGAACTGCATTTTATGCACGTATCTCAACTTGGATGTCGTCGTCCTTTCTTTAAGCCTACTGTTGGGGTCACTTCAGCAGAATTTAACGTCACACGGATACTATTCATGTTCTGGAGAAGCCACAAACCATTCAGGGCCCTGTTTCATAAAACTTCTAATCAATAACAAGTTACAACAGTTATTAGATACTGAAATTGTTGCATTTGATTGGCTGAGATCAAATTCATCATAGAAATTAAGCTTTTGTTATTGATAACATGTATTGTGGAATGGGGCCCAGAGGTGCTCTTTATTCCATCTCTCTCCCGTAACGCCCATCAAGACGTCTGGACTGAGTGAAGACCAAAGTGATTACTACTGGTTATAGGCTATATGGGTCTTAGTAATGGGTCTTAGTGGAGTGAGCCTGTGCAGACTCAAACTTCTCTAGCAATTACTATTAACCAATCGCCTACTAGAACCAAGTGTTCTCTGTATTAAGACCATGGGAATTAGATAATTCAGGAGCCATCGGGTTAATTGAGTGACAAATACTCACCCTGGATTGTGATGTCAAACTCATTATCATACTCTCCCACTGTGCAGGTGTAGATACCAGAGTCTGTCTCTACGATGTTATTGATAACCAGTGTAGTGGTCATGGAGGATTCCTCCTCAACACTCAGATGTCTGCTGCCACCTGGTGAGAAAGAACATACAGTCAAACATGTCACATTCACCACCTTTATCCAAAGGCCATATTCTACAGTGGTAACCTAGATGTATATTGAATCCCTCTTGAAGCGATGTTTGCTTTATATTCTGTCTAAAGTCCACTTGTTTACATTGAAACATTTCTGTTCCGTTCAAGTGAAAAACAGTCATGGTATACAAAAACACATTTTTTTGGTTTTAAATATATATTTCTATATGTATCTAACTTGTTTAACATTGTATTTGACAAAATATTGCAAGCAGGTTGAGTTCTTCTTTTCGTTTAATCTTTTAAGTCATCTTGGTCAATAGAGAAATAGTCAGAGATAAGATTATAGTCAAACTATCTGTTGGTGTAAAGAGATATATCGAAAAGTGAATAAATCTGCATAAATGTGCATAAATTTAACTAAGGTTACCTTGATGACTTATTTTGATTTGTTCTATGCTAAGACCCATAAGGTTTGTTGTGAGTTTCTTAATTCACCAATTATACATTACATGGAGTAGTATAAAAAATAGATCTACTTGAGTATTTATTCTTTCCTCCTTTACTGACGTGTTTACTCACGTCCCCTCTTCTGAGCTTTCCTTCTCTGTCTTTCTTTGGTGTCTTCATGAAATATTATTGAAGTCAATACATCTTTCCTAGATGGGTGTTCTTACTTGCTACCTTTTTTGTTTGTGACGTAAATATTCATGTCCTCTCTCCTTGCCCCTTGGCGCATTTCATGGCGATATGCATAGTTTGACGCATAACAAGAATAAAAACATTACTTGAGAAAGCCCTACAAAATAAAATTTGTTAAACAATTATATTGAATATTTTGCATATATTTGCATAATTTATGCATGAATTAAACACAATTCCCTTTACCTTGATCCATCCTGCTGATGAGTTCTCCGCCGGGATTGACCCAGGTCGGTTGCAGGTTTCCTGATTCACCAATGTAGGTACATGAGAGCCTCATGTTGTCACCCACGCTCGGAGGGTCAAAGGTCACGGTGTTGACAGTGATCTCAAAGTTATTCCCAACTAGAGTATGAATGGAACAAATACATTCAAAATTTTACATAAACATTAACATAAGTTAATAAATGTATAGGAGAGCACATATCTATGAGAGATATATGTGTATAAGGGTCAAAGGTCATGGTTATCTCATTTTCAAGACAGTCCCAACTAGAAATACGAAACTCATATAATAATACATGAAAATGGTAGATATTGACTTATCACTTAGAAATATGTGCAAATCAAAGATGTAAAGTATACACGGATACACCTGGAAACTTTTGTCTAAATCCATGCTGAGACAAAAGGTCTAAAATTTCTAGAATTTGGGGATAACTCACACCCTCTGTGAAACTTGAATATAGAAAAGTATATTTGTTTTTTATATGATGAAATATGTTGATAAATACAAAGTAATACCTTCATACATCAACCAAAGAGAAATAAATTGCAAAGATCTTTATTTACCCAATCATATATTTTGCAATAAAGGGGTATGATGCATGACTTGTTGAGTTTGATACTAACCTCTCGTTTGGCAGTACTCTCCGATGAAATATGTTGCGCAATGGCAACGTCCACCGTAGCAATGTCCATTATTCTGACAAGGGAGGTTGCATGGCTGAGGGACTATATCAAGAGAAAAATAATCAAGAAATATATTTACTTCCATCACACTATTTTTATCCATATGCAATTATTATACGAGGTAGAGGCCGCTGAAAAACACAAGTCATTACTTGTAACAAAATGTTTAATTCATTTGGGGAAAAGAATAGAACATTATCAAGTAAACATTTATTAGCTCAAACTGTTCAGTAAAATTATTTATTGTATACATGATCAAAGGGGTTTCTGTGCCATTCCCTCCCTGGATTTGTCACTGTCAAGATAAAGCAAATGACCATTCATTTCTTTTTAACAAAAGTTCATAATTGTATTTTTTATCTGTTCTAAATAAGGTAAAACAAAGGAGTTTGGGCAGTGAATTAGAAAATTAACTTAAAAACTGATAGAATCGTAAGCCTAACACGTCTAGGAATTTGATGAAGACATGAAGTTACCTTCTTCCAGGCAGATGGCTCCAATATATTCATCAGGACATATGCATATACCTTCCACACAGGTTCCTCCATTAAGACAGGCCGGTATACATTCGTAATCTGTATTGACAAGAAAAAAATACAAGATAAATGAAACCACCAAATATACAAATTACACATGATTTATCAGGAGAATCCACCCTGATGTCAGGTTGGTTGTAATAGAAGCAGAATAAAATTAGAGAAATGAATCGTTGAACGTTTGGGGAAGTCCAGTAAAATGTACAAAGTCATACATTTTTAACGTTGTAATCAATGAAACAGAAATTGGCATTTCTGTGACATATTTTTGAAGCAATTGTCCTATTTGCATTGTACTGGACATTACAGAATTTCCATCTTCCTGCATGTTTATGAAGAAGTGGTACCGCAGTGGTCTTGTAACTGGGAGGTCCTAGGTTTAAAAACAAATCGATGCGCTAGTGTCCTTTGGTAAAGCATTAATACCCATTACCAAGTCCATCAGAGAGGGCTTAAAGCCGTTGGTCCTTACTTACAAGCATACACATGCTTTTTTAGCAGTAAGGGAAAACAAACCATCAAACCAAATAGATCCATTTCATAAAGGGCTCCTGTAAAACTTATGCTCACTAATTACAGCTATAGTGAAAGGACAATCAATGATTTCCTTCAGAGAAACTTTCTAACTTCTTGAAAGAAAAAATAGAAGAGAAATTGTACGATTACTCAGTGGAGGAATATACACACTGCCTTCCTCAGTATAATCTTATTCTTTTAATGCAACCTACAATACAATTGTGATGATTGCTAAATCTTATGTTAAATTTTATTTTACTTTTTATTTCTTTAATTTTTTTATTTTTTGTACATGTACACTTATATGCACCTTCAAATGTCTGAAGACAAATTTTATGTGTACTTTACATGACAATAAATTATCTTGAATGTTGAATTTGGATCTTGAATACTCACATTGTATGGTGATAGTGATAGTCTGTATGGTCATGTCCACCTCACATGTGTAGAGTCCTTCATCTGAGGCTTGGATACCTCTGATATGTAGAGCTGTTGTACTTGGTCCAACGAACTCGGTGAAGACATGGCTAGATGCACCTGAAGTGAACGAATGAACTTATTAGATCTAGGCCCTGTATCATAAAACTTCTTATCGATAACATTTGTGTGTGTATTGGGTTTTCACAGACGTGTATCAATCAGATATGATTATTTACTTATTGGGACCGACTTTTTTTTCGTCACCATCCAAAAGATGTGACTCAGTTTCGAACCTGTGTCCTCGACTAAATCAGTTTGTAACTTCCATTGTTAGCTGGATTACAGGCGCACGCCACAACACCTAGTTGTGGCGATACAATACTTGTTATAAGCTGCTGAAACCCTTAAATTTGATTGGCTACAGATTTGTCATACCGGTAGATCTGTGGCAGACGTTGTTGATAGCAAGTTTTGTGAAACAGGGGCCAGTACATGAGACATATAAAGTGTGTGCTGAGTCAATCATTAGGCTTCCTATGAGTAGGATTATATGCAAGGATAGCACTGCCATGGCCTTTGTCGGTCCATATTACACACATTTACATAGCCTGACTGCTACATAAATCTCATCTACAAGGGAAAGCATTGTCCTGCAATGTTCATCTTTCTCTCCAAAACTCTAATGGTAACTATCTGCAAGTTTGTGTTCATGTCCACAAAGGGTAACAAACGATTTGTCTTTACAGATAAGGTAAGAATATTAATCATTCATGAACATTCCAATAAATAAGAATTTTACAATGAAGCCCAAGAGCACCAATAGCAACATGAAGACATTTGCTGGAAAATGATGTATACAGATACTTAAGTCCCTTCATATACAGTTAACAACTAAATTATTCATACCCTTACCAACTTTTTTTAATTTGTAGGTAGGCATATGTGAAAATCGATTTTTCATAATTTATGTTTCCTAAGAATGTGACATATAAAGGTTACATTTAAAAGTATTCAAGAAACACCCAATATAACCAGTCCATATTTCAGTCTTGAGATAAGAAAAAACAGAAAATTTATAAGGGGTATTAATGATTAAGTAGTTAACTGTATGTCAAAGGTTTAAGACAAGAAAAAAAATATAAATCTAGAAGGGCTGGTTCATCTTACCTGTGGCTAGTGAAGGAACGACGTTTCCATCAGGTCCAATCCAAGCTGGTTGCGGATAGGACAATCTGTCAGAAAGGACTTTACACATAATGGTGATCTCATCGCCTACCAGTGGCCTTCGCTCAAAATCTGTGGTGATTGTTACATTGTACTCCGCAGCAACTGCACCAATGGAAGTGAAATTAATAGAGAAAAGAATTGTTATCAAGGGTTCAAAGAGGTGTACTTATTGTAATGATATAAAGTGATATTGATCAAGTATAGAATTTCATTAAAGTGTACCTATCACCTGAAGACAACATTTGTCTATATCTAGAATGTGTGAAATCAACATTACAACATTTACCTGATATTCTATAGGTAAATAGTCAAAGAGTATTAAAAAAATAAAGGATAACATTAAACATTAACACAGGATGGTGTGAGCCAAATTCTATGCAAGTGTGTACTCATGCATTAACAACTCTGAAGACAAGACGTTTTATTGTGCACTGAGAATGTATTTAAATTGCAATATCTGTATGTAGAAGTAATATTTGAAGCTCATATTTTTAATACAGTATAGCAACATGGGACCCCTAACATTAAGAACAAGACACGTTTTGGTGATTGGAACACTACAAAGCTCTATCGAGGTAGGGTTCGGGAGAAAGTGAAAAACTGTGTTGTTAGTTCTACATTATTTTTATTCCAACTCGTGTGTGTGGACTTTATAATAATGAGTTCATATTTGTCATTTGTTGAGCGAAAGTTAAGAGCTGGTGTACATATTTGGAGGGTGTCATTAAGATATCCAAGTGCCATGTGATTTAGGACTTTGAAGACAATCAAACAGACCCTTAAAGCACCTCTGCACTGGTTTGGCCAGGAGGGATTAGAGAGATTTATAATAGCGTTGTCACTGACAGGTTGTTATCTCATCAACTCAGCTCTCAATCAACATAAGAAAAAGAGGATCATGGGGGACCAACAAGCACCACTTAGGCATTGTTTGCTATATAGAGGGAGCAAGTAGCTACAAGTAGGACAGTGGGGTTTAAAAAGAATGCTTAGTTGTAGGGGTAACCGGCAGTGATGATAATTCTGAGTACTCACTTCTACTTTCACAGAGGTTACCGGTGAATCCTGGTAAGCAATAGCATGTAGCTTGGTCACATGTTCCACCATTTAGACAGAATGGAAGAAAGCAGATCTCTTGGATAACTGTAGGTGAAAGACAAATGAATTTGAACAAATGAATTGTGATTAACAAGTACAATATTAAAAAGTTCCACCATTAAGACAGTAACAAAGAATTAGCTATCCTGAAAAGAACCTTGTTTCAATCAGAGGTTAACAAAAAAAAACTAAGGTATTCCAATAACATTAATAGCATTCATTTATTTATTTTCTTTCTGCTTCATTTATTCATTAATTCACTTAAGTGTTTATTTATTCAATTATTAATTACTTTAAAATGGTTCAGTAAAACAAATCCTTCTCATCATTTTGGATTGAAAATTGTAAATTCTTCTACAAAGGATAACGCAGCATCATAAGATCATTTTCAGGACTACACACCCTCAAGAAAGATTACCGAGAGTAATCCTTTTCAGGACTCTTCAATCCTCCCTATCTCTCACATGGTGCAACCACAATCCTACTGTATAAGATATCAATCTCTTACTTCCAATTTCACAGACGTCTCCTTCATAGCCATAAGGACAAAGACATGTGCCTCCAATACAGCTTCCTCCATTCAAACAAGCAGGATCACAGCTCGGAACTGCAAGGGGAAAATTTAACATGACTCTAAATATCACATGAAACTGAATAAATCGAAAAGAAATAAGACGTGGTATAGACAAAACTTTTTAATATTCAGGGTTCTTTGCATTATCAAAGTCCTAAAAGAACCAAGTTAACATCGCGAATGAGAGAAGAGACATCTGTCAAAAATTGCATAATCTTTATTGATCTAATTACATCTTCCTGCAATTGTAATGCTCAGAACCTATCATTTCAATCGTTTCAATTCAGTCAAACTAGTTGTAAAATCATAAATTGATCGTAAGTACATTAAGCCACGATTAGGATTTGTTAAAATTTATCATAAGTACTCTTCAAAAAAATAATGTTAGCAACATAACAAGCATGGTTCTATATACCATGCATTATGGCCAATGACCTTGGAACTTGTAAGTTTAATCAAGTACAAATTTCATCTAGAAATATTTCAGGTTCTAGCAACACACATGAAAGCTTAATGCATATTAGTATTCATTTTTTCAAACATGTAAGCAGCTCGAAAGTGCGCTGAATAGAGATATCTTAGCATAAACTCTTATATTTACCAATTAATGTGACCTCAAGTGTAGCAGAGAGAGGTCTGGCTCTGCAGGTGTATATTCCTTCATCCGCCTCGGTGGCATCTAAGATGATCAATCTGGTAGCAGACAAAGAGATGTTCTCAGAGTAGACACGACTTGTTCCTACGAAGATACAAAAAGGGTTGGGTGATTATGAAGAGGCTGCTTACAATGATGTTGCTCTCAGAACCAGTATATTTGACTCACTAATTGTTTACTCATTGACCTTGTGCATCTCTTTGATTAGGTAGTTTAGTAAAATATAGTTGCAGAAAATGACGCTTGCAGGACGCTAAAAGTGTAATACTTGATTTTTATGAATTAAAACGTTTAATTCGTTTATATCTGAATGAAAGTTTAGGTAAGCCTTATCGGGACAGTATATGTATTGACCAGCGCCATTCTTTAACAATGTACTACTACCTATATGCGATACAAAATGTGATTTTCAACAATTGTGCCTTTTGCGTTCAGGATGCATCCTTACGTCTTACTACCTTTAATAATGACAGCATAATCCACATTGTGCACTTTTCAACTAATACATATGAGCATAATTAAATACTCTTGTTAAAGCATGAACTTTAATTATCATCAATATGGTCATCAATAATACCATGATCATCATTATCATAATTATCTTCACCGCCATCATAATCATCTAAATATCATCATCACCATCATGATCCAACAGTCTTATCATCACCATTAACATCTCTCCAAATGTGGATGTGTCTGGTACAATCCTTTCATAGTTATTCCTCACCACTATTGCCACAATTACCAGCATAGCCTTCATACGACCAAAGTTATCGACATCTCCATCATCATCATCCCTACAACTATAAATACTTTAAATTCCATCTTCATAATGCTCATCATAATCATGAATATCAACTGGTAATAAAATGGTTTGTTTGATTTTGAATAAAACAAACCATTTTATCACCATCACTTTCAATAAATGTGTCAATGTCCTTGTCATCATCATCATCATAACCATCACCACCACCAACAACGACAGCAACATCCCCACCATGCCATCTTCATCCTCACCTGTTCCGGTTCTAGTTCGAATAGGGCTGCCGTCAGGGTAATACCAAATAGGGAATGCGGATGTGTCTGGTTGAGACATTTCACAGATGAATGTAAGGTCTGATCCTGGGCTTGGTGGTGTGGTGAAATTTGAAGTGATAATCACATTGAACCTCGGACCAGCTGAAATACAATATAGTGTTTAAAACATGCTCAAGTTAATAGGGTTGATATTAAAGGTAAACTTCAATGTAGGTAGCTTAGCCAAATGTAGTGGCGTAAAAAGATGCATCTGGAACGGAAATGGCCAAACAGTAAATAAAACAGGTCGAACATTGACATATTCTTCATGAAATATTTTGTATCATTAAGACTAAACTAAGTATTGAAGATATCTACCAGTCCTTTGTCCTAAAAATATGGTTCTATACAATGGCATCAAATGATTATTTTAAAAAATAATCAATTTGGCATTCCAGACATGTGTTTTTTTGGTGCCACTATATATTATGCTAAGAAACCTCAAACCTACTTCAATTCCTAAATCTCTTGACATTTGCAGCAATTGATTCACTAATCGTGCTAGAGGCAGGGAGTTGTAGAACACGAATGCCAAAGACTAGAGATCCTTAAGCCTTAAGAGCCCCGCAATTCAACATAACATTCCATTTGCAAGAACAAGAAAATGAAATCCACAAAACTGAACAACAATAATCCTTACATGCGACGGTGATGTTAATCTCCTGGAAGCTGGTATCTAGGAGACAGAGATAGACTCCGGAATCCTCTGGTCTGATGTCAGTGAAGACTAGACGAACCGTGTTATCACTCGTTGCCTCAGTGAATGTCCTCGAAAGGGCATCTTCACAAGGGAAGAATGTGAAATAGAAAGTTATAAAGCATCCATAGCTACAAAACTTTTCAGGTTTCAACTTTAGTTTCATTCACAATGAAAAGTACATTCTTTCAATGAAAAATAATATATGACAAAAGGCAAAAAGAGTATCCAAAGACACAAATCAATATTCCATTTCTTAATAGAAGACGAGTCTGATGAATTTTGAGGGACAAACAATGAAATCTAGTAGAAAGCTAAGCTTGTATGTTATAGAGTCACTCACACAAATGGGTAGAAAAAAAAAATTAAATAAACACCCCATAATTTAAAATTTACATTTAAAAAATTTCAGCATTTCACTACAAGAATACACCTTAAGATCTCTTCCTGTACACTGCTGTTTATTTTCAAATGCAGAGCTTCTTGACCAAATGATAAATTCAACAAATGCCATACATATATGTAAACGGTCCTTATCCAAAGTTGGGAAACAAATTGTGAAATATATTATAACTGCAAGGAATGATACTACACCGACTACTCAGTGGACTGGATTGGATTGTATAGTATAGTGTTACAGCACAAAATAATAATAATAATAATAATAATTACACTTATAGGGCACTTCATACAGGTGTTTCTAAGCGCACAGGTGGTGCTGTCTAACTCAGTATAATTATTCAACATGTTCAATAGCTTAAAAGCAATAAAATATAATAAAATACTACTAATACAATAGAATTCAGTTGAAAGGAATTAACTACTTGTGTGCGCCTCCAGTTTTCCAGAACTGATTAAAAAGGTGGGTTTTGAGAAGGGTTTAGAATGATTCAATGAGGCATTTTGAATATGGGGTAGGAGTTTGTTCCAGAGGGCGGAGGCAATCAATGAAAAGACACGGTCACCAAAACGTAAAGTTTACCATGCAAGAACAGGAGAGGGGGCAATTATACTTACTTCTTTGTTGGATGGAATAGCCCTCAGGATGAAGCCACACGGGAGTGGTATGACCACCTTGAACCTGACAGAGAAAGCTGACATCACTGCCGATGGGTATCTCACCAGAAGGTCTTGGTAGGGTCGTGATGTTGTATTCAACTACCACTGGAGAATTCAAGATGTTGGGGATTAGAATGAATATCATTCATACCAAAATATGCAAGATTTATGGATACCGTTAGCTGGTTTGTTTATGAAATGTAATACATTTTAATTACCTTCATGCTATAGTTTGCAGGTCTTCTGGGTGTCCCAGTTAGTCAGGAACAGGGACCATTACGGTTACAGTGATTTAGTTTGCTTTCCTCTTCCCCGGCAGCCAACTGATGCACTCAGAGGACCTCCAGGAAGATTGTGCATTTATAATTGACATTCTCTTAATGTTTGTTTACTTATATTTACATTGTTATATTTTTTTGTGAATTGTCGAATAAATATTAAATAAATATATATATAGAAGCCATAGCACTGAACATGTAATAGCTGGATACTGCTTTGATATCAATGTATCACAGAAGTGTAAACTAACAACTAAAATGTGTGACTATGCTGAACCAGACATTGGTAGCTGACATCACTACCTATAATGGGTATCTCACTGGTAGGTCTTGGTAGGGTTGTAATTGTATTGTCAACTATCACTGCAGTGTACATGTCAATAAGATGAAACATCAAGTATGAAGCATGCAGAAAGTAATGCAAGTTTCATGGATTAAAACAAATCATGTCACATCAATGGACTTGTTATATACCAATCATGAAAACAACTCAAAATTAAGATTTGCAGCTGTAATCATTAAAGAATACACTGTCGTGTATGTGACTTCTGATTCTTTAATAACAGTTAAAACTTTAATTTAAAATATCTCATAGAATGATTTCCACAATTATCTTTAACAAAATATTTCCAGCCATGATTTTACAAAACAGTCATGGCTAAAGGTGCCAAATATATTTCTTTCAATTAGTGCTGTAGCTGAACCGCCGAACCGAACAGAAGTTCGCCGAACATGGCACTTCCGAACCAAACCGAACCGAACGCAAAGGCCTGGTTCGGATGTTCGGCAGAAAAATGCTAACATTTTCGCAAGCTAATAAACTTGTCATTTTGTACCTAATTTTCATGTCGTGATTGCTCATTTTATATTTACTTTTTTCCCATTTTCCACCTTTGTAATTTATGCCTTTGTGATTTATGCCTATCCAATGGTGGACGCGACTTTACTGGCGCCATTTAAATCCCAAATCCTGACCACGCTATGTCGCGATCGCAAGCTATAAACAAGAATACATGTGCGTGATCAAAACAAGTTCAGCTCAAATCCATATAACAAAAACAATCAATATTTTAAATATTTACAATATCAGACATATTTTACAATATAAATAATGAAATAAATATATATTATAGTATGGTATTTATCTATTCAGGAAAAATAGGGATTTTATATTTTTCCTATTAAAAATAAGAACTTATAAGAAACAGTTGACGAGCCTGAATTGCTATTCAAGATGGCAGCTTTCATGACTCTAAACATTAGACAACCGTCTCGGAAAATCGCCCTGTGCCGACCGCCATGGCTAGTATAGTGGTGCTTGCTATTATTTTACCGAACCCCGAACTGAACCAAGTTCGGGTGAAAAGTTGCCGAACTCTGCCGAACCGAACCGAACCGAACACGAACATAGTGTCTGACTTACAGCACTACTTTAAATACAATACATGAGCAATGGCATTTAAGAACATAACAATATTTGTATTGTTTTTATCCTAATGCAGATAGTACTAGCTCTAGATAGTCATAGCATGGCTCGTTTGCCTCTGCCTATTTGCAATACAATGAATAACCACAAAATTATCGTGCCATTGGTATTCAATGTACTTAATAAAACCCATACACACATAACCCATTAACTACTGAATTCTCTGGTCACCATAGGATTAATACAAGGAACACCAGGTTCCAGTATGCAATGGCTTAACAAAAGCATGGTAAGACTTACCTGGTTCTTCGCATCTTGGTCCCCTAAATCCAATAGGACACTGACACTGTCCTCCCTCACAGAGGCCTCCATTAAGACAGGGTTCCAGTAAACAATCAGGTACTAAACAAAATACAAGAAGCAGAAACATGATAAATAATTAAGGGCAATAATTATGGAGATAATGAGCATAATGAAGATGGCGATTATGATGATGACGAAACACTCTTCTCCCTCACAAGAGCGTCCTTTAAAGCAGTGTTCCAGTAAACAATCAGGTAGTAAACAAAATATAAGAGGGCAGAAACATGATTACTAAGAAATGGCAATAAATGTGGTGATAATAAGCATAATGAAAATGGCGATTGTGTTGATGATGATTAATGAGATGCTAACACTCCTCCCTCACAAGAGCCACCATTGAGACAGGGTTCCAGGAGACAATCTGGAACTGAACAGAACATGAAAGACTCCTAACAGTACTTAAGTAACCATAATCAATTGCTGAAGCCTCAAACGACTGGATCCACTAGCTTTTCCCCAGCTATGCCTTAGACTAACACTGGAGATAATAAAGACCAATAATAAAAATAGCTACATTTATATTGCACACATATCCATCCCAGCAGATGCTGAAGGCACCAACAAAGTACAGTATAGCAGTACTACCCTAGCTTTAGCACAGATGCCTTAAGGGGCTTAAGACATACAATGAATAAATTCTTACCAGGTACCTATTAACTAAACCTGGGTGGAGAGAGGCAAATGTAGTGGCAAATACTGCCTTTGCTTGGTGACCTAGTAGTTGCTCTGGCAACATTTACTCTAGACTATATAAGGAAGAAGGTTGCAACTGGGTGTTTATTTAATAAAGGATTAAAGTTGGGGTTAGGTATCATGTTTGGTTGAGGGTTGAAATTAGGTATTCATTCAGTTTTGGAAAGTGGCCCATTGCAATTTTCCTCAGAGCATGTATCCTAGAACTCTTATCTCACCAGTAATGTAGAGAGTGTAAGGGGCTGATTGCAAGCCAACATTACAGAAGTAGCTGCCTTCATCGGTGGCCTGGACATTATTGATGACAAGACGCATGGTGTTAGATGAGACTTGATCAACATATATCCGATCAGAAACACCTGCAAAGAAAAATAAAAGAAACATATCAGCCATGAATATTAACCACTTGACTGCTATTGGCTTAAAACGCGTTCATACCCCTTGTGCTACTGTCCACTGTACACAAAAAAAGCCGGATTTTTTTTGGAAGAGCGCCATCTACTGTTCAAGACCTGTATAGCATCAATGCAGTGCTAATTACACAGTAGGGCTTGCACTTGTGCAAAAACAAAATGAAATCACACCTGTATTATAACCAAAGGAACAACAAGAGGATTAAAGATGGACCATACAAAAATGAAAGAGATTAATGGTATGCTGAATCAAACAAGTTCATGATTATTTTGTGTTTATTTTATTTAAAATCTGACTTACCGGGTTGCTGTGGTAAGACCTGCTGTCCATTAGGACCAGTCCAGACAGGATAGTTGAGGAGGTTTGAAGCTATAACCTCACACATGATAGATATATTCACACCATCATAGACGATGCCTTCGTAGTCAGGGGTAATGATGATCTCAAACACCGGGTCCACATTACCTACAAGAAAGCATTCAAGAATTTCATGATGGTACCTGAAGTTGTAAATAACCTTAACGGAATTTTAAAAAACATCACACATAAAACATTATTTCAACAGGCTGAAAGCAATACGATATATCACCTAATATAAAATTATACAGTCAAAGGAGAAAAAGTGTGTTTAATGTCTATTGAGTCTATGGCATACACAAAAATCTATGTTGAGTATTATCAATTTCCCTTAAAATGCGATTCACATTTACGATTTGCATTTCAAGAATCTTTTCCTCCCTAAATCTAATTTTAGAAGAAAAAAGGGTACATGGAAATATCCTGCTATCTGAACAAATTCCTAAAACTACATCTAATGAATTATTATTAGGCCTATACAAAAAGAGATGTTGTATTGCCCTTTGCGACCGAACTACAAATCTTGAAATCTACGTTGTTGTTTTTGTTAACATATTTTAGAGAAAAAATGCATTAATAACTGAGAAATATTAGCCCAAAGGAAAAAGAAAAAAATTTGACCAATAGACACATGTTTTGACACCTAAAGGGCATTACAGGATCTTTATTTTCGGCCTTATGATACTAAGGGAACCACTTACTTTCTGTTTCACATAATTCTCCAGTAAACTCAGGAGGACACAAGCAGTTGCCATCCAGACACTGCCCACCATTCAGGCACTCACCCGGACATCCAGCTGTGTAAGTAAAAATCATACAAAAAGAATTCTTCATAACAAATTGTGTTTCACACATGTGCTATTGAAGGAGGCCAACAACACCGAATGCAAGATCATAAACAGTGGTCAGATGAGACTTTAAATCTTCATCTGTAAACACAATTCGTCGCTGTTTTCACGAAGTGACGGTAGTGAAAAAAAATTGCATTCACTTTGCGTGACGATTTTCCTCACTACCGTCACTTCGTGAAAACAAGGACGAATTGCTGAGGTAAACATTATGTTAAATAATGTTCCTGATATCAAGAGGAGACCTTGAAGGGTCTCCTAAATATTATTACGGCCCTGTAAAGTAGCATAATAGAAATACAAGGACATGTAGTTGAAGAGCCAAGAAGGTTGAACTATGTTGCTGTGCAATTCAAGTCGTTTCTGTCACCTTCAAATTCGGTGCAAGTGTCACTCATTTATCTTCTTCCTGTAGGCCTACTTATTAAAGTTGAGAGAGAGAGAGAGAGAATATAAATGAGTGATCCAAATTGATTGATTTGATTTGATTTCATTTATTAATTTCTGTTTGCGTAATAGAGTTTGGGAGAAAACCCACTGAGTTACTGCGAGGTGGATGATTGGCGAGAAAGTAGACCAGAGGGGTGTTTCACAAAGATCCTAAGTCAACCTTAACTCTAAGTTGGACTTAAAAATTATGGAGACCCACTTTTTATAAATTCCACATAAAGAACATAAAATCTCTGTGATAATAGAAAATATGAATGATTTGAATCAACATTTTATGCCTTATAAAATAACTTTTAGAAAAAAAATTCATACATGCTAACGGCTTTCCATAATTCCAACTTAGAGATAAGCTCAACTTAGGATCTTTGTGAAAGAGAGCCTGGTTAAACGACAATAGGATGACAACAAGTCATATTAGAAGAAAATACAGTCAAACCTGTCTAAAGCGACCGCCCAAGGCAAGGGAAACACAAACAGTGGTCTTTATAGACAGGTTCCTTTACTACATGTTTCAACGAGAAACCATTTTCCAGGGTAACACAAAAATTGGTCTTTATAGACAGGTTCCTTTACTACATGTTTCAATGAGAAACCATTTTCAAAGGAAACAAAAAAGTGGTCTTTGCAGCCAGGTGGTCTTTGTAGACAGGTTCGACTGTAGTAACTTACAGCTTGATGGTGGGAGCCGTTGCTCAGGTCTTATACAGTCTGTGTTAGGCAAGCTAGCACAGAGCTCCAACATGTTCCTTGTCACTCCCATGCCGTAGACCGTCAACATTCGACTGACAAACGGCTGACAGTGGTTCTGAGCGATCTCACATACATCTGAGCACATGACATTGGCAGCATCGCATGGTTGGTAGAACAGGTAGCACAGGGCAAAGGTGGCGTTAGCCGAGCATTCTGGGAATTTGTAAATGAAATAATATAGAACATACTAGAAAATGCCACTGAAATTTAGGTAGCAAGTTAAATACTCTTAAATACAAAAAACCACCAATATTATTATTATTATGCAAGCTGGTTCTGCTATTTTTACTGTTTTCACAGTATTATAATTAAAGTATGATATGTCATATCGACAATTCCAACTACTTTAGAGTTCACATTTCATGATCTATGATGACAATATTTAATAGAGTTTTTGCTGATGCTTACAATGATGTGTGTAATATTCTAATTCATTAAAAAAAAAAGTAATAAAAGAAAAGTTATGTCTATTTTGTAAGCCCTTTCAATTGATGTACAAACTCATTATTTTGCTTAAGTAGCAATACATTTTGTTTGTAAATCGCTAACTTTCATATCTTGTTATCATGTCAGAATGTATGTACATGTATAATGTGATTTGTATGTTGGATTTCTTTGTAAACCTGTAAAAAGGATAAAAACAAACCACAATAAAATGAATATATCAAATCGAATCAAATATAATATAATACATTTTGGTTAACTGTGTTATCTTATCTTATCTTATCTTATCTTACTGTGCTATATTATCTTCAAAAATAAATGAATAAAATCAAATTAAGGTATTTTCCAAGTTTACTCAGAATTTAAAGTCACAACCTTGTAAATAAGGTATTTTACCTTCAAAAGGAAATTAATCTCTTCAAATCAATTCGTTTAGTGATGATTCCAAGTCACAATCTTACCATCATAATACAGAGTTAGTGAGGAGGTAATAAGATGTGCTATCTCTGCATCCCGGGCAAAGGCGTTAGGAAATGAGGCGTATCGATACGGCAGAATACCGCAGATATCAGACTGGATCAGAGTACAGGAGCTCAGATTGGGCGTCGGTGGGGGCGGGGATACTGTAGGTGGGGCTGTTGTGATGAGTAAGAGGGGCGTGGTGGCACCTGTCAGAGGTGCAATGGTTGACACTGTGGAAGTAAACATATTTTAAAATCAATGTAACAGGGTGTAAGTCATATTTACTTGCTATAAGTTTCTTCTTGTAGGGAATACGCAAATGTGTGTTGAAAATCATTTTCTTGTTTCAATAATGACATGTTTGCTTTTTATTCTAATATCGTTTCCTTTATGAACATATTTGCTATCCATTTGTGACTTGCACAAGGCAAAAACTTTTGATTTTGACCATGAAACTCATGTTTCAATTATTACATCTTCTTTAGAATTCTAAAGAAGAGATTTGGAGCAAACGTTGGATAACCTCATTTGAAAGTCATTATTTTTAAACGGTTCTTGAATGCTGACAATCTAATTTGTCGAATGTCAACAAGTGATCAAGATTCTTTCTTTTCTACCATGCCCAACGTGCACAAAGTTCCCATGAAAAAGTGATAATGCACGTCTAAGATGCACATATAAGGATCTCTGGCGTAAAATGAAAAATGAAAATCGCGATGATATGCCAAATAAAGTGTCAAATGGGAAGGACAATGATGGGCGCACTGTGACGTGCTTTATATTGCTTTGGTGAACTTATGTGATGTCATTCAATAATGGAGCCTCTGTAACTGCGCGACACTGCTTTATTGAATGACATTACATAAGTTCACCAAAGCAATATAATGTGCATCTCAGACTGGATTTGTTGCTTATTTCATAGCTTTATATTCATACTAGCCAAACCCATTTTATAAACAAAAAAAAATCATATTTTGAAGCTTGTGCTCTAATTAAATACACTGCACTCGGTTAAGTTACAGTGAGTTGAATAATTAACTTTGAAACGCCTCACTCACTTTCCAATTGTGACTTAATATGGATGCAGTGCATATTCAACTTAGGCCTAAAACAAAAAATGTTGTATCGCCCTTTAGGTGCCAAAACATAGGTCGGTCGGTCAGAAATCTTTTTTACATTTTTTTTTCTTCTCCCTTTGTTGGCTGATATTTCTCAGTTTTGAAAGCTTTAATACATATTTTTTCATTGACTAAACTTTTTTTCTTCTAAAAACCAATAAAAAAAAAAAAATGTAAAAGCCGACCGTAGAATTCAATTGAGTCGGTCGCAAAGGGCAATACAACGTCTTTTTTTAAACGCCTTATGCACTTGCAAACATGAATTATTTGAACACCATACCGTACTAACCTCCATTTGTGATGTTAAGGGTGATATTGACTTGGTTGAAGATTCCTCCGAACCCACAAGTATAGATTCCTTGGGAGCTTGGCTCCATGTCCAGGATAGTAAGCCTCACACCTTGGTTGAAGAGTTCCTCCACAAACACAGAGTAACCTGACCCTAGGTCACCACGTACTTCAAAGACAAGAAGAAGAAAAAATCTTAATAATTATACATTTATAGAGCGCAGAAACTATCCAACATTAAGTACATGTATATATTCTACTGCGTTACAAGAGATCCTAATATGCTTAAATTTACAGTTAATTGAAAAGATGGGCTTTAAATTCCGATTTAATGATATTTAAGAAGCAACAGAAGGGCATTTACTCAAGTTGCTTTAATAGAAAAATGTAGTAGGATTAAAAGAAGTGAAATGCGTAATTGTTGAATATAATAACTTTACCACATACAGTTAGAACCACATCATTAGGATCAGAAGCTGGCAAATAAGTCATGTACTATCTCAACTAGGCTTAATATTACCTAAGTTTTCATTCATTTATGTCAATAAAGAACTTGTAATTCAACACAAATCACTTACTGTCAAGTCTTTTGCGTTTTGAACGTGTCTTTTCGTGCCACTACACTTTGCTAAGAACAGTGGAATAATATATGTTAACAACTAGAAATGACTTTGGACTTGATGAACTTCCTCAAAAGTCTTTGCACTGTCTTTGCAACGATTTTATGACAGATAGCTGTTACTTCTGCCTGCACACCGTAACCCTAAGGCTTAAACAAGATTTATTTTGTATAACATGGCATATGGATCGGTTTATTCTCAAAGATCCTTTAGGACATACCTGCTGACACCACAGGTACGACGGTCCCATCAGGACCATACCAGATAGGTGAAGCTGATGGATTGGCATCATAGATACAGGTGAATGAGACTGTAGTGTCCCTCTCAATGACTGTCTGACCAGGAATGATGATTACTGTGTGTGAAAGATGGTGATAAAATATCCACAATAATATTCTTGTCTCGTATAAAGTCATAGAAGGTCGTCTACATGGAAAGAAGAGGAGGGGAAGACGTCGTAAAAGCTTTCTAGATTATTTAATTGCAGAATGTGGAGCAACAGGGTACGGAATGCTGAAACACATGGCTCAAGACCGAGATACTTGGAGAGACACTTGATGTAGAATTCTGTTTGGGTCACTGAACCTGTCATACTGACTGATCACTATTGATGATGATAAAGTGTACTACATTTCTACACCATCCACCAGGCTTCAGAAATTATATCCCTGGCTCTGGCCCTGGCACTTGAGTTTGAGTTTATTGGTTTCACATTTTACATGCAGATACAATACAGATAACAAAATATATATAAAAGACATGTTTCATGATTTTAAAAAAATGATTATAGTAATTGACAAATTAATCAGACAACAAAGTTAAATATCATCAAACTTGTTTTCAGGACAAAGAGCATTTCAAGGCATCAGATACCTATACGTTACACCTTGGTCAAGAGTGGCAAATGGAGGTATATGTTATTGCCAGAGGACTTTAGTACCATTGCCGGAAGCTTATCTACTATACAAAAACACAACTACACATTATATTTAATGTAATTTATGCATGTATAACATAAGCATGAAACGCATCTGCAGATGATCCCATAGACCCCAAACTTAGATCTAAGAACAGACAGTAAACTACAATTGAACAAACACTGCTCAAATCAGCACCACACTACTGTGATGCTCTTATATAAAAATTAAAATTTATAATAATGGAAGCCGTTTATATAAGACAAGCATTATATTTAAAGACATCACTATCACATAGATGACAACTCAATGTAAGCAATGTTCCTACTCACATGATACTTCACAAGAAGGTCCGCCAAAGCCTTGAGCGCATTCACAGATCCTGTTCACACAAGTACCTCCATTGCTGCAGGGCGTGAAGCATGCTGAAAACAAACAATATATGAGTACATAAATATGTTTGCCAATATCTCATGCCAAGCAGGAGGGCCTTAAAGCCTATCTGCACTAATTTGGCCAGTAGGAATTAGACCTCCTTGCCTGGTCACTGACAGGTGGTTATCTCATATCAGCTCTCAATTAACATAAGAAAAGGGGACCAACGAGTACCGCTTAGGCATTGTTTGCTATATAGAGGGAGCAAGTAGCTACAAGTAGAGCAGTCTCGCTTTAACACAATATTTTTGGTCAAATTTCCAAACTTTTCATTTTTTAAATGATGTTAGACCTGATATGGGTTGCATAGATGTATCAAAAAACCAGAAAATACTTTGGAATGAGTTTTTCTTAGTTGTACATCCATTGTCCTCACACCCATTCATGCCCTCCAGCTGGGCTCAAAACTATGTGTGTTATTAATGATATATATGTTTCATACAATATTTCAAACCCAATGTGAAGACACAAAACAGATTATCGACTTGATCAACTCTACTGGTACAAAATTATCTTTAATGGCTAGCATACTACACTTGCAAACTAACAAGTTGACCAAATGCCTAGAGGTGGTTCCTGTATTAGGTCTAAGGGAATTAGATAATTAAGTAGTCAACAGGTTAAATTGACCATAACTGCAAGGAAGGACACGCAAATCATTTGATACTCCAGATTTGAGAACTATGCTATTCCCTGCACTATGAAACAAAAAGTGGAAGACATATTCTAACTAAAAACATATTGTGATAGCTATGCGTGTGAATTATCAAGCAAAAATCAATGGAAAAGGGGTGAGTTGTGACGACTTACTTTCAAATTCACACCTTATTCCTTCAAATCCTTGCTGACATACGCAACGTCCCTGGTAGCAAACGCCTTCATTTAGGCAGGATGGGAAACAGACTGTTAAAGACAAACAAAACATATATATTATGTAATTCCTATAATGAAAATTATACATTGATCTAAAACACATTCCAAAGATGAAATATTCTTCATGATAATGAGATATCAAGTGCTGTTTTTCCTAAAAATGCACTTTCTTAATGCAACGTATCTGCTTGAGTGTTTGCTCTTTGTCATAATTATGTGTCTGCTTCACATTAAAAATCTCTCCTTTTGAAAAATGTAAGTGTCAGATTTCATTATTCATCAAGACTAACCATATCTCTCTTTTGATGTATCATTAAAGCATTTACATTTGTATCTCAATCTGTTCCGATGATATCAAGGGATAGGACTAGGAAGGGGCGAACTAAAGGTGTTCCAATGTCTACTCATCCCAATATCCACACAAAGTTGTCAACCCACATACAAACCCATTTCCACATAAAGTCCCTGCCTAGTTCAGCTCCTGTTCTGAGGCAAATCAAGACATGATGTGGGTCCCGTTGCATAAAAATTAACACTAATGGTAACTTTGCCATCAATACTAACTACCATGGCAACATCACTCCACAGCCAATCAATTCAAGGTTCCCATGGAAGTTACCTTTAATGGCAAAGTTACCTTCGATGCTAAGTTTTAAGCAACAGGGCCAAGATGGGCCATACTTCCTGCTAATACACATACCTGGTATCTCACAAGCAAAACCAACATAGCCATCAGGGCAGACACAGAGTCCATTCACACAGCTTCCTCCATTCAAACAGTCCTGTAGGCAGCTCATCTCCGGCTCTGCGTGGTGAACACAATATATGTACTGTATTACATCCCATACATACAGAGGGATAACATTTTAAAGGTGACCAATTGTGCAATGGTCCTAGATTCAAAGCCAAGAAAAGGAGAAAATTCTTGATGCATTCTTTTTTTTAATTATGATCAACTGCTATTTTCTCTGTGAATAAAAATAACCAGGTTATCTGAATGAATGAGTAAAAAGAACATTTTACAAGACATACTGCCCATGTAAATACCAGAGAGATGAATCTTTCTAAGTCATATATTTGCCACTGCTACTAATCATTCCAAGCATTATTCTTAATCATATTCTTAATTGTGAATATATGTACATTGTTTATGGTTCCTGAGAACTTGGTCCATGTTATACAGTAGGCTTGCGGGTGCACAATGTGAGAGAGAGAGAGAGGGGATTGAGGAGTCCTGAAAAGAACTCTCGGTAATTTTTCTTGGGGGTGTGTAGTCCTGTGTGTTGGTCCATGTTAATGAAATGACCTATAATTTATATGAATAATGAAGTAATCAAATCAAATATAATTACAATTGACATATTGAATGTGAATAGTGCTTACCTCCCATCTCACAGTAGTCACCATGATAACCTTCAGGGCATACGCACTGACCTAGGACACAGGTACCACCACTAGCACAAGGTATCAGGCATTCTGAGGGGTAGAACAATTACAAGGTTTGAGTTTAACATTTATCTTCCTTGTTATCATACCTTTTATAGTTCCTGCACAAAATGTTTTCTGGCAAGAATTTCAATTTCTTATCAAAAACTCCTTATCAGTGTGCACATTGAATGAATTCTATTACAAGCACCTCAATGAACTCCTGCGAATATTTTGTTCTTCTAAGTTTTGCGTTTCAATACATAGGATGAATGAAACAGGTAGTACAGCCCGTTTCTGTGCAATTCAAGTTCAAGTTTAAGTTTCAAGTTCAAGTTTCAAGTTAAAGTTTGAAGTTCAAGTTTACCCTGTTACACATTTCACAAAATAGAATTCACATAATTGACAAAATTAGAACATAATATGAAACTATATAATCAATTCTTTGTAAAGACGTCAACATTAATTGTATTGAATAGTAGGTTATACAGGTTAAATGTGAGGAACCTGTTAAAAAGCTCAGCTTGTAGACTATAGGTTCCACTAAATGAAACTAAAATTTAATTGAAGTGGTTGCAATGGTAAATGACGTAACAATAATAATAGGTGGACAAGAAGGCCTTAGCATAAGATTATATACAAAGTGAAACAAGCAAAAATTAAACTAATTTGTTACCAAAGAAATGTCACATTAGTCACTTTAAAATTTTAATGTACTTACGACTGAATCTACCGATTGGCACCTCACACCTCTCTCCTCTGAAGCTCTCAGGACACAAGCACTTTCCGTTGAAGCATGTCCCTCCATTCAGGCACTCTGGCCAACACTCAAGAGCTGAGGAGAAACAAATAAAATAATTGTTTTCTCCAACAAGAAGATATTTACCATCTTGTTAGATTAGAATGGAAGGTTCTATTGAAGCATGTCCCACTGTTCAAACACTCTGGCAAATAATCAAGTGCTGTGTTGATAAAAAAAAATAAGTTTCCTTTGAAAGAAATGTTACATGTATACATTGCATATTTCATATATGCATAGCCGAGCTTGATCTCAAGTTTTCATAACCAAGCATGATCCCCAAAAACCCTACAACAAAAGTGACATTTAAAAAAAAAATACATGTTACAGATTTGTTTTCTAGTTCATGTATTATTCATATAGTTAGCAGATATCTTGTTTGATGCTGGTAATCTCTTAATATGAGACTTGAGTCTGGAGTCCATGGCAAGAAGACGGTTGGACAAAGAAAAATGTCAGTTTATCATCATAGCATTGTTACAAAAGCCTGGTTAAAAAAGTGGCATTGTGTATAAATCTCAAAGTCATTGACCAGTAAAGATTCAGTTTTGAAGTTTGAGAGACCATCATTACGTGTATCAGGAAAGAAAATAGAGTCACTGTTTTGCTCTGATTTTTGAACATATTGAAAACTGATGCCAAAGCTACATCAATGTAGAACAATCAATTCAATTCAATCGTGTTCAATTGTCAAGAGAAAGGAAAAGAGAGCTGATGCGAGGTAGAAAACGGAGAAGTAGGGGAGGTTGTAAAAAGAACGAGAGAATATCATGAAATGATAAAGGTATTAAACAAGAAGATTATGAATTCCCACTATCAAGTTAGTTAACACCTTCGTATATTGACATTAAATATCAAAAGACATTGAAGGAAAAGATAACATAATAAAGAAAGAACCGGGAAAGTAGAAAAGTGAGTGATCACATTTTGCTAGCAATCGGAACTGTGTACGAGTTATCATGCCTTGACTTACTGAGAAGTATGGAAGCAACCTGTCCCCCTACACTGCAGTTGTAATTGCCTGAGAGTCCCGGCTGGAAGTTAACCACTGTAAGTCTGGAAGCAGTGCGTGAGAGTACCTCGACCGCTGGGCCTCGCTGAGCCATTGATCCTACATTTACTGGATAGAATACAAACAAGAGATTATGAGAAAACAGTGGGCCTTTTGACTGAATAAGAACCTGAACAAAAATCTCTCCAACTCCACTCAGCGGACACCAATGTTATATCTAGTAGATCAGGAGATGCCTTTCAAACAACCAATTATCAAATCACTGTCACAACCATCAACATGACCACCACAATCACTTACCATTATCGTCATCATCATCATCAGCACCATCGACACCGTCCTAGCCGCACCCACTTACCAACTTGTCTGTTGAAGACGGTTTGTCCCCCTGGTAGGACCCACGTTATCTCTGGAAGACCAGCCGATGGAGACCACCCGACCACTTCACATATCACCGTCACCATCCCTCCAACGGTAGGTGACTGGTCTGAGGGAATTGTCAGTCTGACGTAGTATTCCTCACCCACTAGTGTGATAAAAAAAGATACATGCACAAGCAGTCAAAGTTAATCGGTGGTATTCTCGAAAGCGGAATAACTTTAGTCCATGGTTTAATCCATCGACTTAGTATGGAATGCCAAGTGTCCATATGAATATATTTTGAATAATTTGATTTGTCACTAAATTACCATAACATAATTATATCATAGTTATATTGTTTTTTATTAATTATGTTATTATATTTTATTTTAATTTAGTGTCAGATTAAATTATTCAAAAACATATTCATATGGATACTTTGCATTCCTTACTTAGTCGGTGGATTAAACCATGGACTAAAGTTAGTCTGCTTTTGAAAATACCACCCAAAGTGAGTTGGTTGTTACTATTCAGGTACAGATAAAAAAACTAGATGGAACTTTGACTGCACATAGTCGAAAGTGATGCCTTCATCATAGAGCAATTTAACAAACCAAAATGGAACAAACTTTTCAAATTCAAGTTGGGTTGTAATTCACTAACAGGGTCTCAGAATATCGTGATTACAAGCTATTTCTCATCTTCATGTATGACCCTTTGATCTTTGACCTCATGAACCCAAATGCAATATACATACATGTCTTGAGTTTGAAGGTAATCCATCCATCGGTTCTAATGATAATGCAATCACAAGCAATTTTTGCAAACATAATGAGCCAATGACCTTTGACCTTGACCTCATGACCCCAAAATCTAATCAGTTCATTGCCTCAGCAAGATACATACATGTCTTGAGTTTGATGGTAATCCATCCATCGGTTCTACTGATAATGCAATCACAAGCTATTTTTGCATACATAATGAGCCCTGTGACCTTTGACCTCGTGACCCCAAAACCCAATCAATTCATTGGCTCTGCAAGTTACATACATGACCAAAGTTTAGTAGGAATCCATCAGTCGGTTCTTGTGATAACGAGATCACGAGAACGGGACGTACGTATGGACGGACAACCCAAAAACATAATGCCTCCGGCTACTTCGTAACGGAGGCATAAAAAAAATATTAATTTACGGTCTTGGCTTAACACTCCTTGGAATTACTTTGAAAAATAAACATACATGTCAGACTCTATACGTATTACAAGTAAATCTTCTCTAACTTCTCTGATAAATTTACATTAGTTATGAAATCTGTGCTTTTGTCATTCAGACTATGTTGATAATACAAATATGTACTGTCAAGCCATTGCTTCAATCCAATGATATATTCATCAGAAGTGTTTATACAACACAGCTAAATTTGATACAAAATCGATTGTTGGTTGAGAAACCCATCCCCCTTTCTCTTCTCTTGATGGGTTTCACAGGTTTTACAGAAAATCTTGTTTAAAATGTGTGCCCCCACACTTGCCAAGGTAGTCTATGAGGCTGTTCACACTGCAATGAGATAGCGCGGCCTATCGTAGCACCCCCTTTTTTCTAGCACGCGCTAGACCGCGCTATCTCTCGTGGACCACCCTCATGAGGTGCTTCAGTGGCACGCCATTTTGGCTCGCCGTGGCTCGCTGTTGGGCGGACCGAAACGAAGTTGTACCTTCCAAACCGCAGAGATAGCGCGGTCTAGCGCATGCTATCTCTGCCGGTGTGAACAGCCTCTGAGTTCCACTTCTGATACAAATAAGAACAAGGTAGAAGCAAAAAACTATATGCTGCAAAACCAGAACTCTTACAATCTAAAACTCTCACCTAATGTCTAATGAAGATGGTAATTTGTTATGGAAAAAACTTGGGCAAACCTCAAAAATTCACTGGTGTAATTCATTGCGCTTGTAGCATGAAATTCTCATGGGTCATTATAACTCTAACGTCTTTTTATGATACTTTTGAGAAATAAGATTACATATTCAACTAATTCTCACCTGCTATTTGGCACATGGTTCCGACAAAGCCGTATTGGCAGATGCATTTGAAGTTTATACAGAACCCACCATTGGCGCAGGCTGGGCAACGATCCACTGATGGAAACAATTCAAAATATTTTGGGTGATTGGTACACTTTAGGGAAAAGAGTGATTACATGTTATGTACTTAATTGTCTTTACCATGATTGTTTAATGAAAATAAAGGGGGGTTGAATTAAACATCCTCATGGCTACATATTTGGTACAGGTGATGTCAAAAAGCTCCCTCTAGATATATTTACATATCAAGTGACCATATTGAGAATTTGGTAGTCAGACAAGTGATCCTTAAACTCCTTGATACCCTGTTCTGTACCAGAGCATAGAGCACAGATTTATATTTATATGTTATATATCACAAGACAAATTCACAAATTATCCTTTATAAACATGTATGAATTAGTAACAATATCATGACATAATTATTGTGTCATACACTAAATGCACAAATAACCAAGTACCGTTACATCAGTAATTTATAGTCATCTCACGCATGCAAAACATATGCCATATCATCATTATTTAGTGGTGGTGATCATGTGTCTGATAGAGTTATGAACAGGGCCATCTTATAAAGAGTTGCAATTGATCTAAACCAATCAAAGTCCTCTCATTAATCACAAGTATGAACTCACCTATCTCTTATGTACATAGATGCAATTGATAACTGTTTATAAGACAGGGCCCAGTTCTCACTTACTTTCTATTTCACAGCGCGGCCCTTCAAATCCCATGCGACACATGCACATGTCGTTGAAGCAAGATCCTCCATTCAGACAAGGTTCTTGGCACTGAGGAACTGAACAGGTACGGAACAGGTGCATGTACATGCCAATAGACATTGAGTGGTGAATACAGCATATGTGAGTTGCAGGTGAGGTATAGGTATGTTTATATATAAGTACATGTAGTCTTAGGACAGTGCAAAAACAATGAATATCATATAGAAATGAATTAAACAGTGTTTCTTATGAAGGAAACCTTAATATTCCCATCAATTAGTACCACCCAAACAAATTATGACCCGATAGAGTCGCATCCTTGTAAAAATATACATGCATAATAATAATTGTAATTAATAATTGTAAATTTATAATGCGCAGTTTCTATATGTATATACTCAACTGCGCATGACATAATGATAGTAAAAGGAACAATACAAATAAACATTTAAAAGTTAAAATCGATGCTAAGGGGGAACCTGTGTATGCTTTACAATGAAAATGTCTATGTAAAACTTTCCTGAAACAGATAGGTTTTCAGGTTATTTTTAAACACATTGATTGATGATGCATGTCTAATTGTGGCAGGGAGACTATTCCAGAGTTTGGGTGCAGCGCTAACAAAGGCGCGGTCACCTAGAGTAACCTTTGTTTTACAAGGTGGAAGACTCAGGAGCATGGTATCATGGGAACTACGGAGCCTGTAGGACTGGGTGGGTGATTTTAACGTCAGGAGTTCACTGAGATAAATGGGGGCCAAGCCATGGAGTGCCTTATAAGTAAGGAGGAGTATTTTGAATTTGATTCTCTGGCGAACTAGAAGCCAGTGCAGATCATGAAGTAGTGGGGTTACATGAGAGAATTTGGGGGAATTGCAGATGAGTTTGGCACATGCATTTTGTACACGTTGTAATTTACATATCTGAGATTCTGGTAAGCCAAACAGTAGTCTATTACAGTAGTCCAATTTGCTTGTTATAAAGGCATGGACTAATGTAATGATACATGTGCGAGTTAGGTATTATAGACATACACATCAAAGAATGCACATCAGTGAGTGGCAACATCCATATTTTGATGTTTTTTTTAATGTGAACACGATTGGTATATTACATATTACTGTTTATTATTAAAAAGTAAACTAAATTACATGTGCAAGAAATTCTAGTGGCACTACTGCACAAATCACATGAGGAGAGGAGACTAGATGTAAATTCATGGAAGGATTAAAGAAGAAACAGATGCTAATGGGTACTTAAGAAAGTAAATTTGACTTAAAGATTAAAACTTACCATAGACCACTAGAGTCATGGCAACACGTATTGTTAGTCCAGCTGCACATACATAGCGCCCTCTATCGTTTGCGTTGAGATCTCTGACAATGAGGTAGGAGGCATTCTGAGCGATGGGCTCATAGTAGATTCGACTGCCAGGAGCTGTGGGTACGAAATTGAATGAGGGGTTGAGAATATTGCATGAAACTTTGACATTAATAAATATATATGCATGTGGTATGGTTGTTTTTACTTTTGAATTTTAATCAAAATTCCTAGATCTGATACCATAACAATAATATAATAACAATAATAATGTGTTTATACAGTGCATTTTCCAAAGAAATTTTTAAATGCGCTATACAATTATGTTGTTAACAGACGAGGTGCATATGCAATCCTACAATATTCAGTGATCGTTGTCATGGTTGAAAACGAGTCTAAATTTAGCAATTGTAAATAATATACTCTTTATGTTGTACAGCTCCCTCTCAAGGTCAAGATAATAATTAAGTTATAAAACAATGTTTCTTGACTACCGGTAAAATCGACTGATTAGCTATAGCTATTTCCGTTTGAAAATTATATATCACAACTATATATATTTTGAAATGTTCATGGTCGTAGCTACCATTGTTCAGCCATAGGCGCTATTTGATATTTATCAGAATTTACCGGGAGCACCGGTAAATGTTTATATTCAATTTTTCTCAAAAGCAGAAGTGCTTATAATACATCCACAAGGGCATCCAATTATATCAAAATTGTAAAGATTAACTATCGACCCAATTTTCAAAATTTCCCAAAACTTGGTATTACCTTTAAGATAGTTAGGAAGGAGCCAGACCATGGAAGCATTTGAAGGTGAGAAGAAATATTTTGCCCAAATACCATTACTGTTTTGATTACCAATCCCTCAAATGTTACAATACAATTACCATTTCCATTACAATCATCATAAATGTATATATATAGCTGATAGAATATAATCTAATCTTCTGTCTTGATTGGGGCATAACTAATTACTGTTTCAATTAACTTGTATTGAAGAATACATTACCTTCTGTCTTGCTGAATATAGGTGCATCAGTCTGGTCATACCACTGTGGGTTCTCCAAGGTGCTAGTGTAGTTGGTCTCACAGATGAAGCCCACCGTCTTCCCCACCATGTGGTCGTTGTTAGGGTTCGGGTAGATGTGGATGTTGAATCCCTCAAGGCCTGATGTAGGAAGTTGGAAAAAGAAATTGGATAGATATAAGCAATAAGAGGAGGGGAGCATTACCACAAGTTAGAAGAAAAAAGAATATTGGATGTTGTAATATGATTTGTATATTAATAACAGGGATAAAAAGAGACAAATTTTAATTTGACGTGTAGATTAATAACAGGGATAGAAAGTGACAAAATTACAAAATATATTTTTTAAAAAAAGGTAGACTTCCAGAGAATATCAAGAACAGGACACACATATTGGAACAAAATCGTAATCAAACGGTACAAAACAGAATGAGAATACATAAATTAAAAAAAGAAATATAAAAAAAATGGGCAATATATTCTCTTTAAAAATATTTTCTAAATGAGAAAATAAAAATTGTTTATGTACGTAACTCAGTCATATTAAGTAAAACATGCAGTCATGAAAATTATAATGAAAGAAATTACATATTAATTTTGCATCCAAAACAACCATCCCTAAACAATACCTGGTAAAAAAAAATATGTGGTTGTAATATGAAGCAATAGTACTAGAACAAGCACCAAGTAAAACGATGTGAAATAACATTTTTTGACAAAAGATATGTAAACCTCACTTCTGTTAATGGATATTTAACCTGCAAACACATTTAACTCATTGCCTACGGGAACAGGGTGGTCCCTGTGTTAAGCCTATGGGAATTAGAGAATCAAGAAGTCAACGAGTTAATGTTAGAACATCTGTCCCATCTCTATACTCACTTGCAGTATGCTGGCAGAACTGTCCAGTAGAGCCTTCCTCACACTCACAGACACCGTTGATGCAAAGACCTCCATTGAAACACGGTGGATCACAAGGAGCTGATGGAAAGTAACCAAACAAATCATTAAAAATCTACAGAACATTGACAATTCTACGTTATATTGACCTGTTACTTATAATTGTATTTCATTAGTCAAATGCAAATTGCATGCATTATGTTGCTAGATAGGACAAATATTGTGGCTTGTCCTACCTATTGACATGTCATTGTGCAATTCGCGATCTATTGAAAAACATTTATTTGTAAATCGTTGAAATGAAATCATTTGTAACATGACCAGGCACATAGCCACGGGGGGGATTTCCAAGATCGGTTGAACTTTTTAAGACCCCTTTTTTTTTTTTACCTCGATCGATTACATGTATGTGCCCCCCGCCCCCGCCCCCCCCCCCCCCTCCCAAACACTGAACTCTGGCTACGTGCCTGAACATGACACTAACAAAAGATAGGAGAAAAGCAAGACTTACTGATGGCAACGATGCTACAGAAAGGTCCAGAGTAAGATGCATGGCATATACAGGTTCCATTCACACATGTACCTCCATTCTGACAAGGTCTCTGTTCACACCCAGCCACTGCAAATACAACATTGTAATCATGTTACTTTTTTCATCTCAGCGCACAACTTAAGAAGTGTTATAATCTAAATGAAAACTGTAAATTCTTAAAAGAGCTGCGGCATACATGTAGTTGGGTATTCAATTTATTTCTTTTCTTTTCCTAGAATTGATGTAAGAACACAATGACTTTCTTCTCTGCCTTCAAAAAGGTTTGATACACTCCCAAAATTGTGAAGAAATAAATTCTCCATTTAGTTTAAAATGACTCCAGCAGAGAGAATAGCATACAAGGGAAGAAAGAAGAGAAGAGAACTGGAAATGAAAGATAAATATGCGGCAATAATAGGACAAAAAGTACAGTCCTGTACTATATTCTAGATACATAGGATTCTTTTTTAAAGATTCATTTAAATATATTTTACATGTAAAATACAGATAACTACAGATTTGCAAAGCGTTGTGATTCATTCCAGCTGAATAATAAAAATGTAATCCATTAAACGTCCGATGACAGTGAAAAGAGAGCACCTTATTATTGGTTTTCAGATACAGCTTAGGGAAAAACGCAAAATAACCATTGAATATATTGGTAGACTTACGTCTGATATTGCAATACTGTCCAAGATACCCATAGGGGCATTCACATAACCCATCCAGGCAGACTCCTCCATTTTGACAAAGGGGCCAACACTCTAAGAAAATGTGAGGGAAGCATGGGAAGCGATAATAACATTATACTGTGGTATTCTTACATGCAAATTGGGCAATGACAAAAAAGTAAAACAATAAATACACAATGTACATGTTGACAATTGTTTCCCATGTGCTTTGTAAAATGAGCTGACACAGTAAAGCAATATTATCAATTTCATCGAAATATGACTAATGTATTGTATAGAATTCAATGTTTCAATACCAGAATTCGCAATGGAGTGAAATTAATGTTGTTTTAACCAATTCCATACTGGAACCTGGTGGCTCCAGTATTAAGCCTACGGAAATTAAACAATTCAGTAGTCAACGAGTTAATATGCAATAACCCACCTCTGCTTTCACACTGAAGTCCAGAGTAGTGCAGTGGACAAACACAGTTGCCTTGGAAACAGGTTCCTCCATTCAAGCAAGGGGGGTTGCAAGCTAATTGTGAACGAAGGGAAATAACAAATATAATAATTACAGTGCTTATATAGCGCCAAACACTTACTTTGTCAGAAGTCTCTAAGCGCTCTACAATAATGCAGCATAATTACCCTGGCTTTAGCAGTGCAGCTGTTACAGTGTTACAGTGAACAACATATTTAAAATGGAACAGTAACAGAAAGCAGAGCAACAATATATTTGCAACTGTTCTTTTCCTTTAAAGGGATGATTGCACAGATATAACCGATTAGTTCTCTAAACATTAAAAACACATATAACCTTTGACCTCACATTCTATCTGATATGCATCACCTTCATAAATTGAAGGAAAAACACATGCTCAAAAGTTACAGGTTAAAGTTTTATGGAGATAGCAAGCACTTGTAAGTTTTACACCACACTCACATTCAAATTATCATGCTACTCCTTTATAACCAGTGGGACTTACAGATGCTCCACATTTACAGATTCAGATGTTAGAAAACATTTTACAACTAGATGGAATTTTGACTGCGCGCAGTCGAAAATGATGCCTCCGCCATAGAGCAATTTAAACAAGTTTGGAGTTTAAATCTCCAGTGGTTCTTGAGATATCATGATAACAATCTCAATGTATGGAATTTCATAAGTTGACCTCTGTGACCCTTGACCTTTGACCTACGTGCTCCAAAATCTAATCAGATTGTCTTCCTATGGTGATACACACTATCATTAAGTGTGAAGTTTAAATCTCCAGTGGTTCTTGAGATATTATGATATGGTGATACATACTATCATTAAGTTTCAAGTGAAAATTCTCCAGTGGTTCTTGAGATATCGCGATAACGATCTCAATGTATGGAATTTCATAAGTTGACCTCTGTGACCCTTGACCTTTGACCTATATGCTCCAAAATCTAATCAGATTGTCTTCCTATGGTGATACACACTATCATCAAGTTTGAAGTTTAAATCTCCAGTGGTTCTTGAGATATTATGATAACAATCTCAATGTATGGAATTTCATAAGTTGACCTCTGTGACCCTTGACCTTTGACCTACGTGCTCCAAAATGTAATCAGATTGTTTTCCTATAGTGATACACACTATCACTAAGTTTGAAGTTTAAATCTCCAGTGGTTCTTGAGATATCATGATAACAATCTCAATGTATGGAATTTCATAAGTTGACCTCTGTGACCCTTGACCTTTGACATACGTGCTCCAAAATCTAATCAGATCGTCTTCCTATGGTGATACATACTATCCTTAAGTTTGAAGTTTATATCTCAAATGGTTCTTGAGATATCGCGCTAACAAACTCAATACAAGGAATTTCATAAGTTGACCTCTGTGACCTGTGACCTTTGACCTACGTACTCCAAAATCTAATCAGATCGTCTTCCTATGGTGATAAATACTATTCCCGAGTCTTAAGTTTAAATCTTAAATGGTTCTTGAGATATTGTGATAACGGTCAAACGGGACGGACGTACGGACGGACAACCCGAAAACATGATGCCTCCGGCACCACCTTCGGTGGCGGAGGCATAAAAATACCAAAATTACAGATTTAGGAGTTGGAAACTTAACACTGTTATTAATTAAGTAAAACTTACAATAATCGATGACAGTTTTCCTCTCATGTTCTAATTCACATGTGGGTCCTCCAAATAACCATTGGTACATACGCATGTTCCAAAGTTACATATTCAGATGTTGAAAACTTTTTACTAAATTAGCAATGTTAGGTTTACACTCACTTTCTAATTCACATGCCACTCCCTCATAACCAGTGGGACATACACATGCTCCAAAGTTACATGTTCCTCCATTAAGGCAGGGTCGGATGCAATCTGCAATACAAACACATTCAAAGGTGAAAGGTCAAAGTTCATTTACATACATGAACAATGTTACATAACATTATTAAACAATGGTGACATTTGCAGATACAATGCAACAGTAGGTACATGTACAAATAAAAATGCCACTCCAAACACAGGATAATGAGAGAACATAGGGAATGGCTAAAAGGATAGTAATCTGTATATTTATGCAAGAGCCTATCCGAACAGTAATGAAGCTTTAATAGATTTTAAATATTTCATGTAAACTTGCATGATCACAAATCACTGTATCAGTATTAATAACAAGTTTACAAAAGAAGTACACTACAATTTAAATTATCATTGTCACCTACCTGGTCCACACAAAAAGTGTAGAAATTTGCCCAAAATATACACACTGTTGTTGAATTCCATTTTATATTCCTGATATAATTTGAACATTAATGAAATGATATTTCTTTCATATAGTTTTCTCAATCACAAATCTACAAAAGAGATTTTCAAATAAATCATGATTTACAGGGGGAAACTTTTTCATGTCTTCGTGTTCAAAGTATTGTATTCAGTTCACACACTGTTAACCTATATTTTAGGTCTTATATTTAACCATTCTTATGTAGTGCCATTAATGTCATGGGATAATGGAAAGAGTGGAAATATCTTGGAAAGTCAAATCCTGTACTGCTCTCTCGACTGATAAGCATCCCAGGTCTATGAATCTTTAATAATTGCAGTAAATTTCCAACAACTTGTTATTCATTATTTAGACTAACGTTTTTAAACTTTTTGTTGTAAAGAAGGGATATGTTCAAGGTTAAAATTACAAATATGTGGTAAGAGTTCGTGTGAATGTACTTGTGAATTAGTCAGGATTCTGAATACAATACATCAAATGAATTAGGCGAGGCGTCAAAAATATCGATACCAGCAGGCTGCCGCCTCATGTATTGGCGCATCGAGGCTGCAATTACGGCCGAAGCCTGGCTGGGGCAATTATTTTTCACTTATTAGCCCAGCCGGCTTGCGCCAGGCTGGGATCTGAGGCTCGGTTTCCATTCGAAAGGCGGCAGCCGGCGCATGCTTTTGAATGCCATTTCCTACCGCCAGTGGTAGCCGGCTGAGCTAATTTAAAAAATGCAGCCAAGACGCACAAGTGCAGTTAGCTGCCGCTGGCTGGTATATTTATTTTTGACGCCTCGCCTTAGTTATTATAAACTAACAGAAGGGAATAATGAAAAGAAGTTAAATAAATACAGATAAATCAAAAAGACCATTATAAAGGTAAATACAAGTTTGATTTGGAACACCTTTGGCGTATCAAGTAAACTTACAATTCACACAAATGCTTTGCTTAGTGGAATCACCCATGATTAAACCTCAAGTTAATTTGTGATAATATAAATTAGATTAATCTAGGAGTAATTGTTTTTGTACTCTCCTTTCTTTTTTATTTTTCTCTTTTTCTCTCTCTCCCTCTCTATCTCTCTCTTTTTGTTATCACTATTTTAAATCAACTATGAAGGTGATAATAGATATCAACAACTGAAATGTAATGATTAACATAAATAGTTGACAACTAAAGCATGTCAGGAATTTTTTGAAAGATAAAAGACAAGGACAAACAAATTATATCTATGTAATACATAACAACCGGAAAAAATAATGTTTAAATTCAGTTTCAATAACCATATTTTATTGTGTACATATAACATAGGATGTCTGGGATTAAAAGAAATTTGTTTAATCATGTAAGTTATAAGTTATAAAAACATAAAACAACCAGCTTGCAAAGCAGCATTTAGAAATCAAATAATAGATAACATGAATGGTAAGATAAAGTTAAATGCAGCACAAGATTGGAGATACGATAGATGTTTTTTATGATTGACTATATAATAAGTTGATTTTTATGTCAAAGGTCCCTGGTCCATGTTTCGATGATGTTTAAATGCATGAAAGCTTTTAGACGTAATGGATACTTTATTCCTGATATCAATGGAGTTTGATGAGGATGAGCTTCTAGCTGTGAAATGGCTGTCATCAATTTACCTGGCTCTTCGCAATAAGGCCCAGTAAAACCAGCAAAGCAAAAGCATGTACCGTCTATACAGGTTCCCCCATGCAAGCATGGGAGGAGGCAAGGTGAGACTATGTACGACAAGACAGACAGAATAACATAGCACATGACAAACATACAATAACATGAAACTTAGTACTACATAGCACACACATGATAAGCACATGATAAGCAATTGTTTAATTTACTACATCGGGGGCTCCACAACTTTTCTTTTAATGCACAGGACATCTTTAATGAAAATTGTTCAGTGTCTTGTTCCAATGTAAGTTTTGGAGGAAAAGAAATTTCATAGAATATCAGGAATGAACATTTTTGCAATGTCTTGTTACAATGTATATTCTGGAGGAAATATAAATTCACAGGACATCAGTAATGAAATTTCTGGGTGTCTTGATACAATGTATATTTTGGAGGTCCAGCGTAAGAATTTGAGTCCCGAGTACACTGGACACCTATCAGTGTCACGCCCAGCTATATGTAAATCCCATGTCTCTCCAAGGATGACTTGGTAATATGATGTCAAGGAAAGTCCTTTAGAGTAGCTATGTGTGTTTTCAAATGTTGGGATCTTTTATAACAAGAGAGTATTAAGCATTCATTTCAACTAAATGAATGTAAAGTGTGGTAATTAAATATGCTAAGAGGTAATAAATATTCAAAGTCTTGTCATGTGCTATGTAAGAGTAAAGCACCGACTTTTAGCTTCAAAATGGTGCAGATCATCACCTAGTTAAAAAACTTCAATGTTAAAAAACGTATTATGGCCATTTTTTATGTACAGAGCGGATATACCCTTATACCTTGGTTTGAGCCCTAAATTCAATATTAAATAGAAAAACCCAGACAAGAAGTTTTGACATGTGTCATATACGACAGTTAAGAGCAAGTATTCAGATTTAAAATTGTGTAGGTCATTATAATAGTTAAAATGTCCTACAATAGTTGTAAGATATCACCCTAATTGGAAAAATCTTTTGACACTATAATTTATTTTATATAATTCAGCTCAAAAATCATCCCGAGGGGTTTAAGGATTAATAAAAATAGTTAAAAGAACATCTTGAAAGATAATCAAAGAGTATTTTGTAAAGAAAAAAATCTCAATACAAAACCAAACAGAAAGGGAAAACATTAGCATACACATTTAACCAATGTCGTACTTACGTTCTCAAAACTATGTAGCAAAGCAATGCAATGTCAGTATGTAAGCAAAAACATCACTCAAGTTATATCATATGTATACGTATACAACTGCAAATAATGTAAGTGCATTATAAAGCGGTATGGTAAAGCGCTTGATAAGAAGCACAAATATTTATTCATTTAAAGTCAAAATTCACACTGAAATCATCACAATTCATTATGTTAAGAATTTTCATACATTTATTTCCCATGGGGGATTATCAGTCAGATACATTTTCTTATTCCACATCATCAGAAAATTATTTGGGCTGTAAAAGGGATTTTTTAGGGGAGGGCAATTTTCAGATCACATTTTAAAAATGAAACCTGCATAGATTCATGTATATCAAACCAGTCCTTGTGGTTCATGGGTTTATAAATTACAAGAAAAAGAGGGGCAATAAAAAGAACAGGAAGATGGCCATGATTGCCACAAAGAGATTTTTGCAAAATATATATATATATATATCATGAAATCTGTTCTCCAGAAAGAGATCACAAAATTATTTCAATTCAAGCAGAACTCTAATCCTTTAGGCTTATACACTAAAACACTGTTTTGATGAAAAGAAGTTTATAACAGTATATTTATAGACATGTATACTCTGCAAAAGGGTGATTCCATACTTGCGTCCCATTAAATATAAAAGCTATTTCCATTAATTTCATTAAAAAAAAAAAAAATTTTTGGATCGGCTATTTAATAATGGTTGCTGTGGTATCACAAACATTATTCTAGATTTTCATTTCTTGAATGAAAATAATGGAAATGAGGTCTATATCGTAGGGAACGCATCGCGAGGAATCGCCCCAAAAAGAGAAAAATCAAGCATGGGAGGAAGGAGATTTGGATGAAAGCAACTCACCAAGATCCTGGCAGACTTTTCCAGTAAAGCCTGGTCGACAGATGCACACACCCCCAACACAGGTACCATCATGCATACAGGGTGGATCACACACTAGTATAGATACAATCATTAGTCACTCCAGCTGTTAGTATTTTATATTTGCTTATACAGTTTACAACTAAATTGTTTATACCCTTACTGGGTTTGTTTTTGTTAAGTATGTGAGAAATTGATTTGTCTCGATTTAAGTTTCTAGGGATTGTCACATATTTGAGCTTACATCTTAAATTAGTAAACAAAGCTTTAATTCAGACAGACCACCTTCCATCCTTGAGTTACCAAAAACACCAAAAATATATAATTTACAAGGGGTATGAATAATGTGTTAACTGTACATGAACTCATTGATAGTATTTGGTGAGCAGACTGGCGATATATTGGTGTTAAATACACACAACTTCAAGGATTCTATAGATTTAATCAAAAAATGTTACAGGTGGAAATGCCTATTTTGAAATTATTAACTTATTTTCCACTTTCCAGAATACAAAAGGCATTTTTTTCAGTATGTTTAGGCTGGGCTGTTTAAATAGAAGCCTTTTTTCACCACATGCATGTATAATAACATAAATCACTCCAATATTTCAAAATAAATGTTAGTATGTTCTCTTTTCTATTCTCATACATTATATATCATTAAAACAGTATTAGCTACAAAGCATCGCATAAAGAAATCACCAAGTTTTAGTTATACAGTTTTGTATGGTTTAAGGTATTTTAAACCTTTCATTCCGCATATATTTGAATTGAGTAAAACAAGTCTCTATTAGCTTGTTGTGGTATAAGATAATGCAGGCATTCAAACAAAGATGTAAGTGCAGCTGCTAATAATTTGAACTTGAATCATCTATACTGCGATCAATCTTGTATATTTCAACACACATGAATTTTTTAGTAGATTTTGATATATGCAAATGTATCAGCTGCATAAACCTGTACAGTGATTGTATACAATAAGCATGATGCAAAAAAATGGGTTATAAAGCATTTCCCATAGATTTAAAAAGCCCAGGAATAGCATATTTCAAAAACACTCTCTGATCTATCGCACATGCTAAAACATTTGTATTATATTTTTTCAATATTTTTTTTTTTTTATCCAATAATCTTTCTTAAAAAACAGAAAAAAATTCTGGCAACAATTCTTAAAACATCTGTCCATCCTCATTTGATCTTCTTCCATCCTCTCTTACCTCTCTCTTGGCAGTAGAGTCCACTAAACCCTGAGGGGCACCGGCACACCCCTTCACTGCACACCCCTCCATTGATACACGCTGGCTGGCATACTGTAAATATATATCGGGATAGATTAAATACAGTTAAGCTGTATATAAAGACGGCTCAAGGAAGTCAAGAAAAGTGATCTTTCTAGGTAGGCAGTTTTTAAGTACAGATTTCTTTAGTACACATTTCATATGAGAAATATTATGAAAGGGAAACAGATAATGTGGTCTTTAAAGACAGGTGGTGGTTCATGCAGGTTTCACTCTATAACAAACCCCAATTTCTACAAACAACAGACTGTTAGATAAGACATTAATTTCCATTCTAGAACTGAAAGATGTGATGATCAGGCTAAATTGTACCTCTTGTTTGACAGAACTCCCCAGTGAAGCCTGCACCACACTGACACGCCCCTTGGTAACAGAATCCTCCATTCCGGCAAACATCATCACATGGTCTCTCTGAGATGGAAAAGAGAGGTGGTAAGGCGCAAGGAATAATGTGAATTCATTCATTTGACTTGTTATTAACAATACAATTGTGGATATGGACAGTATAGATCAAGATTACAGGATCAACACTTTGGTATACCAGAGGAATTAATCATAAACTCACTATCGTGACCATGTCAACTCTCTCAGCATAATAATCACCAACCATGGAATATTATCATCATGACTGAAAATGCCAAAAACAAACATCACTGCCACCAAAATTTGTCACAAAACACTGTCGAAGATCCCAGGAATTGTAATCTCCACTAACATCGCCAAAATCATCATCATCATCATCATCACCAACATCATCACCATGACAAAATTATCACAATACATCATCAAAGATCCCATGAATTGTAATCTCCACTAACAACGCCAAAATCATCCTATTCATCATAATCATCATCACCACCACCAACATCATCACCATGACAAAATTATCACAATACATCATCAAAGATCCCATGAATTGTAATCTCCACTAACAACGCCAAAATCATCCTATTCATCATAATCATCATCACCACCACCAACATCATCATCATGACAACAAAAAATGTCCATACCAGGGCTACTATAAACCCGACAAGACTAAGACCTCTCACAAACTGGTCTCCATTCTTCCAAAGAGCACGACCACCACCATCATAGCCACTAACATCATGGCCATCAACATCACCACCATCATCAAAGGTTTTTAATCTGTTGACTACTGAATTGTCTCATTCCCATTTGCTTAATACCAGGACCACACGATTCCAGTAAGCAATGGGTTAAATATTCTTACCCTGGCTACAATCTTCCCCAATGAAGCCGATAGGGCACTGACAAGCCCCTCTCACGCACTGCCCTCCGTTCACACATGGTGGGATGCATGGTACGTCTGAAATAGAAAAATCAAATGATTCATCAAAGCTACAAATGAGCTAAATATGAGAATGTATGTCAATACCAACAGGTATATGTCCCAGGGCTTGTTGGTAGACATCCTGGTTCGGCTGTACAGTGGAACCTCATTATAACAAGGTCCTTAGGACCATGGAAATTACCTTGCTTTATCGGAAATCTTATTACATCTATTTTAGGGTAAAGAAAAGAATACAAAGAGCTGGGACCAGCAAAATCTCCTTGTTATGACAGACTCCTCGCTTTATCAGAGCTCTTTATAATGAGGTTTCACTGTAACTATTAAGCCGACTTTATGCCAGTAATCGAATGCCTATCCACTTTCCAATATAGTGGCTCATCTCTACTTTATATTTCTGTAACAATATTGGAATAAATAAATACATATTCTAAAATTTCATGTCCTTGTTTTGTGTGTTTGTTACTTTCACAACATACATGACTGTCACTTAGCCTTACTCCTGCATTTAAATTGATTTGATTGATTTTGTTTGAATCGATTTCACTTCATTTCATTTCATTTAATGGTTTTATGCATCTTCATTCTTTCGCTTGTAATGCTGACCACAAAACACAATTATAAGAGACAGTTAATCTTGCTCATGGAGACAGCAATTGTGGTCTTTGAGGGAAGCAGGTAACTACAATCAAATGCATGTTTCAACTGAAAATCTGGATCTAGGAAAACAAACAAGGGAAACTAAACTTGTCTCTATTGCGACAAGTGGCTTTTCTTTGCAGGGGGTAGTCAAAACAAGTATGACTGTAGTCCAATAAAAGAATAGATAAGAAGCACTAAAGAAAATAAATAGAATGCTGTCTTCATTGACAGGTGTCCATTCAAGACTGGTGTTCACTAAAGCAGGGTCCCTGTTTCATAAAACTTGGCATCATTAACAAGTTACCATTAACTGTTATAAGCTACTGAAATCGTGGCATTTGATTGGCCGAGAGGAAATTTGTCATAGAAATTGTGCATTTGTTATTGATAACAAGTTTTATGAAACAGGGCCCAGGGACCCATTTCACAAAGCGTTCTTTTGATGACAAATGACAAAAATCAGTGACAAATCTGCTGATATCCAATCAGAAGCAAGGATTTCACTAGCTTATAATAAAAACTGTCATTTGTCACTGGTGACAAGTTTTGTGAAACGCCCCCCTGATTTGACCTTACCGCGGCACGTGAATCTATCAGGTCCAAGCTGCTGGCCGATGGGGCAGGTACAGGCATAGCTACCGGGGAGGTTGGTGCATCGGTGTGAGCACCCTAATCCTTGAGTTTGACACTCGTCCACATCTGCATATTGAGAACATCAAGGTGTTAAATGGGTACCCGGTAGAATGCGAAAGCTAATGTGCTTAGATTAGCAAGTGTAGGCTTATAAAAATGATGCTCCCAAGGGAGTGGAGAATGTACATACATTGTGTGCGGGTAAGCCTGAATCCAATGACCGGGTAATGATATATTTATCTGTAAAGCGCTTTGAGAGGGCCTGAAAAGCCCTATATAAGAACAAGCTATTATTATTATCACACATATGGTAATACAGTGAAACCTGTATATAAAGACCACTCAAGGGTGACAAGAAAAATGGTCTTTATAGACATGTAGTCTTTTTGTACAAGTTCCTTTACTTCAGGCTGCTATAAAAAATTATTGTCAAAAGAGACAAAAAATGTGCTCATTGTCGACAGGGTGGTATTTATATACAGGTGGTCGTTAAAGCAGGTTTCACTGTACATTGTAACTTAAGGGTTCTTGTGTCCTAATATCTGATATTAAAACACAAATGTATTTTTCAAGGTTATATGCAAAGGTCTTATGCCGCTCAAAATGTGATAACGATAACAAATATAATATCTTTCATTTACATAATAAAAGGTAATCGACAATTAACAAACGATAACAGGTAAATCAAAACAATAAAACATATTCAATCAAATATACGGTTTCAACTTTTTATAAGACGGGCCCTGATATCAATACTTGGATACTCCAGGGAAATGAACAATGATAATTGATAGGATAGCATAACATAGTTTTAAAACTATCCTCCATGTCATTTCATGAAACATGAATGAGATTCAAACAAAGAATATTTACTGGACATAAAGTAAACCAACGAGTTTGTAAATTTACCAATACATCCTGTTCCGTCGGTGGAGATCTGAAACCCGACTGGGCAGGAGCATCGGTAGCTTCCATAGGTGTTCTGACAGGCATCTGGACACCGATTCAAACCTGTTGCACACTCGTTAATATCTAAAAAAAAATAAATAAAAAAAAAGGGGTTCGATGAAATAACAGCAGTCGAATATAGAGGCAACACCCTAAAATGTATCCTAACAGCCTTTTGGACAGCGATTCAAACCTCTTGCACACTCATTAATATCTAAAAGGGGTTAGATGAAAAAACAGCGGTCGAATATAGAAGACCACAGCTTCAAAATGTATCCTAACAAACACGTGGAGTGCGATTCTTATTATTATTTTTTCTTTCAGTTATGTACCTGCCTCTTAAATAGATGATTTGGTACTTTGTGTGGTGCTTTTGTGCCATGTGCAGGATGTGACTGCGAAACTGTCCTTCTAATATTCTAAGATTAAAACCCTTTGCACATCAACATCTGAAAGGAGTGAGGATAAATATTTGAGTCACACTTATCAGGACGACAGCTTCTATAGAACGTCCCACGTGTATAAGGTGACCAATTCAGACCCAGTGTACACGTATCAAAACCTTTAAGATCAAACTATATATGTGGGGTTATTTTGAAGTGTTGACCACTGAATTTTTTCATTCCCTTTGACTTAACACAGGGACCACCTGGTTCGTGTAGACAATAATTTAATATAGCTGACATAATATAAAAATGCATAAATTTGCAATGGGTAAGAAATTAGCTTCATCTTCATAAATGAGTATATGTAAAACATCAAACAAATATGACAGCAAAATACTAATAATTTAAACATTTATCACATTATCGTCCCTATTTTCACGAAGTGACGGTAGTGAATGAAAATCGCATACAATTTGCGTGTGGATTTTCCTCACTACCGTCACTTTGTGAAAATAGGAACATTATGTCTATATCAAAATAACAATCATTATTTATTAACTGATGATTATACAGGTCTTTTTTTATGTTTGAGAAAGAAAGGTCCAGCTTTGTCACAGCAATAATACTCAAACTCTAAATTTCAAACTCTTTAGCCGGATACAAAAGATATGGTTAAGAAGAAGAAAAGTTAATGTCATTGAAATCTTACCACTGCTACAGTCTGTTCCAGAGAAGCCCGGGGCGCATTCACACACCCCTCTGTTGCAGGTGCCCCCGTTCACACAATCTCTTCCACACGGAAGCGTACCTGTAATAAAGAAGCACATTGACATGTATCTCATATTTATTCAAGATTCCAGTTATTTTATTCAATACTCGCAACCTTTATCGTTGAATAACAATAAAATAGAAACCAGCTGAAAGTAATTTAGAAAAAAACAAAATCAATGAATTAGGAAATGTTCAATATAAAGACTAATTCAATCATGTTTATTCTCACACAGCTTTATTTGTGATTTTGCCATGTTGAATCAATTTGTAGGGGAGAGCACCTCACATCATGAACTAAGTATTTGCTTTCATTTTGTTTCTCTATGTCACCTGTCCTTTTCCTTCTGTTCATCATCTGCTAATCTTCCCCATACCTCCTCACTTCATAATGAACATAATGATGATAAACGACAATACAGAATATTGAATAAGGGTATAAGTTTAGCAGCCTTCGTTGATCATTAAGAATTCCAGTGTAAACAATCAAAAGCTTTCCTTGAAGACACCCCCAATGTTTACAATATTGTTTAATTAAAAAATGAATCCCCTTTCCAGAGATAGAAGTATTAACGATACATTTGCTAATCGAAATGAACATGCACTCTAAATATCATTCAAAATTATTTTTCAAAACATTTGACTTTCAACATGACCTTGTAAATAAGTGACCTTCATAATGACCTTCAAAATGACCTTGTACTCACATGATCTTCCATCTGCACCTAGCTGATATCCTGCTGGGCATGTGCAATGGTAGCTACCAAAGGTATTGACACACTGAACACTGCAAGGACTCATGTCAGTCACTATGCATTCATTCACATCTGTAAGAATAGAAATGGCAATACAAAATTGTAATGATGATATGTTGTCCCTTACTCCAAGACCCCTGCCAGACACATTATGTTGCGTCGTGTAAAACTGATTTTGATATTAATTTCGTATAACAGAAAACATAAATGTGCTTTAATCTATAAATATGGAAGTTTAAAAACAAGCAGTTATTCATTTAGAATCAAAGAATTAGTCATCATGAAAGACTGCAGGTACTCATGGTCTGCTAATGACATGTATATCTGACTTATTTACATTTCAGTACAATTCATCCTTGTTAAAGATTGACATAGTTATTGGCAAAGAAATCCCTACATGTATATTTCTTTTTGAATGACGAAATATGTGTCAAATAAAAAAGGATGTTACAAGGATTGATGATCAAGTAAACGTTGTCAACATCAGATGAAAAGGCCTAAACCTAACATCTTAGTGAGCTTATATCCAGTGTCAGACTGTGTCAGACATGAGTGCAATACAAGGACCCACAATTATCATTATTAATTACAATTATTATCATTATCATTAACAATTACAATTATTATTATCATTATTTTATTCTCATTATTATCATCATCATCATTATTATTATCATCACCACTATAATTATAATCATTTATATTATCATTAATATTATTATCATTATTACTAATATTATCCCTGTCAGACTACTCACCATATTGGCAGGTGGATCCCTGGAAGCCCGGTGGACACACACATCGTCTGTTGATACATGTACCATTGTTCTGACATGGTGGAAAGCACTGTCCTCCTGAAGAAAGTGGGAAAAGAAAGACGTAATGAATACAAATTATCTTTTAAAAAAACAGTTGTGTCCATAGTGCAATGGCATCTGCATTAGCACCCATTCATTTTTGTAAACACAACATTATAATTTCTAGTATAGATTTAGTGATTGAATGCTGTACCAAGAAAGTTGGGTAAAAAGAGCACTTGCATTTAAAAACGATCTTTCTTGTGTTCCCAATTGCAATATTAATGTGCAGATTTACCATTAATTTGTATTGCTATGATTACCATCATTATGATGATTATGAATTATTCAATCATCACTATCATTATAATCATTTGTATCATTATCAATAGAAGTACTAGTAGTAGTAGTAGCAGCAGTAGTACTAGCAGTAGTAGTAGTAGTAGTAGTAGGAGTAGTAGGAGTAGTGGTGGTAGTGGTAGTAGTATCAACATCATCATGATCATCACAGTCATTATCATATTTATTATTACTACTAATATTACCATAATCAATAATAAAGTCAATAAACCCTCATTACAATTATAATTAACCCATTGACTACTGAATGATCTCATTCCCATCAGCATTATACAAGAGCCACCCGTTTACTGTAGTCAAGTTTTAAGTTTCAAGTTTCAAGTTTTATTTCCATTTTCAACAAGAAAAATACAAATTTTGTACAATAAATAAATGACAAACAACATTTTGCAAAGGAAACAAAAGTTATTATACAAGTGAACAAGTTATTTTTCTTTGCATAACAAAAACCATTATTTATATTATTCTGAATTAAGTTGCAAGGAATTATAAGATAATCGTATCATACAATCTACATCAGGAGGAAAAATATAAATGTTGCTGTATATTTATATGTCAAGTGAAAATGGATGGACCCACTAAAAAGTAGTCAATTCATCAGCTTCATTACCAAATAGCCCGCTATTTCTGATTTGAGAAATAATCCTGAAGTTACAAATCGCGTCTTCATCAGCTGAAAATTAGCTCAAGATAATTTGCTCAGCGTTCGTGCATATTGCGAGTCTTCGGGCTGGTAAAGACGAATCGGACAAATAGTGGGATATTTTGCAAACTAGCCCAAGATATCTTTGGATGATTATCTCAACCACATATCCTGTTAATTGCAACTTTGGGCTGTTGAAGTCGCAAATTAACTGGATAATTTGCGATCAGGATAGTTGAAATAACAGGATATTTGGCAATCTCGAGCTGATGAGGACAGGCCTAATGGGACAAGCTAACATTGATCATGGTTCCAAGTTACCTGAGCATGAATGTCCATCGGGGTTGAGAGTTGATCCAAGAGGACAGAAGCAGACATAGCTACCTAGCATATTTCTACAGATATGCTCACAACCTCCCTTCTGGTTGGCACATTCATCAACATCTGTATCATTAGGGAAAGAAAAGTTCAGGTTGATTAGATACTTTATGGGTTACTTGTTCTCTACCTCCCTCTCTGTATGACTTTCTCTGTCTCTCTTCCTTTCCTGTACCATACTATGTTCATTCCCCACTCTCTCTCTCTCTCTCTCCAGCTCTTGCCCTCTCTTCCTCTCCTTTTTTCCCTCTCCCTCTCCCACCCTCAATCTCCCTTTCCCATTCTCTATCTCTCTCTCTCTCTCATCTACTTCTTGCTCTCCATTTTCCTGATCCACTTCTCTTTCCCTCTCTTTCTCTATTTCCCCCTTCTCTCTTTCTGTTTCTCTATTTCTCTCTTTCTCATCCCCCCCCCTTTTTGTTATCATCTCTCATATTCTCTGTTCTACCTTCTTCACTTAACTTCACTTAAACAGCTCCTCTTGCTATATTGTAACTCTAACCTAGGAAAGGAGACAAAATCAACAAGATATTCATTCAATATTCTTCAGGGGTGATAGGGAGCACTAAAAATAGCCCCTTGATTATTTTTTTTAAGGATTTGGGGAAGAAAAGAAATGGCATCTAACAACATCCCCCCCCCCCTTTAGTAAGAAAATTTGGAAAAAACAGGGGGGAGAATAAGGACAATAAGGAAAAAATAGGGGAAATAGGGGTAAAATCGGGGGGGGGGGGGGAATCGGGAAACCGATTTTTAATTGGGTAATTATCAGGCCTGGTTCTTACCTTGGAAGCAAGTTGCTCCTGTGAATCCTCTTGGACAGATACACCTACTGTTGTTACACACACCACCATTCATGCACTCTGGGAAGCAGCCAACACCTATGTGAGAATAATATAATATCAGATATTTATATAGCGCACATATCCACCATGCAAGGTGCTCAAGGCGCTCCGAATATTACCCGGCTCTGCTAGGCTGCCGATTTCGGCGCTCACAACATTCAATTCCTATCTAACACCTGGGTGGAGAGTGGCAAATGTAGATTAATGTCTTGCCAAAGGACATTAGTGCGGAGAACCCAACAATAAGGATACAGTGCAAGATCTATCAAAGATATTTTCACAACTTTTAGGCGGAGTCAAATGGTAGATCCCCTTGTACCAGGATGAGTGTATCTTTCTAATTCATCTGGAATGCATACCTAAATTAAAAGGAACATCTATTTTCTTATTTCTCAGTACATCTATAACAGCATTTGAACAAGATATTCTCTATACTCTTTAGTATAAAAATCTACAACACAAAAATACTCTCATTCATAACAAAGAGATCAACCAGCTATTATCATAATTGCTCCCTTAATCTCCTCCCCCAAAAAGATAATAAATTATATTAATGATAATGAAAATATTGATAATAATAATGATAATAAAAATAATTAAAATACAGAAAAATTACATCAATAATAATAATAATGAGGATAATAATAATAATAATAAATATAATTAATAATAATAATAATAAATATAATTAATAAATGAATAGATAAAAAACAGAATTAAATGACATCCTTGGGTAATAGCTTACTACTGCAGGTGACACCATCAGCATTGAGTACAGAACCAGGTGGGCAGATACAGGCAAAGCTACCAAAGGTGTTTCTGCACTGGTACTGACACAAGTCTGCTTGCAGACACTCATTGATATCTGGTATAGAAAGGTAAGGAATTAAAGACACGTAGTAGCGGGCTCTCATTGGGAATGTGATGCCTTTCCAGTGATAACCCAATAACAGGTGTTGTCAATCACCAGGATTAGCCTTCGGTTTTATGACCAACATGCTTTTTGTAATACTCTGTCTTTTCCACATATGGTTAAGTCCTTATCTGACACTTGCATAGCCCAAAGACTCTCAAGGCCTGTTTTCATCAGCCCGAGTTTGCCAAATAACCCGCTATTTTCAGACTCTGGATATTATCCCGAAGCTCGAAATTGCGTCTTCACCAGACCGATACGCTCATCACAAACTAGCTCGGCAGGCGCAAATTAGCCTGCTTTTTCCCAAATAGCGGATATTTTGGAAACAAGACCAAGATTTGGGGGGATATTTTCTAGACCAAATATCTCGCTAATTGCAACTGCGGGCTGATAAAGGCAAATACAGATGGATATATGGATGAAATCAGGTAGTCTAGGGGCATTTCCAAACATCATAAACAATTGGCACAAATCAACAGTAAACCTTCACTCTATCTCACACAAGCTTGGCATATTAATCCATGTCAGGTTTTTATCAGGTATGGGTCCATTTACATGACAACCCCATTGAAACCTATTACTTGTATATTGCACAGCATACTGCATTTGTGTATCCTCTATAAGCTTTGGTAACCTTCTCCCACAAGAAACATGACACAGGATATTATACACAAAGCACAAATAGAGTTTAAACATGTTTCTATATTCTATATTCTTTATTTATACTTATTTGAAATAAATTATAACCATTCTATAACTAGGAAAAAGGAATATTGATGTTTGAAGTTATGCAACGTGACACAGCGTAGGCTGTCACATTTTACTTTGCACTACACCATGTGTTTGTGACATTTTAAAGCATGAGATGCATGCAGAAGATTACAAACAGTTTCACTCACCAGTGGCACACGTCCTTCCAGTAAGGCCTGGTTGACAATTACACCTACCCTCTACGCAAGAGCCTCCATTAAGACAGGGTGGCTGGCAAACTTGTGGGTTTTCTCCTGTACACATACACAAATGACGGAACAGTAATATGAATATACTTTCTTTTCCTTCTTGTTGGCATATCTGTATATGTCCTCCATGCAAGAGCCTCCATTAAGACAGGGTGGGTGGCAAACTTGTGTGTTTGCTCCTGTACACATACACACACAACAGAACAGCAATATAAATAAATTTTCTTTCAGCAAGTTCTTGTTGGCATAGATACATGTATACACATTTTACCCTCCATTACCCTTCATTTGGACATGTTGGCTGGCAAACTTGTGGGTTTTCTCCTTTACACATAAACACACAACAGAACAGCATTAAGAACATATGCTATTTTCCTTCTTATTGGAAAGATACATATATAAACCCTCTATGCATGAGCCTTCATTAGAAAGGTTGGCTGGCAGGCGTGTAGGTTTAGTCATGAATACATAAATGTATACATATGACAATTATGTTTAGAGAAGTTAAATGTTCACAAAGTTGTCCTGTATGACCAGGAGGTGTTTCACAAAGACTACGACAGGCCATTCATGCCACTGTTTGCTCTCACCGTTTACTGGCATTGATCTCCCAAGAGACATACAATTCATGATCACAAATCCACAGAATTTATATTTGTTGATAATTCATTATTGAAGGTAAAAATGTTATCTAGAGATCACAATTGAGAGACCAATGATGAGAGCAAACAGTGGCATGAATGGCCTGCCATAGTTAAGTCCAACTTAAAGTCGATCTAAGTCTTTGTAAAACACTCCCCTGGTGTGTTTTGTATCTAGGGCCTGTGTTTGGGTAAATAATTACCATTACAGACAAATACAAGTTCTTACACTACACCAAAGTTGATAAATACAAATCTACCCTCCATGCAAGAGCCTTCATTAGTACAGGGAGGCTGCACACCAAGTGGAACATCCACGCCACAGGTACACACATGGGAAATTAACATTCTTTGCAAAATAATTCACTGGTCCTCTATCTTCCAATCATTTCTCCATTTGACTATTCCTTCCTAAGAAATGTTCAATGTCTTTTTGTTTGATGAAGTACAATAGCAAAAGCACACTGGTAGGAATTTCTTTAATGCTTTAGCGACTCAGGTAAGGCAAGAGTAATGTTATGATCGATTGTTTCAAACATGGCAGAGTATATACAATAGCTGCGCTATACAAATAGACCTATTGTTAATATCTTTATAAAATACAAATCCACACATTTGTTCATTAAATTAACAATTCAATTACTACTTTGATATTAGCAATTATTTAGGTGAAACTAGAATTATAGTTCACCCTTTCTACCACATTAACTTGAAATTTGATATCTTTAAAATATACATTATATTTCCCTCTCATTTAACAATTGTTCAAAAACATGTCACAATCATTTCATACATATACCATTACCTTTACCTTTATACAATTGATGTCTGGATCAAAACATGGATAATTTTAGATGTCTATTATTTACTGAGCTCACGCATGAATTGATTTAAGATGGATTTGTGAAACAATCATAAACTGCCAGATGTAGGATGAGGCAGAAGCATACTAAATATATCTTCATTTCCATCGGCACATGGTGTAATGTAGCATGCAAACATCTTTATTCAACACAATACCGTGTGACTCAAAAAAAAGTTTACACCTAGAAAATTGCTTAATTATTTTAAAAAAATCATCTATGAACAGTAAATCATTATAAGTCGTATGAAAGAGTGTTTTTATTCCAAATCACTTGGTATCATTTTTGTGTGGTATGTGTGGTAATACCAAAATCGCAATTGTTTTATTCAAACACCACATAAGCAACTTTGGCGCAAGTCGATTTTTGCTCTCTTGCAAACAATGCCTCTTGTTCATACAAGCGTGAACACATACCACACAAAAATGATATTAAATAATTTGGGATACAACACTCTTTCAAAGGATATATACTAATTTACTGTTCATATATGATTCATTAAATAATTAGTAATTTTTCAGGTGTAAACTTTTTTTTTGACTCACACTGTACATCAACCCAAAGAATGAGACACATTTCCTAAGACACTTAAGATGGCAGCGCTCCAGTCACAATCTATCAAATCATCCATGTTTTTCTTCTGTCAAAATATCTTCCCTTTCCTCCCCAGTCAATTTCACCATCTCCGTAAATGGCACATTGGATGGGGTTGCCTAGGTAACCTAAAACAGATTCCTCGTAGGCAGACAAGAGGAAAGAAGTAATCTAATGATGAATGCTTCCTGCATTTTCCTTTTATTTGGGGATGAGGTTGTATCTCTTGGGAGCTTCTAGTTCCTATGTAATGGCCCATAAAGTCTCACTATGCTCTATTCTCCTATCCTGAATGAGAGAGATGTTCTGCACAAGGATGCTATTTCTACCAAAACCCTTACTCTAGGGCAATTCCACGGTAACGGAAGGACACTCAGACAAGATTTTTGAACTTCAGGTTCATACTAAAAGAACTGTTTTATTAGTATAAGATGTGAAACAGTACAGATATAATACCTATATAAGTGCCTTTAATTCTCCCAAAAAAAATTGTCATTATAGTTAAGTAGTTTAAGAATGTGCATATTAATTAGCTCGGTAACGGAAGGACATAAAAATGGACATGGTTTTTCCAGTTAATTAGTGTTTATCCAAACTTTGTGAAGTTGATGAAGCTTTCCACTTGACTGAAACACATTTTGTTCCCCATAGTTTAATACATACTAATAAAACATTTCTTTTAGTATGAACCTGAAGTTCAAAAATCTTGTCTGAGTGTCCTTCCGTTACCGTGGAATTGCCCTCTAGTGTAAGGGGGAAAAATCACTGAAAATCACTATAATTACTCAAATCAATCAAAATCACTCAAATCACATAACACAAAAAAAACATTCAACAGAGCGACAAACATGTACAGTAGGCCAACTTCATAATGCACTAGAAGTAGAAGTCCATGACAACAAGATCGGTATAAAAATATGCAAACTTTCACAAGAAAATGAACAAAATGCACAAGACAAGATTTTAAAGTAAGGTTTGATACTTATAGAGGAAATTTTAAGCTATGAAACAATACAAACTTCATCACAAGTGATTCATTCTAAAAAGTTTTTACTTAAATTTTCTGTCGATTTTAGAAACTTTTATACAAGCACAATAATGAATACATGATGACATTTGGCTCTTTGCACTCATTAAATTGAATGACAAAAAACAAGGGGGTGCTCACCATATTCACAAGAAGGGCCAAAGAAGCCCCATAGACAGGCACATGCTGTGGGACAAGCTGGCATGCCGGAGCAATGTGGTGCATAGCGGCAGGTACCCCCGTTCATACAAGCTGGACTACACATTGGGTTTCTGGGTACTGGACATGATGTGTTCAGACAATCAAACAATTAACATGCAAACATGCCAGTAGATTATGAATAGCTCATGAAACTACATAACAACAAATGGTTCGAATGAAAAAAAGCATGAAAATGTGAATTACATGAAGGGGGCTTTTATGTTACTTTTATAAACAAATGTAAAATCCTCAAATCAATTCCGCATTTCTGATCAATGAAAAATTAGGAATGATATCAATATGATGGATTTAAATTTGCCCAAAGTATCAATAAAAGAACCCTGTTAAAATGATAACAGATGACTGGGATATGATAAAAACTGACAAGTGATATGACAACAGGTGTGTTTAGACTGTAGTGAAATAGGATGATAAAACGATGAAAACAATCTGAAATACAATGAGTGAGCATAACTATGTACATGTACTGTGTATGAGAATGAATGAAAACATTGAACTTGTCATGAATACAAACAAGTATGTGTGAAAATTAATGAATGAAACTATTTGAAAGCAAAGCTGATTGTTGGGTTTATTAAGATAATGAAGAATAAAACTAAACATCTAACTCTAAAATATTTTTATTTAGGCTACATTCATAAACTATCAAAAATATCAATGATAATAACTCAGATAGTCAAAGTAGAGGATCTCTTATCCACAAAAGCTAACAAGGAAATATGAATAGGTTCATCTTGCAACACAAATGTAAGCTATTGAAGTATAATATTACAAAATAGGTGCAACAAAAAAGTAACTTAAAGTTTACTAGTCACTCAACAAATAATTTGTGTACAACTAGAAAGTATACAACCAAAGAGAACATGAGTCAGAAAAATATAACCTTTCTTTCTCTAAAGTTCATGCATGACTGCTAGATCACTAAAAAATGAAGAGTCCACTATATTAATATGGATCAAAACCAAAGTATTGATTAGTATGGAGTAATACATGTAAAAGACCGAATGAATTTGAATTCATGAATTCATGTAAATTTCAAGTATACAAGATAAAGTTCATAGTAAAAACAGCAATTGCTTTCATGAAATGAATACGGGAGAATCTTTCTAATTCAAAAATGTATATGTCGACACCTACATTGTTATTTCAAAATATTCTCAGTTGCCCTGGAAACTTATTTTTAAAATGACGAAAATAGGTCCAACAGCTAATCACATTAGAAATGCATGGAAATACATGTATTTGTTTCTTTCATTCTCAAACATCTTTATTCTTGGTTACTCCCATTTTTATTTGTTTGTTTCTCATCTCAGCATAATATTGCAATTCTTATTCAAGTTAAGGAAGATCAATACTTTCACTTCTCCAGCTATTAATGCACAGTACTTTGACATCTATATGATATTCATTATTGGTTAACTAACATTACATGTCTATACTTGAATAATGTACATAAGATAGCATTATGGTCAACAATGGAAAGTGCTGCGCATCTACAAGAAACAGGTACTGACACATAGATTCTTCTATGATATCTAAATATTTCTACCCCATCTCCTAATCACATATCGAGGGTTCAGTGACACAAAGACGTAACTCCATTTTGGTCATTTTGAGAAAAAGTGGTTTATGTGTCACTGAGCACTTGGGCCTTAAGGAGTTAAGTCTATCACTAGCCATTGACTTCAATGTGGCGTTGGGTGGAGTTAAGTCTTTGTGTTTACTGGATAGCCCACATTTTTCTGAACATTTTGATATCAAATACTGATTTTGGCAAAATATGGAGTTACGTCTTTGTGTCACTGACCCCTCGATATGTGATATCTACAGGTGAGTGCAATCAGACTCTAAAATACAGACAAAAGATGTAATGCTGGTCCAGTGCTGCAGCAAGCATGCAAGCAAGCAAGAGGCGCAGCCCCAATCCTACCTTCAAAACAGGTATGTCCGTCTGGACTAAGGGTGTAGCCTGGTGGACAGGTGCAGTAGTACCCCCCTGGGGTATTGACACAGGCGTGGCTACACTTTGGTTCTGGTCCGGCAGGGCAGCGGGGGTCACGGCAGGGCATGGTGGTACCTGCGTTGGCCACGTTACACTCATTCAGATCTACAGAAATGAGGATAAAAATAGTTATAAAATACATGTACCTTTCATCCCGAAGGCTACATATCTATGGATAAGGTATTTTAAAGACCATTTTCTTTCTTGCTAAGAAACTGGCAGTAATTCTTATATGTGTAGTCAAATAGGATAAGACTGAATTTTGTTTAGGATAGCATAAAATGAGAAAACAATATCATTTGATGTAATACATGATCATATTCAATGAGGAAGGGATGAGTATAGAAAACCTCTGTACTCCTGTATTCTGTGGAACCTGCATCTGAATACTTGAACTAATTGGCTGTTTGTACTCTCTTGAGGGGGAGCATTCTAGAGCAAAAGCCGTGCATGAGCAAAGGTTCTCCCCCACCCCCTCCCATCCCTTGATTCTGCTAAGGAAGGAAAACTAATCCAGCGTTTTGAGAGCAGAAAGACCTGTACAGAGAGAAAGAGAACTGCCTCACAAATAATTTGAGAACCATGGTCTAGACTCTAGATCATGCCTGACTAAGGACTGCCTGAATATTTCCCCTCCATTAAATTTACCTTGGCATTGGCCGAACTTATGGTTGAGCCTCTCACCCCAGGGGCAGTTATCACAGGTGGTACAATCGGGACCAGAATATTACTCTATTGAATTTACCTTGACACTGGCCGGACTCATGGTTGAGTCTCTCGCCCCTGGGGCAGTTATCACAGGTGGTGCAGTCGGGCCCTGGGGTGCATTGCCTCTGGTCTACATGGAGGAGGTACCCATCCTGACAGGAGCATGCGTAGCTACCAAGGGTGTTACGACAGTTGTGCTGGCAGCCTCCCTGGACGGGCATGGCACACTCATCAACATCTGCAGGAGAAGTGCAATATATTGATATTGGATATTTATAATTACTTCATAGCCAGCCTACATATACTTGACTGATCTCTTTTGTTGTGTGAATAACTTTTGTTTTTAAGTGGCCCAAACATTGTGGAGCGGTGTGTGCAGCGCTTTGTAACCACAAGGAAAAGGCGCTATATCAAATATCTCTTGGATTGGAATTATTTCTTCACAATGTGGAAATATGCTTCCCACCAGCATTACAATAATAAAAAAACATGCACACAAAAATAGCAAACGATTTAAAAACAGAAAAAAATCTTGTCCTTTCTGATAAGGTGATTAAAAATATCTCTCCATGCTTTTAACAGGCGATTCAATATAATCATCATTGATTGTGTGAGTGTGAATGGTCTAACAACTGTCAATGGTCTAACAAATAGGCTGATTTCATCAAAATCTAAGGACTTCCACGATATGAAACTTTTGTGAATTGTTAACAATGGCCATATTCACAGAAAAAAGATTATGCCAAAAGCTAATATTCAGTTTTGTGATTTCATTATTTTGTGGCACAAAACTTTTCCAAATCTACAACATTGACAAAATTCACGAAAGTTTGATGCAAAGTTTTTGGCAGTTTTTACCAGACACAGTATAAAGAGACATGCACTTTTTATTTTCTCATTTTAAAGTTATATTAGTTTTCATTAATTAATCATGTAATACTATTAAAAAATCCATTGTAAAATCATGAGCTGTAATCATCTTTATCAACTTTGATGTCTTCTCTTTACATTCAAACCACAAGCAAACTCTCAAAAATTTAAAATAAGAAAAGAAAAGATATAGAGAGTAAGAGAGAAAGTAGGGGGGAGAGAGAGAGAGAGGGGGGATAAGAAGAGGTAGAGATAGACGAACCATGATCCCCTCTTCACAGTGCCTTCCACTATCATTAAAAAAGTGCTAAAGAAAGAGAGAGTTCATAAGAGAGAAAGATCATAAGAGAAAGAGAACAGGAGAGAAGAGAAAGAAAGACAGAGAGAAGGGAAGAGTAGGATAAGAGGGAGATAGACAAACCATGATCCCCTTTTTACAGTACCTTCCACTATCATTGACAAGGTGTTGAAGAAGGAGAGAGAGAGCATAAGAGAAAGGGAACAGGAGAGAAATGAGAGAAAGACAGAGAGAAGGGGAGAGAGTTGGGCCTTGTTCATACCTTCATAGTGCCTTCCATTACCCCCATTGAGAAGGTGTTAAAGAAAGAGAGAGGGCATAAGAGAAAGAGAACAGGAGAGTAAAGAGAGAAAGATAGAGAGAAGGGAGAGAGGGGCCTTGTTCATACCATTACAGTGCCATCCATTACCTTTCAGATGGTGTTACAGATTAAAAGAAAGAGAGAGAGCATAGGAGAAAGAGAACAGGAGAGTAGAGCAAGAAAGACAAAGAGAAGGGGAGAAAGATGGGCCTTGTTCATACCGTCACAAGAAGAAATAGAGATAGCATAAGAGAAAGAGAACAGGAGAGAAGAGACAGAAAGACAGAGAGAAGGGGAGAGAAAGACAAAGAGAACGAAAGAGAGATGGGCCTTGTTCATACCTTCACAATGCCTTCCATTGTTATGTAATCTCATGCCCGAAGGACATTGACATCTAAAACCATCAGGTGTGTTGATGCAATTGTGTGAACACACTCCGTCTGTACATTCCCTGGGTGCTGCTTATCAGAAAGATCAAACATTATCAACAAAATATCAGGAAAAGACCAAAGATGATATTCTTTACAAATGCTCAAATAGATTTCATATAAAAAATTTATGCAAAACAAGATTGATAAACATGCAGTAGCCTTGCGAGTGCACCATGTTAGAGCGAGGGAAGATTGAGAAATCCTAAAAAGGACTCTCGTTAATCTTTCTTGAGGGTTTGTAGTCCTGAAAAGGACTGTTTGGTATAGTCTTGAAAAAGACTGTTAGTTATCTTTCTTAGCTTATAGTTCTAAGGAGAACTATAGCGCTTGGAGAGGAGGAGTGGCGGGATCGGCTCAACGTTTCAAACAGGTTGACTATCCGTCGTCATAAACATGATAGCATAAATCCATTTAAAAATGTTAAAATTTGAATTGTTCAACACATGCACACTAATCATTAAAATTTTAACATTCAAACAAAGCAGTGCATTCAAAATGTGTAAATCTGGATGAGAAAGCTGATTATACTTTCATTATACCAATGTTATATATACATCTTTTTTTCTTCTTTTTTTTTGGGGGGGGAGGGATGCGTAAAAGTATTTTTAAAGTCTTGCAAGTTGTAATGTGTGATTAGATACGACATGTTAAATTTGAGCTGTTTAACATATTTACACTAATCCTTAAACTGTTAATATTTAAACAAAGCAGTGCATTCAAAAATTTGGAAATCTGTTTGATAAAACTGATCATACTTTCATTTTACCAATGTTATTTATACATTTTTTATTTATTTTTTAACATTTTACTTCTATTTCTTTTTTCTTTTCTTTTTTTGGAGGGGGGGGGGGGGGATATGACACGAAATATTCTTGCAAGTTGTAATATGATTAGATACAAAAACACGACTTACCCTGGCAGTCAGCGTATCCCAGTCCCTCATAACCTGGTGGACAGGTGCATCTGAAGCTACCAGCCGTGTTCTCACATCCAAACTGACATCCATGGTCCTGGAGACATTCATTTACATCTACAAAGATTTGAAACATTAGTTAAGCCGGGACTAAGTCCAGACTAAACGAGAATTTTAGTTCACACTTCAATTGAATGCTAGGTTTCATCTTCCTCCTTCAATATTCATGACAAAGATAATCTACCAAAGCCTTTGTTGAAATTCAGTTCATACTCATATTGTCATTTTCTTCCCATTTCATTGCAAAATTATTTTTGTGGACACTTTACATTGAAGGATTAAAATGATCTGTACAGGGTGAATAAGTTGACAACAGGCACTCCATAAAAGTGTGGACTAACTTAGTACGCGCTAACTTAGTACGCGCTTCCGGAATACCACCCAATATGGTCAAACCTGCTACAAAGCACCTGTATAGAAAGACCACCTGTCTATAGAGACCGCATTGTTTGTTTCCCTTGAGCAGAGTTTCCTATTGAAACCTGTATGAATGATAGCTGTAGTTAAAGACCGCCTGCTCTTAAAGACATTTTCTTGTCTCCTCGAGCAGTCTTCATATACAGGTTTCACTGTAGATTGGTTATGACTGGGTGAATTTGAAAGGTACTAGGCAACTGTTTGAAGTGAAAAATGAATGTGGTGAATTTGTGTACACATTTCTTCTCTGCTTGTGAAAGGATATAACAAAAAGTTTCAATCAAAAATTGATCATTTTGTAAGTTAAAAGAAAAATTTCCCTTCCTTGCACTTCTTTTATTTATGCGTATTACATAAATATAATTGGGAGAAAACACCGTTATATCCTCTTTGTTTGGTATTCATAGTTAAAGGTAATACAAAGTTTTGGTATGTGGTCATGAATTTGGTTCAAATGAACATATTGGAAGCATATGCGATCCTATAATATTCAGTGATCGTTGTCGCGGTTGAAATCGAGTCTAAAGTTATGAAATTGTAAATAATAAACTTTTTATGTTGTATAGCTCCCTCTCAAGGTCAATATATTAATTAAGCTATAAAACAATGTTTCTTGACTAAAATCGACCGATTAGCTATTTCCGTTTGGGAATTATATATCACAACTACATATTCTGAGATTTTCATGGTCGCAGCTACCATTGTACAGCCGTAGGCGCTATTTGAAATTTATCAAAATTTACCGGGAGCACCGGTAAATTTTTATATTCAATTTTTCTCGAAAGCAGAAGTGTTTTAGGGGCTAAATTTTCTAGTGCTTCTAATACATCCACAGGGGTATCCAATTATATTAAATTTGTAAAGAATCATTATCCAGTCAATTTCAAAATTTCCGAAACTTTGTATTACCTTTAAGCCAGCAATAACAAATAAACTGATTTTTCAGCATATCATCCACAGGGGTATCCAATTATATTAAATTTGTAAAGAATCATTATCCAGTCAATTTCAAAATTTCCCGAAACTTTGTATTACCTTTAAGCCAGCAATAACAAATAAACTGATTTTTCAGCATATCACTTTATTACATCTTAAGTTGCACCAATCACACAGCACAGGGTATATGTGGGATTATGTGGAACAAACTACGAATGTCAGCAGTGAATGCACCAACCATTCAAAGCTTCAAATCAGAGGTGGATACCTATCTTTCGACACAGCTCAACAAGTTTAGTTATAGGCCCAGTAGGTGATAATCCTGTTGAGTCTTCCCACAGATCCAGCTATGGACCTATCCTATTAAGGAATAAAATCTTTGCAGGGTGTATTGATGAGATATGGGAGGGCATTACAAGACATTGTCTTACTAAGGACCCAGAGAAGACAGTTGAATACAGGTGAATATGTCACTAAATATATTACAGTATGCATGCAGTGTTCAAAACTGGTTTCAAAGTGATGATAGAGAGAGAGACTCACCAGCACACATCCTTCCATCAAGACCAAGATCATATCCAGGGGGACATAGACACCGGTAGGATCCCTTGGTATTGATGCACTGGTAGTGGCACAGACCCCTCTCAAGGGAGCATTCATTAATGTCTGCAAGAAGAGAGTTAAAACAAGAGATAATCAGAACAGACACCGATAGCATCTCTTGGTATTGATGCACTGGTAGTGGCATAGATCCCTCTCAAGGGAGCATTCATTAATGTCTGCAAGAAGAGAGTTAAAACAGGAGATAGTCATTTCAATTCAATTCAATTCAATTCAATTTATTTATGTTTCCAACAAAACATTACAAATAAATTATAAACATTTACAACAAATGTAGAAATACATATTGGAATCAGAGGGGTCCACTAAAAAGCAATGCTTGTACAAGTGTGAACACCTCAAATGATACGTAAGAACACATTCGCTCATCTTTTACAACAATAATTAGGAATCCCGCGAGGCAAAACAGAGAAGACAGTCTAATTTGGAAACAGAGGAGTTTAGGTTTCATGCCATTAGTTTGAAGGCCCAAAATTACGAAACACTCCTTCGCAGCAATAATTAGGAATCCCTCACAACAAAAAGAGAAGATAGCCTAAGTTGTACCCTTTTTACACATAATTGTATTGATTTCAAAGAAAAATCACATGAATTATTATTATATCTCAAAATTAATTTTATGTTTTTTAACGTAATTAACAATTTTGTCCATCTTTTCTTACCAATACAGTTCTGTCCATTGCTGTGAATCTCGAATCCCTCAGGACAGCGGCATCTGTAAGAGCCTGCTACCTCGTCACAACCAAACTCACAAACAGCACCATACCTCTCGCAAGCATTCATACCTGCAGGATGAAGAAAATAGACATTCACGATACTTCAATTATTTTCAATTCTACTCCTATTAACTATAATTTTCAAGGAGTCTGATAAAAAAACAAAAATAATGTAGTAGCATTGCACTAATAGCTAAACTGAAATGTATCATCACACAAGTAAAATAACGGTACTGCTAATGAAATCATGTGCACCGTTTTCCATGATAATAATTGATACATGATTAAACGATACAAACCTTTCTTAATTAAAAAAAATGCTTTTAATTGAAACAAAGGAAAATTAATTGAGTGATTGGACAATTGATTATTAAACTGACTCACTGACTAAATGATACAGATAAATTGGTTTGATGGTTCTTGGACTGAATGGATGATTTGATGAATGACTAACATTTTTTTATCAATAAATGGATCAATCCATTGACAAATCTAAACAATTATTACTTCCATTTGTTTATGTTTTTACAAATGGTGGGCCCACAATCATAGTACACTAAGAATCCTATTGATTAGCTGACTGGATTATCAACTATGCGATGCAGACATCATTGAACATGACCTAGAGTCTGATCTTAGTTTATAGCTTTACAAGTGGTGGGCCTGCAGTTATGGTACAGAAAGTACCCTATAGATCAATATACTGCATTATTAACTATGTGATACAGAATTAATTGAGCATGTCTTGGGTCTGATCTTAGTCTATATTTCTACAAATGGTTGGCCTATCATTATAGGTCAGTAAGGACCATATGGATTATAACCTGACTGTATTATGGACTTTGTGATGCTGACTTACTTGAGCATGTCCTAGTGTCTGATCTGAGTGAGTACCCTGTCCTGCAAGTACAGAAGTAGCTTCCTTCTGTGTTCATACACAGGTGCTGGCATCCACCATTAGCTGTTCTGCATTCGTTCAAATCTGAGAACAATAACACGGATAATAATTACAATTATAACTTTATTAAAACAGATTATTTTGCTAATGGATGCCATGTCCATATCAAATTCAACCATGGATTAGGTGAGCATCCTTGTAAATTGCTCACAATAGGTCAAGGGTTTAAATTCCCATCATGTTTATTTAAGAAAAGTGGTACATTTTACTTTTTAACACTGATCTGAATTCAAAATGGCTACTGTGATTACAATTAAAAATTAAAATTGTTGTCTGAAGTATGTATGGAATCGGGTACAACTTGCTTTATCAGCTTTTATTTCTCATAAATGTGCAGAACATGAGTAACAATCTTATTCTAATTAAAAATTAAAATCGTATTCTGGAGAATTTATGGGAAATGGTAAAACTTGCTTTATCAGCTTTTATTTCTCATGAATGTGCAAAATATGAGTATTGTAAGTGTATTGATTAAAGGTTAGAATAGGAATCGAAGGCTAATGGGGTGCAGGCTAGACTTACCAACGCATCTTCCAGCAATACTGGAGTACCCCTTAGCACAGTTACAGTGATAGGAGCCAATGGTGTTAATACACTTTCCTGTGCACCCATGGGGTTGACTGGCACACTCATCGATATCTGTGGAGGGGAAATAGTTCATTTGAAACAGCTTGTAAATGTAAATGACCTGTACGTGCCCATTAATCACCCTATTGTTGTTTCTATTGTCTGCCCTAACAGGTGCATGATTATATCATTGCTGTTAATGACAGCATTAGCATTACACATACATGTAGCACCTGCATTTTGACACCAAAAATGATGTTCGCTTACATCATGTCATTTTCTTCTGCATTTCAAAACCTAGTATACGCTACAATATTAAACTAGCATTGGTGATCCTAGTTGAATAGCACCAAACACTACCACTATCACAAGCATTATAACACCAAAACCTACATTGTTCAATGTTTCAAAATCACGTCTGAACTGAAATTTTAAGTACCATTGGTGCGGTTGATAACATCAAACTTATACCAAAACCAGAACTAAAATCTGGAAGTGATGCTATCTTTCTGTATATTATAACACCTTCACTAACACCAATTTCAATAATACAAATTATCGGCAACATAGTACCAGTTTTTTTTCTTCATTTTCAAAGTCCTATTCTGCCCTGAAATGTTAAGCTAACTTTGGTGTTGATGTTAAAACGACACCAACACTAATCCCCAAAGTCACACTATCTTCCTACAATTAAAATCATTGTCTACACAGATATGTTTAGCTTACTTTGGTGTTGATGGTAACATAACGCCAGAACTAACACCAAAACTAACCCCCACAAGTCACTCTACCTTCCATTTAAAATCCTTGTCTAAACTGAAATGTTTAGCTAACTTTGGTGTTGATGCTAACACAACACCTGAACTAACACCGGAACTTACCTCCACAAGTCATGCCATCTTCCTGGAGCTCGAACCCTTGTCTACACTGACAGGTGTAACTGCCATGGGTGTTAAGACACCTGTGATGGCAAACACTGGGTCCTCCACTCTGCCTGCACTCATCAATATCTGCAACAAAAAAGGTCAGAAAAATGATAATTCTATCAAAAATATCAAAAAGTACATCTTCCATACAACTAAATCTCCACATCTCCAAATATACATAAAATAATTAGAGAAATATAATTGGTATATTCACTGATGTAAGAGGCTCTGGTTGTTACTACATGTATGGTACCTAAAGAGACAAACACAACACTATTTTCTGAAGGGCGAAACCATGCAGAGGCATGGTACTTTAATGTTGCTGATAATAAAATGTAACTTATAGATAATATTACCCTCGTCATCGGATTCATTCATATGTACAGTGTGCAGTTTCCATACTTTATGGTCACCATGAGGGCATATGGCAATTATAAACACAAAGGCTTTGTCATCCTACCAGGTCCCCATTTTTCTCCTGGGTATCGAGTGGCAAATGTACATTCATGCCTTGCCAAAAGATACTGTCATATCGTCGTGTTTCAACTTTCATCGATTTCTAATATCTTCATTGCTTCTTGTTTTCTTCTTGTTTTCTTCTTCATTTTACTCTCTACTCTATCCTCAAGCTCATAGATTCAATTTCTTTTTTTCCATCTTCCACTTGACCCTCCCCCGAACTTTGTTTGCCCCACCGTGACTTACCGATACAAGATCTTCCGTTCATATGGAGTCTGAATCCTTGTCTGCATGAACACCTGTAGCTGCCGGCTGTGTTCTCACAGCTATGATGACACGGCTGCCATTGGCTCTGTCTACACTCGTCGATATCTGTAATGGTGATGATACAAAACGTGTTAATCTTAACAAGTCCATGTTCTTACTGAATAGTGACGTTGAAGTGTCGTGCAATTCAGATGTAGATAACTACTGGGGCTCCAAATGTGTTTAGATATCACATACCCGTTTGTACAGATCCAAAAGGGCATTAACCTTTGTGTTTAAGTATATGAGTTAACACTTCTGTTACTTTCTTCGCCTCCCTGCCCAGTCGCTTATTTGCTATGCGTGCATTTTTACACAAAACAGTAGGTATCAGGTGAGGGAAAGACTGCTTTGTGCAATAATTGGGCTTTGCAATATTACCCTATTATGTTCTTGATTTGCTCCATGGCAACCTGTTTAACACCAGCATAGATTAATCTTGCAATGGAGATAATTAAAAGTAATCTCAAAGCCTTTGGTATGGATATGTACCTTTTTTGGAAAAGCTTTATTTACAATTGTTATCTTCTTCTTTTTCTTAAAAGAAAAACATGCTGAAACCAGGGAGATCTCCCTGCTCAAACATAGCATACATGTTCATAACTACACTATACACCATGTTTTATAAAAAATGTTATTAATAAAGTTTCTTGGCAACACTAGGTATGATTTTAGATTACAGATTAATCACCAACAAGGCTTACAAGAACATGATTTTAAAAAAATATAAAAAACACAAGTTTCCCTCCATTAAATATTCTTTTAATTCTAACTATTGATATTTAATTTCCTTTCCAGCTATACTTCAGTTTTGATGATAATGAAGATGACGGCTTCTTGTATAGAGCCAATATCTGTCTCAACAGGGCATCATGGCTCTTGCTCTAATAAAATGGTTCTGAGTCAGTACATAGTACAAATGACCCCAAATATCAACAAATCTGTTAAACATCTAGTACCACTCTCTGCACTTTAAAATTATCACTGCCAAGGTGATGGATGTGCTTCATACATACTTTTTGTTTGCCTTCTTAGGACTTGAATAATGTGCCATTTTATTGTAATTTTCCCCATAGTCTACAACCTGCAAACTTATCAAAGCATGGTATGAAAAACTAAAATAATTTTGAGTTATGTATTAAATTTCTTTGCCACTGTATCTCAACCCGCCATATCTACAATCTGCAAACTTTCCAAGCATCCTACATGTAAAAGAAAAATACTACACTTTTGAATTATGTACTCATATTGCCTGTAGCTTATCTAGGATTTACACGCTACTCCTGCAATCAACTCCGCTTTCATTTATAGAGTTGGAGAGAAAGGTTTTGACATCGGGCAGGTGGCGACAAGCTAAATTGCCAATTTGAGGATCAGAGAGCGTCTGAGTTTGCGGAGAAGTGCCAAGTGGCAGGAAACCTCAATTAGACGCTGTCATATCTTCAGCTGAAGGCCCGAGAGTTTTCATTCAGAATTTCACATGCAGGCGTGCCTAGATCTGCACTGTATGATCTGGTATTGTTTTGTTAGATGTTGTCAAGATATATGAGAATGTATAGTGACCATCTAGAGGTAAAAATCTAATTTCTGTGAATGTTGATTCCATGTCTGCCTCGTAATAAAATATAACTTTCACATATCGTCTGTTTGTATAAAGCTGAAGGGTGTTTCGGGGTTGTTTTTTTAATTACCTTACAGATTGTAAACAGTTAACATATACAAATGGAATTTCATCACAACTAAAAGGAACTAACATTAATTTTATTAGTGTAATTTTGTCACATCTTAAAGATAAAAGTGTGTTCTACCACAATAGTCCATTCTTGGACCCCTTCTATTTTGAATTGGTATTAATGATTTACGAAATTCCACTAAACTCTGTATTAAAAAGTATATGAAATAATACCCTTCTGGCTCCAAACAGATTTTTCTTGCATCAGAAAATAAAGACAATCAAAGTTGAAAACAACTGGGCTAAATTTATTGTGTTCATGTCTTTATGTATGATTTGAAATTCTATGTCTTATATAAATTGCACACAAATGCGTCATTTTAGAACATAAGAGCATTTAATAATAATAATAATATATAATTTCTATATAGCGCTTAATACAAATGTCTCTAAGCGCTTTACAAATATACTATTACCTCGGTCCTTGGATTCAGTGCTTGCCCGCACACATTGATTTCTTTTCAGAGATGAAATCATTACAGTGATGTCCCTCCACTTTTTTCAACATAGATATATTTCATATTTACAATGATTTACAGTGTTAAGTCACAAACATTTCTTTTGTGAAGCACTCTTTTTATAAACCTACTATCTTTTACCTCATTTCTTAAACATCAAATAACCCTTTAGATCTTTTACATTCCAATCTATCAGTATGACTAAAAGGTCTTAATGGTAGTTCAAGTTCAGAGTTGCATATATGCGTTCAGGATGGGCCAATTATATAGTTCATCAAACCTAAACATTGCCAGAGTCCCTGGGGAACATGACACATTCGATAGCTGGGTTCACTTGATCAAGAGTCCTTAAATGATCTTGGAGTTAAGGACTGCGTGGGAACACTCCTGATTTTGTAAACTAAGATCCATATCCTACTAACTCAGTTAAACCTGAGCCTGGGTTTAAAATCACATTTCAAAAAGGAACATTTAAACCTCCTTTAACTTTTAGTTTAGCTCAGGGCTTCAATCCTCTAGGTTTTCTCATAGTTAAAGACTGTATGGGAACACTCCTGATTTTGTTAAGTAAGATCAGTTCCTACTAATTCAGTTCAAACCTGAGCCTTGGTCTAAAATCGCATTTCAAAAAGGAACAGTTAAACCTCCTTTATAATTAGCTTTTAGTGAAGCTCATGGCACCAAACCTCAAGGTTATCTTGGAGTTAAGGATCGCATCGGAACACTACTGGATTTCCTCCTAATTCATTTAAACTTGAGCCTGGGTCTAAAATCACATTTCAAAAAGGAAAAATTTAAACCTCAGACTAACTTCCTTTGTTAAACAAGATTTTGAGGGAAAAAAATGTTAGCCCAGCGTCAGATTAAAATTGTAGCAGAATATAGATGCGTAGTAGTGGGTTTTCATTAGGAAATTGACACCAGTCTGGTGTTTACCCAATAATAGGTGTTGTCAGTCACCAAGAGTGGACTTCACTTTTACAACAGACGGGTCTTTTGTAATGCATTATGCCCTAGCCTACCACCTTACATAATTTTCATCATATATCAAATTTCCCTCGATCTTAAGATATATAGGCAAGTGGGAGCATTTTCTGGTAGGACTACAGGGTTTGCTGATTCAGGGACCCCTTTGCATACACAAACACACTAATTGGTAATTAAAATAAAATAAGTGTCTGTCAGCAAATTATGATGCAATACACATGACACTGACTATTATTTGACTTTAAAGTTATGGAAGATTTAAAAAACCACAAGCCTTTTCTTTCACAATATAATCGCATGACCAGTACTCAACTTTGTTTTTAATTGCTAAATAGTACCTTTAAGATCATGAGTTGAGAAGCAATAAAAGTGAGAGAAAGAATTAAAGGAAATGGCCATCTTCCTTTCATAGGTCAAGCGCTCTTGTTATGTCATAAAACTACAGATAAGAGATATTTCAAAGACACCATCCCTTCCATTTTTGTAATTCTTGTCTCTCATTAGTCTATCAAATAGAGGAAATTGTTCGTTTTTAGCCAGATTAGCATTAACTATCCAAACTCACTATTGCACATCTGTTTGTCTCCTGACAGAGTGAGTACAGCTGCTTCCATATTGACAGCTGTATCCCCCTTCAAAACCCCTACCATCACCATTCCCTACCATCACCATCATCATCATCATCATCATCATCATCACCACCACCACCACCACCACCACCACCACCACCACCACCACCACCACCACCACCACCACCACCACCACCCCACCACCACCACAGCTCCCTACCAGCACCACCACCACCAACATTACCACCCCTCCTTCCTGCCCCTCTACAATGATTAAACTCACCTACTAGCAGGACCCGTGGAAAATCCACGGGATTCTAGGGGAGGGGGCCAAATAGATAGATAGATAGCGGCCTATGTGCTATCCAAAAAAAAATTAGATTATCTTTATATAGAGAATTTTTATAATATAGACCTATGCTGTTAGACCATGAATGGCGCATCGTAAAACAAACTTTGTCAGATAGGATCTCGATAATTACGATTTATTTGCAGTATTATTGTTGTGATTTCAATGTAGTTTCATGAAAAGACTACATATGCAGAGGCTTGGATTATGATTATGCTGGCATTGTTCACAAAATGTGTATAATTATTTTCAAAGTAAAGATTTTACGCGAAAAATCGGACGGTTTGTGCACAAATTTACTCGACTGTGTGTGGGACTGTGAGCGTAGAATCCAGTGAAAGATTTTTTTTTTCGGGGACTTGATCTATATCAAATTTTGGGAATTTTTTTTTGGGCTACTTTTTTATCTTTCGGGGGCTCATTTTTCTTGGGCTAATTTTTTCATTAATTCATTTAAAGATGCAGTTTGTTTAGTTTAGTAGCGTAGTTACGTAAAAAAGGCGTACTTTCTGCGTCAAGTTTCTACGCCGAAAGTACGCGAATTTTGTTAAACATATTAAATTGTTTGCGTCCATCTTGCGTACTTTTTTGTGTCCCTCAGGGTATAGTAACGTAGGCCAGCGTACTCTCAGCTCAGCGTAGTTGGTACGCAACTCTACTATGGACCCCACGCCAATTAGTGATCGACCTGCCAGTGTCACAAATAAGGCATTAAAAATATGCTCATCTGACCGTAATTAAATGCCTAAAACCCCTGAGCTTTCGGGGGTTCAGCCCTTTGTACCCGTGGACACCACGCCTGCACTCAAATCGCTTTGAGTTACCTGACCCCCCCCCCCAAACTTTAAAAATTGATTTGATGCAAGAACTGTATCATACTAAAAGTATTGTCATGTTTTTAAACGACCATGACGACCGTCTGATTTTCTTGTGAAAACTTTACTTTGCTTGTGAAAACTTGACTTTGAAAAATAATTATCGTAATTCAGTATACAACTATACATGGCCAGAATAATCACAATCTAAGCCCAGGTTTCATACATCTATTCACGAAACTATATTGAAATCGGGGCAATAATAGCAATTTCAAAGTGTTGTTTAGACTCTCCTCACACCACGGACAGGCCTGGCTACTCCGGTCACCGCTACTCCATGCTCACACACTCAGCTCCGACAGCACCCCCGACAGCAGCGCTCAGCTGCCGTGGCAATACACTGTGGACTCAAGGCAGTTTGCAACTGAACTGTCACGTGAAGGCGTACTATCACAGATCTATTTGCGCTATTCTTGTTGTGATTTCGATGTAGTTTTCATGAAAAGACCAATAAAACAGAAGCTTGGACTATGATTATGTTGGCATAGATCACAGAATTTGTATAATTATTTTCAGAGTAAAGATTTTACGTGAAAATAGGTCCATGGTTTGCGCCAGTTGTCGCAATCGCCTCGACTCGAATCGACTGTGGTGTGTGCATGTGTGTGACCTGAGAGCGTGTAATACACGTACACTATGGGCGCCTGGCCTACAAAGCATATCCTATAGAAAGACGCATAACACGGGTACGCTCAACCCGTTGAGCGTACATATTGGCTACATCCCATCACCTGAGTGAGTCATCTGTTAATGTGTATTTCTCTTACATGCTACAAAGCATATCCTATAGCAGGAGGTCTAATTCGGGGTACGCCGCACACCCGTTACAATAGGATTTGCTACACCCGTTGATGCGAGTGGATTCTCGTCTATTGTGTGTTTCTTCGTCCCTCTTTGATAATTAGACAGAGGGCAGGTGCACGCCTTGCGGACTCGCTCTCGCGAGTTCGTCGCCTCCTGGCAATCCGCGACGCCCGCCGTGCTTTCGTCCACCCGTCCTCCCCGGAACCTCGAATACCACGTTTAACGGCATGGACGTCGATCGCAGGGTCGACGTGGCACGCGGGTTGCGGGAGACATGCCTCGTGTAATTGTGTCGCCGTTCCCGCGCCACGGCGGAGGCGGGCGCGGTCGGGGAAAGGCGTTTTTGAGGAACCGTTTTGGCCCGTGTTGGACCCCCCGCGGCGATTTTGCGTATTAATAATATAGATGCATCTTTGTTTGTCCGCCAATAAAGCAAATTCGCTTCCACATTCACAGCTGTATCCACCTTCTGTATGTTCAGACCCCTCCCCGCCCCCTCAACCTCAACCACCACCACCACCACCACCACCACCACCACCACCACCACCAACACCACCACCACCACCACCATCACCATCCCTCTTTCCTGTCTCACCCCAATGATTAAACTCACCTATGCATCTTTGTCTGCTGATAAAGTAAACCCGCTTCCACATTCACAGCTGTATCCACCTTCTGAATGTTCACCACCACTCCCTACCCCACCACTCCTACCACCCCCACCACCACCACCACAGCTCCCTACCAACACCACCACCAACATTACCACCCCTCCTTCCTGCCCCTCTACAATGATTAAACTCACCTATGCATCTTTGTTTGTCCGCCAATAAAGCAAATTCGCTTCCACATTCACAGCTGTATCCACCTTCTGTATGTTCAGACCCCTCCCCGCCCCCTCAACCTCAACCACCACCACCACCACCACCACCACCACCACCACCACCACCACCAACACCACCACCACCACCACCATCACCATCCCTCTTTCCTGTCTCACCCCAATGATTAAACTCACCTATGCATCTTTGTCTGCTGATAAAGTAAACCCGCTTCCACATTCACAGCTGTATCCACCTTCTGAATGTTCACCACCACTCCCTACCCCACCACTCCTACCACCCCCACCACCACCACCACAGCTCCCTACCAACACCACCACCAACATTACCACCCCTCCTTCCTGCCCCTTCCCAATGATGAAACTCACCTATGCATCTTTGTTTGTCCGCTGATAGAGTAAACCCGCTTCCACATTCACAGCTGTATCCACCTTCTGTATGTTCAGACCCCTCCCCGCCCCCTCAACCTCAACCACCACCACCACCACCACCACCACCACCACCACCACCACCACCAACACCACCACCACCACCACCATCACCATCCCTCTTTCCTGTCTCACCCCAATGATTAAACTCACCTATGCATCTTTGTCTGCTGATAAAGTAAACCCGCTTCCACATTCACAGCTGTATCCACCTTCTGAATGTTCACCACCACTCCCTACCCCACCACTCCTACCACCCCCACCACCACCACCACAGCTCCCTACCAACACCACCACCAACATTACCACCCCTCCTTCCTGCCCCTTCCCAATGATGAAACTCACCTATGCATCTTTGTTTGTCCGCTGATAGAGTAAACCCGCTTCCACATTCGCAGCTGTAACCCCCTTCTGTGTTCACACACTGCTGGTCACATTGAGAGTTCTGACATTCGTTCACATCTTTAAAAAAATAAGAGAAACATCACAATAAGCACTTTTCTAATTCAAAATTATTTTATAAGTTAGAAAGAATAACATTGTTTCAACTCTTTAAACCAGAAACATTCATAGAAGTGGTTGGAATTCATGAAGGTTTCATGTCACTGCATAATCTAATTGTATTCATCAGAAGTTCATGACACAAAACTTTTGCCATCTGTGGAAACTTTTTGCCACAACCATGGTTTTCATTAGTAATTTTCCAAAGGTTCATGTCACATAGGTGATTATAAAGATAGGATCTGGATCTGTATCAAAAGAAATATGGAGGGGAATATTAATGATAGCTTTTCCTTGTTTTAAACCAAAACTGTTCACAAGAAATATTTTATAAATAGTGTAACCACATGCCCCCCCTCCCCCCCCCCTCCCCCCCCCCCCCCCCCCCCAAAAAAAAAAAAAAAAAAAATCTGTAACACTCTGATATCCAACATATTTAAACAATACTTGGTGTATCCTTTAACAAAAAATAATTATTCTTGACTATGTGACTTTATTTGTGAGTCATTAACACACTACACTGTAGTCTGGAAAGCCCTTGTGATGATACCCAATACAAATAGATCCTTCGTACCAAACAGGGCTCTGAACTTCTGAACTTAAAACTCAGTGAAATAATCTCATCGCAATGCAACATAAACAAGAATATGTCTCTCTTCCCAGAGTTGTAATCTCCAAAACCAAGGTATTACACTCCCAGACCAAGCTTTCCTCCAAGTTCAAAGGCTTGACTTAAAGCTTAAGGCCCGGTCACACAGGGAGGACGCATGGGGAACGCACGGCCAGCGCATTGGAAATTTGCAATTTGGGCCAGTGCGTTGTCGTTCGCTAGGCGTGCGTCATCATTCGTTACTCGTTCGTCGAGCGCGCTGGACCAACGCTGGACCAGCGCTATGCATGCGTCGTCATTCGCTGTGTGCGTCGGGATTTTTTGAGCATGCTCAAAAACGTGCGCCGAGCTCGACGCATGAATATACACGCCAAAGGCACACCAGACATGCGCCGGAGCGCGCTAGACCAGCGCCAGACATGCGTGGAGCGCGCTAGACCAGCGCCAGACAAACGCGGAGCACACGCCCTGTATACGCACAGCGCGCTAGCTACACGCCGTGCATTTTGTGTCAGCTCGCTAGCTTTTCCAAAATTATGACAAAAGTTAGGCACACGTTCTTTTCCGATTTCCAATGCGCTGGCCGTGCGTCGTAGAACGCGGTGCATGCGTGGACCATTCGTCCAGCGCGCTAGCAACACGCTGTGCTATCGTGGAAGTTGTTTTCATGTGCGCTCTGTGTGCGCCCTGTGTGCGCCCTGTGTGCGCCCTGTGTGCGCCCTGTGTGCGCCCTGTATACGCCCTGTATGCGTCCAGCGCGCTATGCATTTGGTGTCAGCTAGCTGTATAGCTTCGACAAAAGTTGGGCGCACGACAACGCACTGGCCAAAATTGCAAATTTTCCATGCGCCGGCCGTGCGTCCCCCATGCGTCCCCTCTGTGTGACCGGGCCTTTAGACAACTTCAAGATCAAGATCTCAGACAGCAGGACCAAGATCTCAACCTCCTTGTCCAAGAATTACAGAATCAAATCTTGAGACATTGGCTCGTTTGTGTCACAATAAAAAGTCTCAAGGCTTTGCGTTAACTTCAAAGTGTGGATATCATTTCACCAGGGGAAATATATACATGTACGTGAAGAATGCATTTCATAATACATTGATTTATCTCATTATGATGTAAACTCACTTGCTTTCTCTCTCTCTCTCTCTCTCTCTCCCTCCCTCTCCCTCTCTCTCTCTCTCCCTCCCTCCCTCTCCCTCTCCCTCTCCCTCTCCCTCTCCCTCTCCCTCTCCCTCTCCCTCTCCCTCTCCCTCTCCCTCTCCCTCTCCCTCTCCCTCTCCCTCTCCCTCTCCCTCTCCCTCTCCCTCTCCCTCTCCTCTCTCTCCCCGCTCTCCTCTCTCTCTTTCACTCTCTCTCTCTCTCTCCCTCCTTACCTCTCAGTCTGTCTCTCTCTTATTTCACAAGCTGGGAAAATGAGCAGAATAAAATGTGATTGTAATAAATTCCATGGCAAACTGATCCTGACATAATAGGTTTAGACCTGTCAGAGATGATCATATGATCTGCCAGGACGAGACACGTTCGTTTCCAGATGTCTAGCCATGCAAAATCAAGCATCAAACAACTCTTTATCAAAACTGATTTACCACATGAGGTATATGTACACACCTAGAGTTCAATTGCAAAAGTGAGAAATCCAATTCCTAAATTCTAAACATCAGACAGTCACACAAAATGCTTCGTCAAAATGATATACCATATAGGATACTTACAATATGTTCACCTCTGAAATAATAATAATAATACTAACAGTAAGTTACATTTCTACAGAGCTTAATACAAATGTTTCTAAGCACTTTACATCAATTTGTCAAAACAATAAAAAGTACCTTACTTTAAAAAATCTACAATGTTTACAATATTTAATCTACATTTACAAAGGAATGTGTAAGCAATATCAGACACCAACAAGGGGAATGGATACCAGAATTTATAAAATACTACAAGTAATACATTCTTTAAACTACCATCTAAAAGCAAAACATAATGAAAGACAATAAAAGAGGCATAGAGAGATGAAAGTAGCTTTTCAGTTTTGAAACTTCAAATGTATATTTGTGAAAACATGTGTTTCTCTTACTTTTCCAACATCAATCAGACTATTCATATCAATTTTAATTCATTTTCTAAAATAAATTCATAAACTAGTTTTCTATTGTTTTGGGTATTCTTCATAGTGACCTGCTTATTTCCATTCCATAAAGTCTAGTAATCAACTATTTCTATTTATTTCTAGGAGTTTAAACAAGTAGGCCTATAGAATTTTTTTCTTCAAAAAGATACAAATGTTACAAAAACTTACATCATCCTAAATCGTTAGAGAATCCCTTTAATGAAATTACATAGTAAGCTTTATGTTAAGCAAACTATAAAGTGAGCACTTTTAGCTATAAAATAAAACAGAATATCACACAAACAGGCCTTCTATAAAGACATCAGTCGACAGCAATAAAAATCAAATAATTGGCAGATTATATCCTTCCCCTGTGTCTTGGTACCTTGCCAATGCAAACCTGTGCTATGCCAAGTCCATGGTCACAAAACTCACCAAAAATATCGGACACTTTGGAAGTTTGTTGAAAATTCATTTTGTATCTATATTACACGGTTCTACTTAGAGAGTTTTCAATGTGTTATTTGTCACTGGTCAAGACTTATTATTGATGGTTTGCTGACCTCACAAAAATATCTGTTTTTTATGATTTCCTATGACATGGAAATTATATTCAAATACAGGTATTTCCATCAAAACTGTAACAATTTACATCACTTTCAAATAAAACAGGTACAATATTGATTCGTTGTAAGCAAAATGGTTGCAGAAACTCTAAATCTTTTGGCTTCCTTTGTAATGCTTGTTAATTTCATATAAAGCCCTATGTATCACTTATTGAAGTGTGTCAATATTACAATGTACGACCGAATCTGAACATGATTTCTACGGGGGTGAATTATGCAATAGGGAACTAAAACAGCTCTTTGCAATAATTTTTCCTGTTTTTGGTCTTTTTCTAGGCCTGTTTTAATCAGACCGAAGTTGCAAAATAACCCAATATTTTCAGACTCAGGATATTTTCCCGAAGCTCAAATTTCGTCTTCACCAGACCGATGTGCTCATCACAAACTAGCTCAGACGGGCGCAAATTAGCCCGCTTTTTATAAATAGCAAGCTATTTTGGAAACAAGACCAAGATTTCAACTGCGGTCTGATGAAAACAGGCCTCCTGTGTAATTTAGGGAGAACTCATAAAAAATTCCATAATCCTTGATGATCCAAACACCCCTAACTTCAGTTTATAATAACACCCAGAAGTTCAACCCTACATTTCAATGTCAACAGCCTTGGAAATAATAACCAATTGTCTAGACCACTTCAGGAGCAATGAATCTCCTTACAGATTGGATTATTTTTCGGTGGTTGATACGTGATACAATTAAACAGCATTTCCCCTGGTTTTATTTTGGCTGTTGAAGGGAAGCCGGCGGAAGCTAGACACATGTGGAAGGAAGCAAGTCGGGGGAGGAACGTCAGAAGCGAGGTAAGAATATCTCATGTGTACGCTTAACAATTTAAAGGGGCATTGACAAAATTTGGTGTTATCATGAAATACATTAAAGGGAGTGTAGCTTGGCAAATACTGATTAATGCCATCTACTTCTTCTATTGGACAGCTGCACGTAAATGAATGGACTTGATTAACGGTAGTCAGCGACTTAATCTTTACATGGTCAGCGTGCGCTAGCGTTCGCGAAACAGTCAAGGCAGCCCCCAAGAAAGCGAAGAAGCCAGTAAAGAAAACGACTGAGAAGAAAGAGAAACTGCCAGAAAGAGTGCCCCCGCCACTGGAGGAGTCAAGAAGCCTCATCGATACAGGCCTGGCACAGTCGCCCTGAGAGAGATTCGCCGCTACCAGAAGAGCACTGAGCTTCTCATCCGAAAACTGCCACTTTTTCTCACGCTTCGGTTTTGTGTATGTTGCAGGCACGTGATTGCTGCGGTCGTGTTGTCTGTAGTCGTATTATACCCGATTGGCCCCGAGTCTGGCCACGGGAAAGACACATAGTCTCATCATGCTACACTCCCTTTAACTCTGGGACAGGCCCCCTCCTCAATTGAAATCATCACCAACAGTAAAACAATTCAATCAGAGTCATTTTTTCTACATTTTTTTCTTCTAAACAAAGGGGTTCACAAGACAAGAATGAGAAAAATATCAAAGCAATCAGATTACAGTATAACAGGTACAAGGAAATGCCATCTCATATATGTGCTAAGTATTGCAAAATTATGAACAATGCCACAATAAGTGAATTCCAAATTCTCTCAAGTATGACGAATTAAATATTA